GGGGGGGGGGGGGGGGGGGGGGGGGGGAGAAGAGTGAAGAAGAAGAAGAGGAGAAAGAGGAGGATGACGAGGAGAAAGGAGCAGTGACTTTATATTGCGTGATTGTGAGAACTACGGGGTAGATAGAAATGGTACAGGTATTCCTTTGACACGTTGTGCAGGAGGGATCGAGGGGAAAGAAACTTACGAGGTTCGGAGGAAAAAATGAGAGACGGCGGCGGTGCAAGTAGGAGATAATTGCGAGGCGCGCGAGCGATTTTGCGCGGTGGCGGATCATCCGTTTATTCCTTCGCTCGCAGCCGCCTCCTCGACCGTTCCGCGTCCTTACTTTTTCGTAGGGCTTGTAGCAGGCCCGCGCGTCGATGCTGCTCATCAGCAGGCTGTAGGGCTCGCCGTCGGGCTCCAGGCCGAACCTCTCGAGGAGCGCGTCCTTCATCCGTGGCATTTTCTTCCTCGTTGGCAGTCTCGGTCGGACGCTCTCAAGTGCCGTTAGGCGTTCACGCGACTACGCGGCGAACTGTACTCGACGGGCACCCTCGAGCCCGATGAGCCAGAGCAGCTACTCCCCAGGCGTCCTATTCCTGGCCAACCGCATCCTACGCCCGCCACCTTCGCTTTGCCGCCTTGGTGCGGGCGGAAGGCGCGCGTCGGCGGTGCCAATCGATGCCGTAGCGACAGCGACGGCGACGACGACTAACGCCGCCGCGAAGAAAGGTCGTGGTGGGTGATGGGTTTCGCGCGCGAGAGAGAGAGAGAGTGAGTGAGTAAGCGTGTGTACGTGCGGGTCCTGGGGGGGGGGGGGAGTGTGTAGGTGGATGCGCGCATGCGCCGCCCCGAGAAGGAGCCCAGAACTTTTAGTCCGAATGCGATCGGTTGGCCGCGAGCTCGGCGGCTTTGGTGTCGCGAGTGATCTATGTTGCTGTTGCCGTTGCTGTTGCTGTTGCTGGCGGTACTGAAGATCTTCGTTAAGGTGCTAGTGGAGCTGTCGGCAGCTGCGTGCACGTGCACGTAGAGGAGGAGCGGCACTCTCGATCTGTGCGCTCGAGTTGCTTCGCCAGCTGACCAGCTACACGTCGCGAAATGCGCGTCGACAACGCTATGAGAAAGGAACGCTCCGGCGCTTCTGATAAGGATAACTCGCCCTGACTGGAGTACGACGCGCAGCCATCGTTCTGCCACAGTTCATTGTTCGGCGGTACGGATGACGTGCTGGCTGCAATACCGCTGCAACCGTTGTTGCCATTGCTAGTCCACTACCAGTGCTAATTTGTTTTCGAGGCTCGATTAGCAAATTGTAATTTTTAACCTTCGTAGTCAAGTGGCTGTTCCTTCTTTATTCTAGTCAAACATGAATGGTGTTAATGATAAGAGGATGAGCTCACCACGGCACAAAGGGGATGGACATTCTTACCAGTCTTTGATGTCGGAGGTAATTATCGTCGTGTTTTCTGCGATTGCCAGTCTTTAAGATTTTGTTGGGATAGATTTTCATTTTCCTTTAATTGTGCGACGTGATTTGTAGGAGCTAATGTTGAAGGAGAAGGTACAAATCAAATCACAGGCACTTATAATGCTGAGTCAGGAATTGGATCAATGCAGAATGCAGCGAGATCGTTTTAAACTGATGGCTGAGCAGTTACAGGAGGACTTGGTTAGGCGAAAACAAACGACGGGCAAGAAAGTTATCAATGGATTCAAAGCAGCCCTGGACTTTTCTATTCAGAGACAGGGTCATAACATAATCGAGTCCGACAGTGTCGAGGAAGATACAAAATTAATGGACCTACTAATAGAATCTAGAGAACAAAACAAGTGCCTTCGATTGCAAGTTGATACGCTAAGGCATAAGCTCAAAGAGGCAGAGGAAGATATTAAAGCGTTACGCTCTAAGAGAACCGAGGATCCTAAATTAATAGCCAAAGAGCTCATTGAACAATTGGAAAAATTAAATGTCAAATGTGTGCAATTGAAATTAGATTTGCAAGCTGTATTGGACGAGAAGCAAGAGTTAGAGGTGGAAAAGGATGTTTTTAAATGCAAAGCTCACAGATTAAATCATGAACTTTCGATGGCCCTCAGTGCACCTAAGCCTGTAGACGTAGATGCACTGATCATTGAAAATAGGTAAGTAAATTACTGCATCGCAGCATTGTGCCTTACAGCATTGTGTTGTAGAGAATAGTGTGCGTGTCCTCTGTACATAATAAATGCACATCTTCATTGTAATATCTAATATAAATAGGTATTTACAAGAAAGGCTTCAACAATTGCTCGAAGAAAAAGAATTAGTCCAACAATCTGTTCAAAAATACAAAGTATGTTTACAAATTTTATTCAATTTAATTTATACTAACTATATTGAAAAGGATAATAATAATTATTATTATTATTATTATTTTTTTTTTATACGTAATAATTGAAATATTGTATCCAGAGCATGTTGGATAGCAAGAGACAGAAAGGGGCATTAAAGTTAGGTGGTAAATCATCCCTTGGTTCTATAATGAATTTCAAACAAGTGGAACAATTACTACAACAAGGACCAAACATATCTCCTCAAAAATCGACTGTCGCATTGACTGAATTACACAGTCTTTGCACTGCCCTTCTGGAGGCTCTGAACGACAAAAATTTAGCCTTGGCTCATCAAAAAAAGGCAAACAAGTAAGCCTGACTATCTGATTTATGGTAAAACGATGTATGCGTCTGTATGTAAATAATATTTATATAAATGTGTAGAATATTGGCAGCGAGAATGTGTGAATTGGATAGAGCCGTGCAGTCTCCAACGATGAAGTTATTAGAAGGATATTCTAGCGCGGATGTTGACATCAGATGTAAGTTAAAAAAGCACTGCAAATAATTTCAGTTTGCGTTAACTACATACATTCGTTATATAAATTCAGGTGATTCGACCAGCGTTACATCTGACCTATCAGAAGAAAGATCCGATGGTAAAGAATCTGATGTGCAATGCGATGAAAGTTTTGTAAATGAAGTTACCAGCGACACGCAGATAGGTGAAAATAGTATTAAACAAAGTATTCAGAATAAAGAATCTGACAAATGCGTCATTGAAGAGAATCTTGAAGATAAAAAGTACGATGAAAGTTTGATCGAGCTAGACATTAAAAGTAATTGTAAATCCTTTGGATATAACGATGGGAGTAATTGGTCAAGAGACAAAGCATTTGAAAAAATAGATTTCGAAGAATCTTTACGTAAGAGTCTTCCCGAGCACTTAAGGCTTCTTGTACAGAAACATTTTAATGAGTTAAAAGCAAAAGAAAGGGAGGGATCTTAAAGGAACCTGTTTTGTTTATTTAAAAATTTATTAAACGAATCATTCACCATTATGATTATTATTACGATATATGGTTATGTGCCATCCCAAAGATTTTTTTATACTATATTTGTAAGGATAAAGTACTTACCGAACATTGAAATATTAATAAAAATAATTATTTACGAATTGTTAAACGCCGAATCCGTTACTTTAATGAAAATACTTCTCCGTCGTTGCCTTAAACATATATATATATATATATATGTATGTACAAATGCACGTTTGTGCTCATCGATGAAAAGTCAGAAATTGAAAATAACTAATTTATTTGCTTCTATATACATTTTCTTACAATACATACAAACAGCTAAATAATGTTTGTTATAAATATTTCGTTAACTCGGCGCTTATAATTACTGTGATTCTTACTAAGCCCCGTTCCCTTTTCTTTGCCATGAAAGCGCTCGCTCGAAAATTCACATTTACTACGTATCATATATACATACATTATGGATTATGGAAGACATGCGTAAAAACTCGATCGATACAATAGTAAAGCTCGCGGCTACATACGAATACACGTAAAAAGCTGGCTAGAAAAGATCGTGTACAACATAAAAGTCGAGCGCCTTGCTCGAAAGCCTCACAAAACACGAACGCAAGACATTGAACCTGCGGGCTCTCAATGATTATAAAGAAAGTGTCACGTCGTCAGTGCATGCTACTCTTGATCCAGTCGAGGTACTCGGAGACCCTCGTGTATACGCCGGGATACCCGGGCTCGCCGCACTTGTTCCCGAATGAGACGATCCCGATCTGTATCCATCGGCTGTCCGTGCGCAGCATTAGGGGTCCACCAGAGTCACCCTGGCAGGCATCCTTACCCCCTTGGCTGTAGCCGGCACAGAGGAAATTGCTGGTAATCGGTTGGAAGTAAGCCTGATTGCAGTCATCGTTCCGCCAAACCGGCAGAACCGCTTGTCTCTGGATCGTGCTTTCCTTGCCGCCTGAAACATGTCCCTTACAATGTCCCTTACAATGCGACTACTTCGCGGCACTGCTTATTTTGTGCGTTTATCTTATCTTATCTGGGCTGTGCAAAACTGCTTTCGAGCGCTGTGCTCCACGTTAAAACATCATATCGATGCACGATTAACAAGTGGCTATGATTTTCAACAATAACTTGTCAATTTACGTTTAGTTGTAGATTCGGTTGAAGCTCTCAATCGCGAACAATTAAGTTTATAATAAAGTGGATAATTACAATGTTGAATGGAAATAGCCGACGAGGCGTTTATCAGCCGGAAATGCTCGCTCGGGAAGCTTTAATAGGCTCAGTCGTCTGAATTATCGCCAAGGCCTGAATACCGCCGATGGAGAAAAGTAAAGCACCGAGCAAGCAAGCATGCAGATTAATTATATATAATTTTATAATATAATTTTTCCACTAAAATAAATGCCTGTAACTTTTTTTTTCTACGAAACGCACTATCGATACAATTATAACACGTTACTGTAAAGGCGCGCGGATTCCGTTTTAGTCGTGTATTATTGCCGTTTTGTTGTTCGCGGCTAATTTTGAAATTAAAAATTTTTAAGTCCTAGTTAATCGCGAGCATAAACTTATTCTCAATAATCCTCTAGAAGACGGATACCACGATTCTACGATAGATTTTTTAACATCTGTTTATTTATTTCGCGTTTTAAGTAATTTCACTCCCTCGCATTTGCTCTCGAAGTGAGCTACACTGACACGGGGCAGTTGGAAATTTTGAAATGTATTTTTAAACATTCTTGTAAGGGTGCCTAAAAAATCCATCAGTGCAGTTCATATTTTTTATACAAATATTTAAAATGGTGCAGAACGATCACTTGGTCCGCTTGTAAAAATCCTTAAATAGAATCACTCTCTGCATTATCAATGACCTTGTTTAGTGAAAATATATTTTTGGCTCAGAAGATCTGATATTGTTGCGATCCATTTAAACAGCTCGCAAGAAACTCAATTCCACGTCTCATTCATCCGAAATGGATAAACGGGAAGCAGAATTCAGCTTACAAGCTGAGACGCTACTCACCATAATAGGTGGTACCCCAGCCGACAACAGTGGGTCTGGCCCCAGCGAAGGGCTCGCCTTTGTGTCGGGCCTGTGGCAGGCAAATGGGGATGATGTAGGGGCTCCTCCGCACGGTCCTGTCGAGCTCGAGAATGGCGATGTCGTTGTAAAAGCCGACGCGCGAGAATTTCGAGTGCGCGTGGATGTCCTTCACGGCGTAGGTCTCGGGACTCGAGGGCTCGTCGTCGCGCTCGAGATCGATGTCCCCTAATCTCACTGTAAACTGTCGAGCAAGAAATCTGTGCGACATAGAAAAACAACGTGATCAACGGACGGTGCCGCGTTCCCCTGTCTCTCTCACCCTCGTTCTCGATTATTGGCGTGAATATTCGCGCCTGCCATTTATGCGCCTCGGCGGATTTTGCCAACGGGGCGCACCAGTCGACTTAGGCCAAGTCGGTAATACGGACCTGCGTGGGCGAGGTTCGAGCAAGTAAAGGTTGGATTTACTTACGGCCGCTGCCTCTGGTCGCGGGTGCAATGCGCGGCGGTGAGGATGTGCCGGTTGCTCACCAGCGAGCCGCCGCACCAGAACTCCGTCCGCTTCGAGCCGTGGAGGAAGATGGCTGCCATCCAGGGCCAGCGACCTGGGAGCGCCTCCTCGCCGCCGACGACCCGATACTTGCCCGCGTTACGTACGCCACACTCTGCGGAAACAACAGACTCGTTCGTCTCCATGACCCCGTTGACTTTAATCGTAAGTGTCCGGGATTATAATTACCGTCGTCCTCTTGAATGAAGTTGTTGTCGATGAGTTCGAGGCTGCCAGTCGTGTTCGTAAGAGCAACGTCCGTCTGGAATCCGTCGACTATCGGTCGTCTGGTGGACGACGGCACCGTGAACAGAGGAATCGGCCGAGGCGTGGGCTTGGCCGTTGGCCTCGGTACGATACTTGGCAAACGAAAAGCAACATTACGGTTAAGGGGAAGTGGTACATCGTAATGTTAATCATCGATCGATAATCGGTTGCGTAAGCGCAAAACCGAATCAAATTAACGAATAGCGATAACTGGCATTGATTTATCGGTAAGCTTAAACCATTCGACATCCGCGCTTTCTTTATGTCCGGCAGATTGCAAACAATAATAGCCATTATGCGAGGTATCGCTAATGTATACATTGCAAAAAGTTTCTTTTTGTCTATAGCGCCTGCTTTTACAAAATAAATATACTTCCTGAAAAAGAGAAACATATTCTCTCTACGACGTCGATTTTTTACACCTCGATAAAAGCCCCTTTTATCCATCGAAGATAATTTTTTACTTATTGTTTTTATTTGGCAAATAAACTTCTCTATAAAACGAAATGAAATGAGCTCTCTTCGGCATCAACTCTTTTATATATCAATAAAGACTGTTTGCTCGTCGTAAAATTTACTTTATCTTTTTATTTAGCGTAGTCATCTTTGCACAAGCTTAAACTACTCATTAAAAAAAATTTTATACTCCAAAAACCGTAGCGGCTCGCATTTAATATGTGACGCTGCGCGATTGTTTTTAATTTTATTTGCGAAGGGAAATTTTACCATTCAAAATGCAATAATTACTGGCAACTCGAGGACGTACTCGTTCTTACACGTTTATTATCCACTGTACTGTTAGGCGAATATACGGTACATTTAGCAAAACTTCAATTCCATACGCAATAATATTAACCTTCGGTTTTTATGAAAAATCTTAACTTTCTTCCGATTACTGTCATCTTTTCCTTTTAATTCACGAGAAACACGCATCAACCACTTTCATGATAACTACTCTTGGAGTAGGTGACGCTTCTGAAAGTTCGAATTCTTTCAGCTTCCAGTCACTTTTGTACAATTTTACATTTACATTACACCATGCGTATGAACATCTTATATTTTTAAAAGAATACAAGAATGATTAGTTCCGATAAGAATTCTTCCCTCTTTTTTTTTTTTTTTTTTACTCCATCTAAGACTTTGTTGAATTTGCTTCCAACGTATATGATAAAGCGATACATCGCATAAACAATTAGTTTCATTGTTTTTAAGAATTAAAAATGTTTAACGATTAACGATAAAAATAAAATGGAATATAAATGCCAATAAAAATACGTAGATATATAATATAGAAAATGAAAGTAACATGTACAGCATGTAAATTCTTTTCATCGCGTTACGTGCAACCGAAGATATTTATTACTTAAATTCCAATGATCAGTCATTATAGGCATAGTCATTTAATAACACGCTATCTCATTTGGAATGAAAAGCTTCTATTTGAGTGTGAGCGAAGAAAATCGTGGAAGAGAAATTCAAAATATTCGTTTTCCGCTTTCTTAAATTGTGATGTTAGAGCAAAGCGCCGTCACGGCGCGAGAAATTGTCAGCTTCGCGAATAAGTTGTAAAAAAGCCCTAAAGCGCGTTTGTTAAGTAGCGATTGATCAACAATTTCAATACTCAATAAAAGTTTGGTTTAATTGCAATGGCTTTATTAATCGACTGTCGAGGCAATTTGTAGCGACGCATTAATATTATTCCAAAGGAAATTTCAATCGGTAAACAGTAATAATACTAATTCTCCTTACTTTAAGTAATTTCCAATTTGAAAGATAATGTGTTGCCACAATCGTTAACCCGTAGCTGTTCCCCATTTAAAAAAAAAGAAAAGAAAAAAAAGTATTCTTTCGAACGAAGCAGTTTCTCTTATCGGAGTTGAAGAAAACGCCGTTAAACGAAAGTAATTTTAATTTTTAAAGAAATAACTGCACAGGAATCCAGACGTTTGTGGCAAATGTCGAACAAGGATTTCCGCTTCGAAGCGACTCTTTCTTTTGGTAGTAACGCGCACGTACAATCTTTCGCTAGAAAATCCTACATATTCACGATAAGAGATAGATAGAGAGAGAGAGAGAGAGAGAGAGAGAGAGAGAGAGAGAGGTATGATACTTACCTCGTCACTGGTACACTGATTGTAAACCTGTCGACTGGGCAGCAAACCCCGGGCACGAAGAGGCTTTTGAAACAAATAGACTGCCGGAGTTTCGTAAGGTCGAGTAGTAGGTGAGGACAGTTACTTAGATCCTGGCATTTACCGTGATGGCCCTCAGTGGTAGTGCAGGTTGGAGGCTGTTCAGTGCTGGCCTTTGAGTCTCTATCGACGACATCGGGGGTGACGCTTGAGGCCTCGGCGGCCACTGTCGTACCTGGGCTCGTCGTCGACTGCACGACCGGGATTTCGGTATTCGGTCTCGAGCTCGTCTGTATCTGTGCTACGGTCGATGTCGATGCCTCCGGGGTGACTGATGATACTTGAACCAAGTTGACTGGCCTTAATCACAAATTTAATTTATTTTTCTTTTATATGAAAAGAGCGCGGTAAATTTTCTCATAGGAAAATCCTCATTTAGAGATATTCTATGTAAATAAAATGAGTTAATGATTTTTAAATTTCATTTTACGAATATTTTTATACGCATATCGTGTTTTTGAGTATCCAATATAATGACAATGATTTACATATTAATTGTCATAAGAGCTTCGTGTACCAAACTTTTATTATATTTACTACTGCATAACCGTAGGCGGATAAGCTCAAAAGATTTTCACATCAAAGCACTAACATTAACATAATTATTTACTGATAAACCTGATCGTAAATGACTTGAATTTATGTTTCGTTGAATTTGATAACATTCCGATTAGAATAAATTATTCATTAATCCAAAGAGATATTTTAAATCGATATGAAATACTAAGCACTTATACGCGATGTATTATACATATAAAGGTAATTATTTAATTGTAATGTAATTTATCACGATTCCAGGATCGCTGTGAAATTGATTGAAATTTTATTTTGTTTGTGTATTCTTTTTATTTTTGTTTATTTATTTTTTATGTTTTATTTTTACTATATTTACTATATTTATATATTTTTACGATATTACTATATTACAGTATTTATAAAAATTATCAAGATATTGAATTTCCAATTGAAACGTTAATGATTATTAAGATTAAAAGCGCCCAACGAAACGGAGTGAAACAAAACAAAAACAACGACGAGCACGATAAGAAAAATCATCTATATTCTTAAATTTGCTAATTAATTATTGGCAAAAGAACCGTTGATAAAGTTTGAAGTATGCAAATCGATGAAAGTAAATCACCTCAAGGGCAGCGTGACACCCCTAACCAAAGGCGCTATGCTGTCGGTGACGTTCCTCCCCAATATATTCTTGGAGATAGTGTAGAGTGCCGAGGGCAGCTCCTTGGGCGGATCGGACGAGTCGACGCCCCGGGTCATGTTGACGATGTAGCTGCCGACGGTATTCAGGGCGCCAAGGGTCTCGGTGATGGTTGCCAAGGGGTCGCTTTTATCCACTTGACTCTCCTGGATACGCACGAGCTGCAGGTGGGGCCGAGGTCTCGTCTCCCTTCGCTGAGCGGCACCGACCCAATGCAATTCCGATTCTGGCCAGCGCCGCGGTGGTAATAGTAGCGGCGGCGGCGGCATCAGGCCCCGTGGTGGAGTTCCATAGCCGAACGTCGGGCCCGCTACTGAAAGTTCATAGGTTGTCGTGTCGACCTGGACTGGACCGGGCGAGTCGACTCTACGTTACGTCACTCGGCTGAATGCCGGATTTTGGTAACCAGTCGCACCCCCGGTGATTGCGATCGCGCGACTCGAGAAATGGGAAGTATTCCTTCCTTATTTTGAATATTAATGTTTTGAAATTTATATTCGTGAGCACGATTTTTAGAGATTAGAAATATTAGAATATCTTAATTAATCTGTCGGAAGGTATCTACGAGGGTTCCGAAGAGACTTTAAACATTAATTATGCTTACATGCCGATTATGAGAACGATCGAGGATAATGTTGTCGAGCGTAGATTAACAATGACAAACATAAAATACGCATTGTATGACGCGAATCTTTAATAATACATTAGATCAAGGACTTTAATGTTAATTTTATATCACTTATCTTCCGATTAAAGAATAATCTACAAATTAATGTACATACTTGACGGATGGATACCTTAGTCTTTGGAAATGCGCTTTAATAAATACTTCTATTCATTTTTCATGAGCCTTGATCATTGGTTATAATTTATTAGAATTAAAAAAATTAACAGTAAAATAAATAATATTGATTTCGATCTATTGAAAATAGAAGATAATCGAGCATATTTCGAAAAACGTTTAATAAGTAATATTAATTTTTTTATTTCTTACAACTAATTGTGTACTTTTAACATCTATAATATACTTTTAATTGCTTTATTGATTTATCATTCAAATTGTACTGCTACCATTATAAATGGTATTTACTGCTTTCAACGTAACAGCCTTATTTCTTTAAGCTTGACACTATTGCCAAAGTTCAATTTCATTTTGCATTCTTATACCATAAATATATTATTTTAATGTAATGCGAGCGAAGACACTTTTGTAGGCTTACGTTGACTGTGGATTTGCAAAATTTCCTCAGTATATGACAGGCTTCCAGCGATTAGGTTCCATATTATATACAGTCCTAAAATTAAATATATACGTTTTAATATCTTGTCTACATATTAAGAAAATTAATTATTACTAATTAATTATAAGGTAAAAATTAAAAAATTACATAAGAATTTTTGAAATTAATATGTATTCTAAGTAGTCATACAACGTTTTCTACCAAGAGAAAGTAGCATATATATGGATAGTTGTTAAAGGCTATTAAAAAAAAAAAAAAATTACGTATGATTTTTGTAGTGAAAATTTGTCTGGTCATTGATTAAAAATCAGTTAGTTATAATTATTGCTCAACATGATACTTTCTTATAATTTATTCATCACTATAATTAGAATTAACTATCACAAATATAAAATTATAATATAAAGATTCTAAAGATTTAATTTTTCAATCTCGTTTAACGAAAAATTTGTATCTTTAATTTTATTAAATTTAAAATAATAACTTCAATTTCCTACATAAAATTCACAAACACTTAAAAATTAAAAATATAATCGTATAACACTTGTACACAATATAAAATTTCGTATTTTTACATGTAACTTATTCTATGGAAACTTGAATGCCTTAATCTTAAAATGCATTCTAGTTATTTAATGCAAATTTTTGCAAATCCATGAAACTTGCAATACTATTTTAGAACATCATTAAAAAGTTTGATTTCTTATAACTAATCATAAAGTTTATTTAATGAATTATATGGAGCTGCAAAAATTTATTTCGGATCTACAAAACTTATAGTCGTTCGTTTAAAAAAATTAATGCTTATGATTTATTCCAAAGCAAAATCCAGCTTCAATAATTTAACATAAATTATTTTCAATATATGTTTGAATTAATAATCGTAATTAGTATTAATAATTTCGTTTAAAAAAATGCTTTATGTAATTTGCATGATATATAACAATTACAAATCTGTCGTTATGTTAAATAGTAAATTAGAAATATTTTGATCATATGCAAAACGAGTTTGCCCTTACCTTATATGAATTTTTAGCTATTGACTTTTTATTATTTATAAAACTAATGTAGTTAGTAAGTTGCTTGAACATTCGTGTACAGCAAACTTATTATCATTTCTAAAAAAATGTTTTAAATTAAATTTAACGATTTAATGATAATAAAAATAAAAGTTTTATTCTTTCTATATTTCCTTCAATGTAATTTGAATGCTTCTTACTAATGAGTTTTATTTCTATTTATCTCTTTATGTCACATATTAAGTAATCTTATGGCATTCCTTTCCAAATGCTTCAACACCATACAATTCGTGCAACTGTTGCAAAAGATAAGAGAGTCTTGTCGATTGGACGGAACACGTCAAGTCTATTGATTAAACTTGTAGATCCTCTTTAAACAGCTTTGTGTACGATAAGGAGAAACTGGTCGCAAACCACGACTCATTTTTAACTTACATCCGAGTACGCATGTTTACCTTATCTCTGCACTTTGAAAACTTTCTTTCTACGTCTCTTATTTGCGGATTATTGTCGATATAAAAAAAGTACTTATCTTCGAACATAATTCAGTCATGCTCCCTTATTAAATTAACGGAGTTTTTATCAAGCAGTGATCATTTATTTCGTATAGCTAGCATACCGTTTACGTATATATTATGCGTCGCTCAGTAATTTTGTCTATTATTTCTGCGATTAAAGCTATTTACAAAATTTGCAAAATTTTTAAATCCTCTTATTGATCTCGTAAGAATCGATACGTAGTTAACTTAAAATATTGAGGTATTGAAAATAAATTCAACCCGAATATGGGATGTATTGCAATATCAATGAACCTAATAAACAATTAATTAAATATTGTTGCATTCATGAGATTAATTGTCATTTATAGAGTAATAAAAATTCTTAATCGCTGAATTCCTTCAATAGTTTCAACTATTTTATCAATTGCTTTATCTATCCTATCTTAATAATTGTTTGATAAATTACAAAATGAAGGTACTGATCTTAAGAATTCAGAATAATGGGCCAAATGGAAAATAGGCCAAGTTTTATAATGAAAAATAATATATAGTGAGCTAAATAAGATGAGCGGAATCGATATTTGAACTCGACCTAATTTGAAGCGCTTGAATCGGTAGTCAAAGCGTCTACCAACTAAACTGTTGGTAAGGCCAAGTAATTCCTTTGTCAAATAAACGACTTTTCAATTTGTTATTACCAACCGAATAACCCATCAAATTGGACATTTGTTTAGCTCGCTCAAGATTAAGATTGTACGAGTGATTTTAATAGGTTATTCGTTAAAGCGAACATTCGTGACGGAAGATGATATACGAACGACAAAAATACAATAGAGCTTGATGCTAGAGATACTTTCGAACTGTTATCTATGCTTACTTGTCAAATGCTTTTATGTCGCTGCATCCAAGATAAACCGTCGATTTAATACCGAAATTACAAATACGACCTGCTGTGCCCATAAAATCCTTAAAACTAATTAAAAAAAAAAAAAAAAAAAAAAAAAAAAAAAAAAAAAAAAAAAAAAAAAAAAAAACCAAACAATCACGCCAAAATGGAATTTGATTATATAATACATAAGATACGTCTAAGATTCTGTTGTAATAAATTAAATTAACTATTATAAGGCTTCGTAAAGAATCATTATAAATGGTTTTTGAGAAAGTACAAATCATCGTAATACTCGTGAAAAAATTACCATATGCAATTACTACATCAAGTGGGACGTTAAGTGATTTTTGAAAATATCAACTATAAATTAGTAAATTTTTACTGTACCTACCTTGCATAATTAAATATATTGGCTATTAGATATAGCGATAATCTTTTGTAAAAGCTTACATGCCACATCACATACATAGCACACAATAATTAAATTAACGATAAAAAATAATAATATTACTTCATATGTTATTTAAAATAATTTTCGTACAATAGATGAAATGATAATTTTTAAAAAGCTAATTAAAACTATTTTTACAGATTATTTAATTAATCACATTCCGGTGACACAAATTTAAAACATTTTAAAATCATAATATTTACCGTTCTTATCTAAATCTATAAAGTTTTTATGTACCTTAAAATGATTTCTAAGGTTTATTTCTATTATTTACTCAATATTTACTGTTCTTAATAAGCTAATTAAATTCTTTTGTACTTATTTGCTTGATAAGAAAATAGATTATAAATAATCCGACTTATTAATAATTATTTTCTGAAATATTGTATCAATTACTCAATGCTCATCTATATTAGAGCTCATTATAATATTAAAATCACTTATAATAAAACTTTCTCTTTATTGTTATTATTTGTTTAGATTTTACGAATTTCAATTAATTTTGTTTACATTTATTATTATAACAACCAATGTTTGATGCCGATATTTAACTGCATACTATAGTTATTGATAAATTCATAAAGTATTAAAAAAAAAGAAACAAAAACAATATGGTTTTTATAATAAATACAAACAATTATTTTTAATGCAAAAAATAATTTTTACACTATAAACTAATTTTCAGAATAAATATTACCTTTTATATCTATTTTAAATATCATTTTATTTATTAATGAAGGTCCAAAGTATTAATTCAACAATGTTCAACGTGTGTTTTTATTATTTCATACTGAAAACAAAATTTATATATATTTTTCATTAACTATCGTGTAACGGTGTAAGAATCTTGTTTTTTTAATAGCTTCATCTTGTAATCACTTTCTTTTATTCAAATTTATACGCACAATGGTGATCATCAAGATATTGTAACTATGTTAATCAAATATTTGACTTAACTTTAATCAGCATTTTAATGACTCTTCTTATGTGAGAATTTTAGATTTAACTTATGCAATAGCTAACGAAATTATTTATCATTTATTTTTAAACCAATTTATAAATTAATTTACTAGTCTGTGAAAATGTGGTAAAAATTACAAAATTAATTGTTATTGAATAAATGGTAATTTTACTTTAATTATTTTTTCATCTTAATTGAATAGGTCTAGTAAATAAAAGAATTTATGAATAACAGGATTCAAGATTATATATCCTGGCAATTCTCCGCATATACGTACATTACGAATTATTTATTTTATTAGCTTTATGTTAAATAAAGTTTTTTACATTTTTTACAGAAACATATATATGATATTATTTATTATTATATCTATTATACATGTATAATTGTATTTGCAGTTATTATGTATATATTGTAAACATAATTTTATATAAAAAATATTATAGGATAATGATGAATTATAAATTATATAGGTTTATATGGTTTAATGATATTGTACTTTATTTACAATATAAGCAAGTAGCCCATTCTTTAAGTGATATTTCAATAATTCTTTCTTGAGACAAGACAAGCTTAAACGTATATGTTGTGAAAAATAAATTAAAAATTTTTTTAACTTTGATCATCAATATTAAAATAATTATTATTCGTAATGTTTATTTGTTAAACATAAGTAAGTTAGATATCCGACTTTGTCTAATATATATGTTAATTCAAATGAAAGCCGATTATATGTATATTTCAAAAATATGCATTACCTTTACGTAATTTTTTTTTATTTTTATTATTTGAAAGTAAGAAAAGTAATAAAGTCCCAATGTTCAAATATATCACATTGAAATTGATTGCGATATTCTATTGAAAGTGTTTATAAACTCAGCCTTGACCGACTGCAATATAAAACAAGGTATTAATAGTTAAAAACAATTAATTAAAAGAGTTAAAAGTAATACATTAAATATGCTTGTTCGAAAAAGTATTTAAGAATTTTAGGCTCGATATTGCACAGAAGAATTTTCACCACTAAAAGGATTCTAATAGTAATCGTTTCATCAACAAATTCTACTAGTATTTATTTACTGTACAATGCAATTGCGAAAAATTCATTTTCTGTTAAAATATCTTTGTTTTTTTTTTTTAAATACTTTTCATATATTAGGTTATTTAATTTTACTTTGGGTTTTCAATTCAGCGTCTTGTGTGTGTACAATATGTATATATAATAATTAATTGTAAAATTTAACAAAAAGAAAGTTCACTTGAAAGTTCTTTGGCTTTTCGCGAGAAAATAAGGTGCATAGCACTACTACTTATAAATTAACGTTAAACAACGTCGAAGATAAAGGATAATTAACATTCAAACTCGAATAACATTTGCCAGCTCATTGATTCACTCACCGAGTTACGAAATTTACCAACGGATTATGTATTTGGCAAAGAATGCATTGAGTGAGAGATTTGGGATGTCCAAACATCATTGTCAGTCACTTGCAACACCTAGCCCTTGCATAATCGTGTTATCACTCATTATGCGAATCAGGCGCTGATCGACCGAGGCTTTCTTGTCGTCTCGATAAAATGGCTGGAGTCTGCGGTTTTCACTATAGCGCGAGTTTCTCTAATTTAAATTTTCGAGCGCGTGTACGCGCTTTCGTAATTGTCGAACTGACGACGGACGTTTTATTAATATGTTTTTAAATAAAATACAGTGCTAAATGTTTATTAGTGCTTTATATTTACAAAGGGTACCAATGTCAATTAATAGGGAATATTTGTATTTATTTTATGCGATTTTTCAAGATTTACAATGGATTTTGACGATGTGAGGAGCTACTGAACGCAATTCGTTTGATAAAAATCGTTACGAGAGATGACTCGTTTCACCGAAATTATCAATCGATAAATCAAAATTATCAATTAATCCGTTGGTCGCTTAACGGTTGTTAAATTTTTAGTAGATAACATCGTAATATTGTGAATATTAGCTTTCTTTAATTTAAATGATCAGGATGAAACTTAATCATAATCAATTTTTACCTCAATGACGACCAACGCAAATAATATGAATTGATAAAATACATTATGCATAAGAATGAAATTTCTCTCGACTGAGATAAAAGTGCAATATTAAAGTAAAATTCGCGATACGAAAGATTTTATCATGCTTTTGGCTTGTTAACGAACTGTTACTTGTATACGAACATTTCCTATCTGTTACGCACGTATAAGCAATGATTTTTTGTAGCTAGTTTTACTAGATATATAAGTTTCTTTATTCTAAATGAATTGCGTGGTACTTTTATTAAAAGTGCCGGACACAAAAAATAACAGTCTTGGAATAGCGATATCAAGGCACGTACAGGTATCATGTCGAAAAAAACAACAGCAAAAATCCAGTTTGTCACGTCTCGTTCTACGAATAAGAGCCGACAGCAAATACTTGTATGCAAATCTCCGCGTGGATCCGAATGGCCAAGCACCGGAGCTTTCTACGTATGCTCTCGGCGCAGACTTAAAATTGCCAAACGCAACCAAGAAAACGCTAGAAACTGGCGTTCGAGCGCGGATTTAGGAAACGAGAGAGTTCGCCGATAGTCGGAACGCAACCAGAGGTCGTGGCAATAAAAAATATGAGATGGCTTCCGTGGTATGAAGTAATCGAAGGTCGTTGGAAGTGAGCGATATGATGCCGGATGCGAGGTGGTCCGGTCGCGGAATGGCCTCGGCGAGGATATTTCGGTGCGGCTTCATCGACGGTGAAAGTCCCGTGAAAGTGTGGCTTTCTTCCGCTCGCTGATTCATCGCCAATGCCGATACAACGAGGCGTGCGCGAGCGAGCGACGCCTAGAGACGTTTCGTGCTGTCTTGCCCCCCCCCTGTATTCCCGCCCCCGCGCTTCTCATCGCCAGACCCTTGTTTTACGTGCTTTCCACGCTCTTGACCGATCGATATCCGCGGCTTCTCGCGTCACGAGAGGCAACCGGCGATTAGAGAGCGCGAGAGCACACGGCAAGAGGATTGTTTAGACTCCCGTATGTAATAGATTAATAGAGCAATTAACAAGGTTGCCGAACTTTCACTTCGTCGCGAACTTAATTTAAAAGTCATTGATCACGGTCCCGGCGGCTTCCCGGTGAAAATACCGAGTGTCTGAGAGCGCAACTAATGCTCGGGTCGCGCGAGATGATGAGCCTAGGAGGTGCTTTTTTCATTACCGCCACTGACCTCCTTTTATGCAAATTCAACGAAATTTCACCGCGAGAGATTCCGAGCATGCCCCCACTCCCCACTCTGCCGCGCTAATCGTGTGACATCATCCGAAGACGGAGCCGTTCCGTCGGCTCCTTTACCGATCGCTCGATTCGATTATTTATTTCCTGCTGGTCACGCTTGGCGCCCGATTTCGGGAATCTTCTGACGCGCGCTCGATGAACAACAACAACAACAACAACAACTGGTTTTGCTTTTATTTACTGATACCCCCGGCTGATATCTCTTCGCGTACGAGTCTCGGTCCTCCTGTGAAAGCGAGCTCTGATCTCTTTTTCTCCCCCTCTGCCCCGGTCGCTCCATTTTTCTCATTCCTCCTTTTGTTCGTCCCGCAACATCCACTTTCCTATGGCCATGAATTCGTGAAAAATTGTGCGCTACAAGTGAAAATCTCACGGCTATAAATGATGCGCGACCGCGACTCCAAGTTAAAGCTCCTATGTAAAGTCTCCACACGGCTAACGAACATCCATCCATAAAAAAATGTCATTCCGCTAACTTTTCGTATTCCGATGAATCGCCATTCTTCTTGTCCCTTGTGTCCTACGACGATTATACGAGGGAGACTCGGCTACCTGCGAATTCGCTTGCCACCGTCTCGCGCGAATCTGCGTTTCCGAAGAAGCGCGCTCAATCACTTTGTAGCACTTGGCCAGCCTTGTTATTTATTAAAGCCACAACAATAAAAAAAAATGCTCATCATATACCGTAAAATCAGGAGGAGAGCGCGCGCACACATTTAAATCACTCTTACGGTTATTGCATTTTCCGCTCGTCGAGCAAATGACTCTGTAAGAACGCGCGCCCGCGAGACAGAGTGAGAGAGAGAGAGAGAGAGAGAGAGAGAGACGGAACGAAAGGACAGTTGTCCCGAGCCCTCCAATATTTCCCTTCGAAACAAGACAATTGCTCCGGTTTCTTTTCCTATTGCCGGTGCCTCTACTTGGTAACCTAGATACGATTCTGTGCAGCGCTGCGATACGAACCCGGGGATGGGCGCCGGGGTTGTGCTCGGCGAGCGGTTCTTTAACGAAGTCTTCGTTACATCGCGTTGCTTTTTGCACTGCAAACCCGACTCCGCATAACGGTCCCGCGCTCCTCCACTTCTGTTTCAATTGCCGCGAGAGATAAATGCATTGCGCAGCTTCATGTCCAAATTATCTCTTTGCAGCTGCACTTAACCGAGGCAGTTCCGCGCAAATGCCCTGGCTCGCTCATAATTCGATATACCGCGATTATAATCATTGTTTTCGCTGCATCGCAAATTTCTCTTCCTTCGATGCGCAATTAGATGATCGTTGCAAGCCGATTGTTCGATACCATAGAGTTCCCTCCCTAAGAATCACTGTTCCGCGCGCGCGTTTTCCCGTAAACAATAGCGGGACCGCGAGCTGGTGTATCAGCCTTGTTCAGACCCATTAGAGATCCCGTAGCCCGTAGGGGCGCGCACAAGAAAGCAGAACTTACCTATCGCTTGGGACGTTGGCATTGTCGGTGTCGGCAGCATGTGACGGGGGTGAAGATCGCGGAACCGCGTGTTCACTTACATTTGAGCGACGCGAACTCGTTCGAGAGGGGTAGTGTTACGATTCAGCGACGGTTCCTCCGGACACTTCGGCAATATTATGGACCTCCTCCTCTTAACTCTGCATCTGGCGTCTGCCGAACGGTAAATAAGCGGGCCCGAAATACGTTCAGTAGGATGCAGGACTAGCGAGGGCGCCGCTCGAGGGGGACGAGAAGGAAAGGATCGTTTGGAAGTGTCGCGCGCACGCCGCGACGATCCCGACTACGGCCGTGACTCTCCGTGAAAAGACCTCGACACACTTAGACAATCTCTTTCTCTCTCTCTCCCTCTCTTTCTCTCGTTATTTCTCTTCCGTGGAGACGCTTATCCCTGCCGCAAGGGAAAGTGTTCCCTACTACTACTATTCGCCGCCACCGCCGTTGATTCTCGTTTATGACGATTCGTCATGGGTAATTCGTCGTTCGTATATTCGTACGTCCGCATTCCGCCGACACTCGCAGCAACTCGCTCCCGTTTACCGAACATTCGCGCCCTATATTCGCAATCGACGACGCGGTTTTCAATGTAATCTTGGATTATCGCGATAAAACCAATGACGTCTGCTTGTCGAGTTTCCTAATTTCCGTTGACATTTACTCACCGTCGAAAAGTAAAAGTTGCAGTTTTTAAATTGAGTTCAGCCCTACTGCGTGCTTTGAGAAATGTTTGCGATTCTTTTTATTTTGAATCCAAGGCCGACATTGCCTTATCTGTACTTATCCTTATCTGAATTTATTTGTGTAAACGGCACTTAGCAAATTACTCAAAATCTAGCCATGACATTTGTCTATGTTAAATTTACGCGAACACCGCTATAAAAATTTTTTACTTAAAACGATGATCATGATTATTTAAAGATTTAAAGTTTCACTATATACGTAACGCGTAAATTAATTTTAGAATTATTGGCACAACTATGTTAATGATAAATAACACTATAAATAATATTTAATTTGAAGCTTTGATAATTTATCACGAAAATATCTTCATTCTTACTATTAAATTGGTGGAGTTAGAAATATTAGAAATGATGGTTTATATATATATTTTTTTTTTTTCAATAAGATTTATTATTTACGATGTATAATTAATATACATTTAAAGATCGCGATCGAATTTGCTTAATAATTATATATAATACGAAAATGAGCGTTGTTATAGTGTATTCATTTCCATGCGATTAAAGTGGGTTTGCTTTGTACTTCGACAACTATACAAGTTATGAAGTTAACGTTACTGTCATTATGGGCGATTTATGCAAAAAAAAGGATAAAAATTAGGTATCACCTCGCATGGAAATGAAACAGTGCTTAAATTATGCATACATATGTATGTATATGTGTGAACACACACACATATATATATATACACACACATACAGGCGCGCGCACGCACACACATACATATATTATACTAATATGAAAAACTCAAATTTCTTTTATTTTATACATATTTTCCTTATATTTGTACGTAATCATTCATTTTACGTAGCAATTCAAAGCGTCTGACTTATTATAAGCCTAAGCTGTACTTCTATAATTATAATCAATACTCAACATAAAATTATAAAATAAAGTCTCTTAGTAATAAGTTTTACTGATGTTGGTGGAACTAAAACAATTAGCTCTCGGGTATGCTTTATTCAGTACCTAAAACGATCGTTTTCTCCTTTAGTCGATCATCACAAGTTTTAAAAATACCTGAAGGTATCTATTATATTTACTCCGAATACAAAAGTCATTTATCAATATTGAAACCTGACGCTTTTCACTTTATTTTAATAGATGTTTAGTATTTTCTCATATTTTGCATGGAGCCTTTGTACGGATCGAATCTCTCGTATGATCCACTGTTTCCTTGTGACATGCCACCGAATGATTGGTTTGGCCCTCCTCCTTGATACATTTGTGATCGTGGGTGTCCCATATTGTTACCCATATTATTGGAATTATTCCATCGAGAATTCACCCTTAAATATTATTTAGAAATTAACCGATTTAATTATAAAAGATTATACCCGTCAACAATTTAGTCATTTATTTACCTTGAATCTGATGATCGACTGTTCCAACCCGACTGTTCATTCCGATTATTAACTGAATTAAACGGCTTTGACGGAGGTCCCGAATGCCATCCAGTCTGTCGGTTGTTATCTACATATCGGCCGTCACCTGGAGACAAAGTCCATAGAATTTAATGCAGAAATTTACGAAATCTGATTATGAATATAATAATCAACTTACGTTGATTGTTAGGTTTCGAATTGTCATAACGATTGTGGTTATCTCGAGAACTTCTATGGTTGTCATCCGATCTGTGGATTTCTCGATCACGTCCGAATGTTGATGGTCTTTCATATCTATAATTCATAAATTACTTAATATAAAGCTCGTGCACAACGCATATTTTAAGAAGCATAATGAGAAGTCATTAGAGAGAATATAAAACGATAACAGCGGGAAGCAATATCTTGAAAATCGGCGAAAATTAGGGTGACACAATGATACCAACCTCTCCTTAACTTGTCGGTGGTCCATTGAGTTTTGATTAGGACGGGAATCCCTGCGTACCATAACGTCCCTCCCGCCCCTAGGAACTTCGTTAAACTGATCTTCGCGATTGTTCCTCGATGCGAAGTCATTACCCCTTTTGAAATTTTTTTGCATGCCCATTTCCTTGGACCTGACGCCATCGTATCGCGAGGGCACCGGGGCAGTGTCCATGCGTCTGTCCGAAACTCGCTCCATGACGTCAGCTCTGCGTTCGTTGACGCGCTCTGGTGGGCTATGTCTCCGATTCGGGTGTTCAACATTTATCCTTTTCCTTTCGGGCTCGACATACACGTCCCTCGGTTCCCTACGATCGCTCGAAGTCCTCTTTAACGCGGGCGGAGGTGGCACCCGCCTGTTCTCCTCCAGCCGCATCTGTTGTCTTTTGAGCTCGAGGCGCTCCCGTTCCAATTTCTCCCGCTCGACCTTCTGCCGTTCACGCTCAAAGCGCAACAGCTCAGCTTTTTCTTGCTCGATTCTCTCCCGCTCGAGGCAGAGCTTCTCCCGTTCACGCTCAAGACGCGCAGCCTCGCGTTCAATCGCCCGCTGCCGTTCTATGTCCTCGCGCCTACGTCTCTTCTCTTCCCTCAATAGTCTCTCTTTTTCCCTAAGCCTCTGTCTCTCGCGCTCCTCCTATAAATTGATGCTCCGATTTAGTCGTCGCAATTCATCGTATGCGACCGCAGTCTATTAACTACTAAAAAAAAAACCATATACTTTTATTTTAGCAAAAGATAGTACGTTATCTCTACGATGGCGTTCCCGGCTCTTGGATCTCGAAGTGCGCGAGCGGTCCCACGATCTTTTCTTATCTTCTCTGCTATTCGCCCTTTCTCTGTCTGGCTTTTTGCTGTTAGATTTGGTCGAGCGTGTGTCGCAGTCTTTCAGGGAGCCTTCATCCTTATTCTCCAGGCTGCTTTCTCTCTTCTCTCTGTCGATACCCTCTTCTCCCTCCTTATCCTCCGTTTCCTTTTCCAGTTCGTCACTTTTATTCTCGTCCTCGTGTTTCTCCGCCTCCTTTTCGATTGGCTCTACATCTTTGATCTTTTCCTTTTCATCTTTCTTGTCAACTTTGATGAGTGGATCACGCTTACGATTATGATTTTGTTGAGAATCACCCTTCGCCTAATTTAATTGAAGTCACATTTATATTCATGTTATCATTGTATTATTATTATTATTATTATTATTATTAGTATTATTGATATTATAAGATTATTTAATAATGAGCCTGAGTTATCGAAAAAATATTTTGTTGAAATAATAATCTTGTTACATTAATCGCAAAGGTTCATTATAATTTTTTTTACTTGATAAAAGTATTTTTCTTATTCACACATGGATTTATATTTATAATTCAAGAACTTATGGTACTTGATTGAAAATTATACCTGACAAAAGATACGTAATGACACTTAGCATCAATATGAATCATTAAATCTTTTAATTTAAATGTCCAGCTTTTATTAATATTTAATAATAATAAAGTAGCTAATTATATTTTCGGAATTGAATTTTAAATATGTACATAATATTACCAAGATTTACGTATAAAAATAAAATTTATTTCACGTATTTTCAAAATTTAAAAATCTTTATAATATTCTATTCTGCACATTATTATTAACAGTTCATCGTCTTATGTTAAAATCTTACTTATTTAAAACTTAATTTCAAACATTATACCTGTGGTTATTAATTTTACCAATTATAAAGTTGTAACAAATTTTCGTATTTTATTTGGCATTGCAAAGGGATAAAATTTATGATTAATAATTTTTTTTAAAAACATTAAACATATTTTGGATTTTGCCCTTCAATACTCATTTTAATAGTCAATATGGATTTTCTTTGTTTGAAAAATTATAAATTTAAATTATATATTTAAAAAACCACTTAATATAATACACAATTTAATATAATACAAATTAAAATAAATACATAAATGCTAAAATATGAATATATGTTTCATACTTTTTTCATATAAACTGATTTAATACATGAAAATTATATTAAATTTTAAAAAATTAGAACACAATTTGTTTTTGTTAATAATTTCCTACAATTTCTTTTGACTATGCCTGATTTAACAATATACATAGTGCTAATTGCTAATTGTTAATATAAGAAAAAGTAAAAATTAATAATGGTTTGCACATATAAACCTTTTTCATTAATATAAAATTTCTGTTCATCTATTGTTCTGATAAAAGTTTTCAATATTTTGAATTGTTACCTCTCTCAACTAGAAAAATATAAATAATTTCTTATTTGGTTATAATAATACTTGAATAATACTTAAATTATTTATTTTTGGATGAAAAATAGAGCCTAAGAATTTTAAAACCACTAATATTTAAAAATTCACTGTCATTCAAGTACTGCATATGATCATTTAAGTAAATTCTTTAAACATGCGATGTGAATCAAGAATTCAAATTGTAATTTTTAAATAATTAAAAGTGGCTTCAAAATTTTAATAATATAATAAACTAAACACGAGTTTAGTTTTAATATAGAAGATGTAAACAAAATTTATAATTATTTCTTATTTAATAAAATTTAGTCGTATGATTAGATTCAGAATCAAATGAAAAAAAATTCATTCCGAACGATACAAGTATATGTAAAAAAGATACGATAAAACTCAATTATTTTCATATTTTAATTATATAGAATGTATTTATATATATATATATATATATATATATATATATATTAATAGAAACTGTAAATAACTGTACAAGTGACTAAATGTAGCGAGTATTAAATACCAATGAGTAATTATTGATGTGTAATTCATAGTTTTAAATACTGTGATGCATGATACATAATATTTTAATGTTTTATCGGAATTTCTAATAATCATTTATAATATAATATATAATAATCATATATGTATGTATAAATATTTTTAGGTGTATTTTTGTATCAACTTTGATACAAACTATATTCTAGTTAAAAATTCATTCAATATTCATTTCACCATTTTCAAACACTTCTGTATATAAATTTAGGTCAATCATATTTAATATGTTTAAATTTAATATGTTTAAACGTAAAAATATAATAATCATGTTATTATCTCAAATTAAAAAATCTATGTTTGCGTAAACATTTAGTAAATGCAAAGTTTAGGCACTTACATCGAACGATTAGGCTGTACTCCCTCCTGTTATTTTGTAAGTATTGATTTTAATATTGTATTAACTTTGGTTTTTATAATAAACAGGAGGTAAAAATTTCGTAAATGACTATTTGTTAATTTTACTTCAGTTACAGACATAATGTAATTAATATCTAAATTAAATACATGTATGTCCAGTTAATATAAAAATAATTTTTTGAATAGGGATCATTTTAAATGTTTAGAAATTGAGTTACCATACTTCTTGTGTCTTATTAATAAAAGAATTGTTCTCATGGTTATAAAATCTTCTAAGTAAATTTCTTTGCGGAATATAATAATGTTCATTATATATCCTTAATTTTAGAAAATGAAATAAAGCCTTACAAAATAATTCTTTTTAGCAAAAACAATAAAATCCTTATTGTAATATTCCTACAGCTAGTGATTAAATTACATTTAATTATAAAATATCGAAGTATTCATGATTTTAAAAGCATAATTTATACAGGGAATTATCTGTTGGTACACACTTTTTGGGCTTGGTAACAAATAATAACAATTTTATATAGAAAAAAGGCACCTTTTCAACGGAAATAACTCTACCGTGGAGTTCTGTTCTGTGCAAGTATTGGATGCATTTTTCAGCATCATCACTTGTAGACATTGTAACATAGCCATAACATCTAGCTCCTGGCGTTCTCGCGTTTGTGACGACCTTCGCTCCAACTACTTTCCCGTATTTAGAAAATATTTGTTTCAAATCGGTGGCACGAGTGGTCGATGAAAGACCGGATACCCAAAGATTCCTACTGCTAGCATTGATTGAAACCGTAATGCTCTTGTCTATAAAAAGATTAATTCATTAACATTTTTCTTTATTATAAATTAGGAAACAAGGATGATAGATATTTCTGACAGGTACCTTTCTCATCCCTTTTTGGAGCTTTAACCAGGGGATCACCGCTGAAAATAATAACCCCGAGTAATGAGTATTATTCAAATTAGTTATAATTATAAAGAATAGTAAGGTCACGTTCGCTAAGATAATTAAGGCTAAATAAGTATCTCTGTAATTATGTTAAGAGTATAAATTTGGCTAGCTACTCTTTAAGTTTTTGGTAAAAACGTTTTTAGTTATAATTAAAATGTTCCTTGCATTCAGTTTTATTTCTGATTTATCACTTTTGGTCTTCGCAACACTTCTAAATGTCTAGTTATCATTATACAAACATCTTCTTTACACTTCCAGAATACCCTGTGACTGCTTTGATTGCATCTTCTTATATAGAGTCCAGTTTACCTTTGCATAAATCTCTTTGAGATTTATTAAATAAAATCACTGACACCGAAGATATTTACACATCAAATATAAAAGCAATAACATAATAGAACGTTAATTGCGTTTAATTAATCGTTTATAAATGTATATGCACGGATACTACGAAACTAAGAAAAAATATAAATACATGAAAAATCTGATTATATTAATATTACAAAAAGAAAAAATCGAAGTTGAACATATATTTCCATGCAGACTAAAAAGTAGTAATAAAAAAACATAGAATTATTCATATGTGTACAATTTGCACTACCTTGCTAGCCAAGTTTTCGATTCCTTAACATATTTGCCAGAGTTAAGAATTACAGCCTGAGTGAAGTGCGCAAATCTCAGAGCTTTGCTCGTAATATGTATATTTATATATGTATATATATATATATTTTTTGTTTTAAAAAATAGGGAATAAAGTGATCTTGCATGTGTGACAGTGTCGACTGAATTGATCTTGTAGATCAGAGAATGTTGTCCAATATAGCACTAATGCTCTCGCTGATGGAAACCACTGAGAATCATCTGCTATCATTGCAGTGCTATCAGTGAAACTGGGGGTTGCATACACGACTGGTGTCTGGTTGCCAGCCAAACCACTGTGAACCATTTAGCGAATGTTAGACCAACCTCTTGCATCCTTCGCCATCCTGCTTGCTTTTGAGCCCTGTTGCGTTCGGTCCTGAAGCCAATGATGTCCCTTCCTTGCTACTGGCACTGCTCTCCGCTCTGCCGCTCCCTTTAGAGTCTCCCTTCTTGTTGTTACTGCTGTTGATGTTGTTGTTGATGCTGTTGTTGCTTTCTTCCAATCTCTTCTTTGCACCTCCATCTGCTGGGACAATCAAGGTAGCATATTGGTCACTCTCTGACGAGCTAGACACCTTTAACTCCCTAACTCTCGTTTAGAACCACACTTGTCGGACAGCTGCGTCCTGAGAAAAGAGTCCTACTCCCCAGTTTCTCACAGGAAGTTTTTCTCAAGCAGAATCAGTTTCTATATATTTATTGTATATACGTAATTTTTAAATATCCTTTTATGATATGGTAAAATCTATAATTGTCCAGGGAGATCCCTGAGATTTATAATCAAGAAGAGAAACTAGAAAGGGCAAACTGGCATGGCGGCGTAAGTGCTCAGCTTAAGAATGTAATCAAGGAGCAATAAGGTAAGTTCCATATGAAATTTACGAAGACGGTTCTTGCGCGGAGACGCTGGAACTTAACAGGTCACTTCTCTTTTACATCCAAGGAGTTGTAAATAAGGAATTTTTGAAGCTTGCAATAAGGTTAATTTAAGGCGTTCATAAATCTCTGATAAACTAGTCGACGATGATTAAAATCCAACGATGTATCTATGCGGCAGGTATAATTAAAGTAATTGCATTAAGAAATTGTATCGATAACTAACTTAAAGACTAACGCTTATAAATGTCTACATTTCTTGTTGCAGCAGAGCTTAGGTCGGTACGTAAAAAAATTATGATGACAAATTTCGTAAAACTGCTATAGGTTGGAATAGGCTCTCGTTGTATGAATGGGACGTCGTTCTCATTAATTTTGTCCAATCAGGTTGTCCAAGTGAATGCGCTTTCTTTTAAGTCATCTCTCTCAAAATCGGCAAAAAAAGTCAAACCGCATCAATCTTCACCTTTCCCATAGGTAGTGGCTGATTTTTTTTAGTTGTAATCATTTTTACTTATATTCATATAAATTTTTTATTTATTATTTTATTATATATTTTTTAATATTCTCTGCTGCAGCTCAGATGAGATGAATAATTAATGACTTGTATAAATTTTATTGGTCATCAATTAATAGTTGCTAAAATTCGTTTAAAGAATAACTCATAACTTAAAAAATGAAAGTGTTGAAACTTACCTTTCAGCCTATCGTTTGACTCCGACTAAAAATATAAAATTGTATTTTATTAACATTCAATAAATAACATGTATATAATTTCATATTATCAATAAAATATTGTTTTATCTTGTTAACAATTATTTTATAAGTTTGTTTAAAAAAAAATTATGTAAAACTTATAAAATATGTAAATTAGTTGAACTGCAATTATATAAAATGCAATAATTAAATGTATGAATGGAAGTATACAAATATTTTATTTTAAATAATTTGAACATAGAAAACAGTAAAATTGATTTTATGAAAATAATTTATGACATACCTCTTCTACAAGTAGGTTTTCTTCATCCTCTCCAATTGTTAAATTAATGGAATCTTCATTATCAATACCATTAGCTTCGATCGTAGAAACATTACTAGACTCCTCTGAAGCAATAAAAGGTTTTTTTTCAGGAATTGGTTCTTCTGTAGGAATTGCTGTAACTGTTGGTTCTGGCTCAATTTCTTTGTACTCCTAAATTGTTTAAAATAATAGTAATATAAATTATGTAAAATTTTAATTTGTTGATTATTAGGAAAACATTTTTTATTGCAATACAAAAGGTCCGTTATGTTTGATTATAAATTATTATTAACATCTATAAGCTAAAAATTTAAGTTATTATTTTAAATTTGCAAAAAGTAATTTTATTTTACAAATTTTAAATATTTCAACAGTATTTAATGTTATACATACATATACAATTTCTCAATAGATATTATTTATAAATGAGATAGAATGATAATAAAAGTCTTTTAATCATACATTATAATTTTGATATTATTATCACTGAAACACAATGGTATGATCTTATATGCAAGTATCTAATAAAATTTTCAGCTTCAAAATATCATTTGAAAAGAAATATTAGAAGCATTATTTAATTAGATAAAATTAAAATGATTCTTTTCTATATTATTTTCTATATTAATAATTTATCAACATAAATATTTTATGATTTGATAGCTTCAAGTATTAAAAACCAAATATTCTAAAAATATTTCAAAAATAATAAATTATTAATTAATATTATTTAAGATTATTAATTTTAATTTTAATGGTATTAATACATACCATTTCTAATTCTTCAGGTTGTGCCGTAATATTTATAACTGGTTCTTCGGGAATATTTTCAATAACTGGTGGCGGTGGTGTTGGTTTATCTAATCCACCAAAGTCATTATGGAATTCATCTTTTTGAATTTCTGTTTCTAAAGCATCTTCGATCATAATTGAAGTATCTAAAACAGTATAAGTTAGAAATAATTATTTTATATATAAGATAATAAGTTTTCTTTCTGACCCAGTTAGAGTATCTATTTTAAGATAGGACACGTAAAGTTAGTGATCATTATGTGCCTTTAAACTATTTTAATTAAAATTTCGAATTTTTATTATTTAATTCTTAATAATTAAAAATAAATGTTTAATTGTTTTTAAAATCATTTTTTTTTCGTTTAAATTGATACAACTATAGTAAAAATACGAAAATTCCATGATTAATTTCAAATTAAAATGTTTTGCCAAATTATTCTAGCCTTCAACGCAAATTAATTAATAAGCACAAATCTTAAACAATATTGTTCTACGGAAAAATAAATATGGAATGTACCGTATAAGATCTAATAAGATTTAAGAAATAATTTAAAAAAATAGAAATTTCAACAAACAATATTAGGAAATCTATACGTATTTGTCCAAATTTACGACTGATGACTATCTTAGAAAAATTACATTGAACATAAAATAATAATAAAATTTAAAATATTTAAATGCCTTAAACATAAGTTGATAAAAAAATAATTATCTTTTGTTGGCATGACAATAAATAAAATTTTATATTCATTCGCTCACACCATGGCTATTTTCATCAATTTATTTGATTTTATTCGTTTAAAGTTGTCTAGATCACGATAAAATATATTTTTAATGTAATTAAAAAGATTAAAAATTTTTAATGTAATTAAAAGGATTAAAAATCTTTAATGTAATTAAAAAGAATTTTTTTTATGCGTATTTTATTGTTTAGAAACGTTTATTTCCGTAAGTTTTCTAAACAACGTAATATTAAAAACTAAGTTATTTATGTACATAAAAAAAAAAACGAAAAAAAATTGACTGTTTTTTTTTATTAGTTTTAAATTAATTACGGTAAAATTCTCGTATCAACCTTGTTTTATATATTCTCTTTTCTACAAGACAAAGTACAGTATTTTTAGTCTGTGCACGTGAGTAATGGGTCAGATAGTCTAATATAAAAATAGTTAGAACACGATTTTGATCTACTTTTTTGTTTATTTTTATTCTATACATTATTTATTTTTCGTTTTTAGTGAGTTGATTTCTAGGTTTCTCAAATAGGACCTAATAATATTTATCTAATAAAATAAATTTACAAAGTAAAAATGCATAAAGATACAGTTTAAATAACATATGAATCATTGCTCATGTGCGCTAAAAATTCTCTAGCTGAACTAAATAATTCAGCTTACGAAATGACGAGTATTAGTTACTTAATTGATACGGACGCATTGGGGTTTACGATAATATTTCGAAATAAAGTAATATTACATAAACACTTCGGATCAAGTAGTAAAAATAATGATTATATTTCGCGATATTTTCTCATATTACCTGTGTCTAATGTGATTTAATACCATTATTTAACGATAGAACGATTGAATAGATTAATTTAACAATGCTAGTAACTTTTATGCATAAGAAAATTAAGTACTTTCAATATCTCATATTTCATTAAATGGATTCTACAAATGTACAACTATTTTAGAAATATTTGCTGTTTTATAATATTATATGAAATAACTATTAACATATTAATACAAAGAGTGACTTACCACCATGTTGCACTATTCATAGTATAAGTAAAGTAAATGGTTAGATTTAAATAAGTATACATGAAATAATTTTACATTATACTTTGGAGCTAAAGATTTTGTATGTTATTAACATGACAATGTTATAACAAAATTACATTAAATATTAATGTAATTATAAAATATGGTTTATTTTAATTCCTTAATATATTAATTTCACTTTTAAGAAAACAGTTTAGATATAATAAAATTAATATTTAATATCCCATTAAGCATTATTGAAATATAATGTTAGAGTTGCAAACTCAGTTGTATGTATAACAGAAATAATATTTTAATGAAACATTGCTCAAGATAGTTTTTCAATGACTATGTATTAAATTTTAAAAGCAATCAATATGATGGAATAATCTTTACTTTCAATATTCAAATATATACTATAAAACATTATATTAAGTTTTATAAATTTTTTTTATAGAGTTTTAAATTCTATATTTTACAATGCATTACCTTTCGTATTTAATTTTCATAAATACTTTTGCAATTGTGTTTAAATTCTACAATTAATAATTATAAAAAAATTACATATTTAAATGCTAAAAGTTAAAATAAGAATTAATTTTTGTGCTTAAAATATTTAAATTTGTAATAGCTGACTAAATAAATAGCTTACATTTGTTACTGTCTACTTTTTATAATTTGTTATTTTTTCTTCACTTTAGAATATTGTAAAATATAATATAAAATGTTTTATATTATATTATCATTATTTAAATTAAGCAATAAGAAGGGTTGACAATCACAGTTGGCAATTAAAGTTTCTTAAACGTTATTAACTAGCAGCGTAAGATAAAGAAATTTAATAAAAATTTGACATGATAAATGGGCTAGGTTATTTTATTTTTGAAAAGAAAAAAAATGACTATTTAAATTACATAAGGAATATAATATACCGATTGGTTTTTTTGGGCTAACTCTGCTCACACCACCACATGGAATTATTAAACACTCATCTGGATTACCACCTTCTTCTATGATAGCCTAAAAATAAAATAAAAAACAAATTAAACTAAATAATGGTATCAAACTTGACATTTATTGATGTTAAAATATGGAAATCTATGAATGTTAAATTATCTAAACAGTTTCAATTAAAAAATAATAAATTCTACCGATAATCAATAATTATAAATAAAAATTGCGACTATTACTTATATAATTAATGATCCAACTATACAGAAACTAAATCAAAAGTAGCAAAAAGGTTAAGTATGGTAAAGCAAAAAAACTATATGAATATAATCCCGTTTTATTAATTATTAGACGAATAATAAAATAATACCTTAGCCAGTCTCTCAAGGAGGGCAGCCTTGTTTCCGGTTTTGTCTAGTCCACGCCGCTCTAATTCAGTTTTTAAATCTATAACTCTCAATTCGGTTAACTTCTTCCCCTCTACGTCGGCCATCTTCGCTCCAAAAGACTAAATGGAAGGACTGCGACTCGGGATACACCCTTTCTTTGCTTTCGTTAAACACGTATTTTTATTGTTTCTTATACGGGCCTACGAAAAACTTAATTAATGACTATTCTATACAAAACTACCTAGATTAATGTTTATTATCATCACACACGTGAAAATGTAAGAACGTTTAACAACGCAATATAATCACATCCGACGCAACAAACACGGAAAATATGGTTTGTCGACTACCGGAAGTCTTGATTGATCTTGTTGCCGCGGCAGGGGAATCGAACCAAAATGCACTATTTGTTCTATCTCTGTCTAATGACATATTAATCCCGACCGGGAAATTTGAAAATTTACCATTGCAGGTAGGATAAAATCCAGAACACTTGTGTTTATGAAATAGTGTTCTACCTAGGTCAATATGCTTAATAAAACGGTAATAAATCATGAATTTTTAAGAAAGCAAACGTAAGGACGAAGGGATTATGCTTTTGTTGAAAAATTGCAGTGTTCAAGTAAATGGCGGTAATTAAATATATTTCCAACAGTACTATTAACGATTGTAGCCATAAGCAGCACGTGCAAACGGCATGTCTCAATTTTTCAAAATGTAATGAAAATTGTTCCCAATTAAATAATTATCGTTTATTAACGAAAAACAGCCACGTTTATAAAATGATAAGAAAATATTTGTCCTGCGGCCTCGTAAAAGCTTGGTATTTAATTTAAGTATTTCTAAAATCTTCTAATTCGACCGGAAATAACTAGCGATACCGTACGAAGTGCGTTCGTTTCTTGTACTACATAAACACGCTATCCATGCTTGCATTCTTCAAGTATGCAGTCCCGAATGTCGGAAGTTAACCGGCTCTTTGAAAGTTTTTAATATTCCCAATGTCATATGCATCTCAACCACTTCCACGGAATATTCGTACATATCGACTGTTCTATACAAATGCGAAATGAATAATAATCGACAATAAGCAGCAAATAATAGTCGCAGTTTCGCACGCTTTGGCCCAATTTGTGAACGCATGGGAGCAGCCGACGTCATTTCCTTCGGTAAAAATCAAGTTGGAAGCACGTTCGACATCCCATGTCTAAGTCACATTTGAGCGTGAATATTCCTTTAAAAATAATCAAGTTTTTTCTAGCGACTCGGTTTGATTATTCATAAAGCTTATTAATCCATCGCGATTGAGTAAAGGGCTAAGGGGCAGGAGAGAGCGGCGCATCGTCCTGCGCCATGCGCATTAGTTTGCCGGGGTGGGGGTAATAACCGAAGTCTGCAAGTGGAGCGACGGGCGCAGGAGTACCCGGCTGTTCTTTTCCGGGTCTAGGTATTGATTTTGCAGTGTACGTTTGTCGTCGTCCTCTCCATTGGACGCTACATTTTCGCGCATCGTTATTTAAAAAAAGGCACACACATCGCGTCGACTTGTCAGCATCGTTCAGCCGTACTACGTCAGAGATAAACGTGAGTCCCACGGTAAGATTATCTATCAGGCAACAAAGGTGGTTGAGAATCGCCGAATTTCGCGTTCAGGGCGCGTCGGGGGTTTGAGGTCGGAGTCTTTTTTTTTGACTCACCGTGACATTACGTCCATTTTGGAACGCCTGTGTTCGTCGTGTGGTTTTGCAAGCTTGTCGAGGGAAAAAGGCCGCCCGTTCGTTACTTTTATTGTCGCCTCGTAATCTCTATTTGGTAAATACAGTTACTGTTATTCCTATGTGCTCTTTGTAAACATTTCAATTTAAAATAGTCGTCAATCATTGTTGTTCACGAAAAATGTTGCTTTCGGGAAATTAATCTGGACAAAAGTGATTTTCTAACTAATTTTAACGTTTTTGTTTAATATAATTACGTTGATAAATTCACTTTAAATGTATTTAGGCCAAAGAATCGACGATTTAGCTGAGATATTTTTAAAGGAAGTTTTAGTATTTTAACAAGTGTGATACTGATTTTTATTGCCCCAATTGTATATTTGTAATTAAAAAAAAATTATTTATTATTTGATAATGTATTAAAGCACATTTGTCATAAAATTAAGCATTAGTTTGGTATTTAAAAATTTTTTTGAGGCGTTACTGTTCAAATAAGAAGTAAGTATTTTTGTTCTAATTCAAATTTGAGGATTGTAAATAAATACTCTAATAAATTTTTTTTAAGTCATTTGAAACTAGAGTACTGTTTGTGGGCGCGTGCATATGTGAAACTTACACATGTAAAATAGATTTAATCTATACATATGCAAATTGAAATAGTATTAATATTTAAAAATTTTTAAAGTATCAAATTTAATTAAACTAGAGAAATAAGATATTTTTTAATTAGAATAAAGAGAATTTGAAAGTAATTCTTATATTCAAAGATTATAATTTATATTATAAAACTAGAATCCAAAGAATTTATTAATATCTGTAATTCAAAAAGTTATATAAATATTTGCCCTTATTCTAATGTTTGTGTTTATATAACAAAGAAACTATAAGTAGATATGCATATTTATTTGTTTAGTATATTTAACTATTATGGAAAATTGTGTCGTTAGTTGTATATTAAGAATGAATATTATAAATGGTTTGAACAATATAAAATTGATGTAAAAATTTTATTTTAAAGATTAATTGATCATTGCAAGTAAAATGTAGTCAAAGACTAAAAATATAGTTGTGGTAAAATATAATTTTTTAAAAATTTATTTTATTTTTCAGGTTGAAAACATGACTCCAGATGGATATGCACGAGTATATGTTGGAGGGCTTAATGAAAGTATCAAGAAGGAGGATCTGCAGATGCAATTCGAAAAGTTTGGCAAACTAAATAAAGTTTGGGTAGCATTTAATCCACCTGGCTTTGCCTTCATTGAATTCTTCAATATGGATGAGGCAGAAATGGCATGTAGCAACATGAATGGCACAGAAATCATGGGGGCTAAATTGAGGGTAGAAATTTCGCGTGGGAGAGGTCGCGGAGGTAGAGGAGGGTTCAAGGGTCGAGGCAGAGGGGGATTTGGCTCTCGGGGTGGTTATAGGGGAGGTGGCGGCGGTTATGATCAAGGAGGTGGCAACTATTATTCAGGCAGGGGTGGTGGTAATAGTGGACGCTATGGCCAAAGCTACGGTAACCGCAACTCTGGCTACGCTTCGCGTGATACTTATTCGCAAGATGGCTATGGTGGAGACGTCGCCCCTGACTACTATAGCGGCAAGGACACGAGCTCTTCGAGGTATCGAAGTCGATCCCCGGCTGGACGTGGCAGGTATTAAAACGATACCTAATCAACGTACTTCTAAAACTTCTACATGGCTTCTGTCACGTTGTCCAATACCGACGATTCCTCTTAATCTGGTAGAGGACGAAGGGCTTTTAACATTGCTCTTACGTATCATAGATATATTTATAGTATATGCGTGCCGATCATAGGGGTTTCCGTTGCGTTCTTCAATCTTCTATTCTAGTCTGCTTTTATCTAGTCAAATCTTGCTTCTAAAGATTTAAACATTTTTTTATAAAGACTTCGTTGCTGAGAATAAATAATAATGTGCCTTCGTTGTTAAAAGTAAAGTTGCAGCAAAATGAAACTTAAAAGTGCCTTTGTTGTTAAACTAGTAGAAACAGTCGCAACAAAAAACATTAAAGTGCCTTCGTTGTTAAAGGTATATTGTCATAATTTAGGGAACCCAAACTGAACATGACGGCAAGTGTAACACATTTGTCTAATGCATGCACAACAAAGATATATATTTTTTCTCATTCTCTTTCCAATGTTGGAGGACTCTCCAATGACAGCTGGAGGTGTCAGCCATCCAATAGTTAGAGAAATGAATTTAAGTAATCAGAAAACCTATTTTGCGCTTCCATGTTCACAGTCAACGTCATCTGCGTGAATGCACGTAAAAGAACTACGCTACGTTGCCATACCGATCTGCGGGCCAACAGCCGCCCGCCTCGACGACTACATTCTGTCCAATCTTCGCAGCGACATATTACACAACCAATTATTGATAATTAGTGCTTTAATATAATTTTACACTTTAAACATTCAAATTTGAAGCACAAGAGATCATTTTTTAGATGCATTTTTTTGTTTTTTCTTTATTTTTTTTTCTTTTTAAGTGAAATAATCATGAGAAAATAATGTGAAAAACTCAGAAAAGACTGATTGCAAAAAAAGTTTAACTTTAAGCAAATTAAATTAATATGACTTCCATATATAGAGTAAAGAAGCAATTGTCTTAACTATCAATTATTTCTTAAAAAATTGCTACTTATAGTCCACCTAGTATAAAGGTCGATATTTTATTATATTGAAAGACCTTGACTATTCATCAAGTTAATCTAATGAGATTTCATGTGTAACTTTAGTGTATAATACTCTAGAGATTAACTGTACTTGCTTTACAGTGACATTTTGAAGCATTACACAGTTATTGTTACTATTCAGATATTATTTATAATAATTTTTTTTTATATAAAATAATAAAATTGAAACTTATTAAGATATAGACTTATTAAGTTTCTATTACAAAAAGTGGTCTGTGAGTAGTTTGTAAAATGAAGATGATTTTCTTATATATATGTATAATATATATATATATATATATATATATATATATATACATATTATATCATTTTTATTGAATTAAGAACAATTTGACGATATTATTTAATATTCTTGTAAATTATCTAAATTGAAAGTACATTAAATATTTTGCGCTCACTATTGCCTGCCACCCTGCCTGTCTGCCTGCCCATCTCCGTTTATTTACAAACAAATTTATAAAAGTGGGAAACAGAGTTTTAGGTTACTCTTATTTCTACATAAACATTAAAAATAAAATTAATTTATTTTATTTATAAAATATTTTCTAAACGCAACGAATATTTTTTTTTTTAATGTAAGCTGTATTCATAAAAATTTACAAATTTTATTAACTTATAACTTTTACCTAATTAACTATGATTTTTGCTAAAGTTACATACAAAAGTTTAAAATAGAAATTAATAGAATGTATTAAAAGCTTATGTTATTTTTATAAATATATATATATATATATATATTTATATATATCTATAAGTTTATTTAGTGAAGAATACTTTTCTATTATGTATATATAAGTTAAAGAAATTCCGTAAGTATTAAACAAATACTCATACAACAAAGTAGCGTTATCTAGAATAGTATGACTTATCTTTTATCTTATGTAATAACTTAGATCTTCGGTCTGTATTTTGGAAAAGTGCTCGAATTAATCGTCTTACATGTTGAGATGAGAATTCGTTTGCAAGTGGACCTTTACCATCAGCCCATCTATCTTCAATTTCTTGTAACGATGCACCCAATATTATAATTAGTTCATTTAGTTGTCTCCACTTTTTAATATATTGCTCAATTAATACTGAATTCTACAGAAAAGGCATTTTCCAAAATACTCATGATTAAAAAGTATTACTTTCAGATAATCTCGGCCTTCAACTATACTTAATCATAAAATTGTAAGTCTAATAAATAAATAAAATAAATTTTTTAACTTACTGGAAAAATTTGGGGTATTCTTTCAACTACCATATTGAGAAGTGTAACTAAATCTGATGCAATTTTGGCTGGAATATCTTCGACATTCACTATATTAGTACTAAGATCATCAATCATGTCATTAATAATGCAACCAAGAACTCTGCAATATACTTTCATAGGTAAAATTTCTATCCACACTGTTTTCAACAGTTCTAATTGCCTAATACATTGTCTAAAAGCTCGCTCAGTAGTAGCAGATAATTCTGATATTTGACCAATTAAGGATAACCCTAAGAATATTTTATATTATAGGACAAATATTTCTTGAATGTTAAAAGGAAAATGTAAATGTTTGCATACCTGATTCATGTAATATGTCAAAAATGATATCTCGTTGATATTTCATATGATTTAAAAAATACTTTGAGCCTACTTCTCGAAGAAGTAAAACTTGGTCTATATAAGTCATAGAAAAATTGTGTAAATGAACTTGCAGTTTTTTGTTATATTTAAACGGCAAAGTCAATAATTGATGTGCAAGATAAAAACAATTATTATGAAACAAAGCTATAATAATATTAATTCAATATAGTCGATAAATAGTATATTACATAAACAATTGTAGTAGATTAATAAATACAAACTTACCAGCCTGTTGAGGTATTGTTTTTATAAAAGATTTATGTATTTCTGGCATTAGGGCAGCATACATCTCAAATATATTCCTACTTGTATAAAAAAGTCTAAGTACAAATTCACCTGAATTGTTACATGCTTCTTCCAATATTTCTTCTACTAAATACAAAATTTCTTGTGCACTTTTACTGAAAGAAAAAGAAAAAATTTTTTTCTAATAAGTAATTAAAGTATTATCTACGCAAACTAATATTACCTTATCTGGCAAGCAGGTAAGTAAAAAGTAAATTTACTTAATTGCCTATTAATTACAATATCCTTTATATGATCATTATTACTAAAATCTTCTAAGTTTTCTGGTTCATATTGAAATGAATCATGTAGATCCTTTTTCATAATATTACGAGCAACTTCTAATAATTTTCCACATTTATTATCAATGTACAATTTATCAAGATTATCTGTATATTTAGATAGAAATTTTTGATCTTGAAGTAAGAATTTAATTTCAATTAAATAATTTTGAAATTCTTCAATTTTTGATATTATAAATTTAAATTTCTGTAATTCGGATTTCGATGTAGGGATTATTTTAGAAATATACTCTTCGGTTAACAGGTGCGAAAATTCTTGTAATAATGGAATTGAAAGCCTACTTAAAAAATATTCTTCGTTTAATATAATAAAATTAAAATGATTATATAAAAATTTAAAAAAAATTACTAAATCATTTAACACTGTTCTATCACATGGTAATTCTTTGTTATCTAAAATTTCAATATAAAATGTTTTATCGCTACTCTTAATCACACAATTAGAACAAATAATAGGTTTAATAAAATATTGCAATAATTTTGTGGAAAATGATTGTATACATTTCGATAGTTTCTTGTGATAATGAAGTGCCTGAACTATATCAGTTAATTCATCAGAATCACACTGTATACATAAAGTCACAGATTTTAATTCCGAAGTTAAATTTGTTTCATTCCAGCAAATTTTCTCTTGCCATAATCTATCAATTTCTTCAATAAAATTATCATATATTTTATAATATTCTTCCTTTAAAGCTTCATATATATTTAATTCTTGAATATCTACACTTTTATCAATTACTAAGGTATATAATTTTAATAAAGTAATTGCTACAGCTGTTTGCTGTTTTTCTGTACTAGTTTTGTAATTTTCAATATATTCAAAAGCATTAAAGATTTGTAACAATTGATTTGATAAATTTAGACTATAATTATATTCCTTCAAGTCTAAGGAAAGCTTTTGTAAATCTTTTGACGAAGCAGATAATTTTACTTTTACCTGTTAAAACAAATTAAATTTAAGATATTTTAATATAAAACGTATTATCTGCGGCTGTTACCTGATCATTTATACGATTTTGCAAAGTTTTTATTTCTTCAATAATTTGTTCGCTTTCCTTTATTAATATTTCATCTGGTTTAATATTCTGTTCAAGCTCAATAACTTTATCTTTCATAGATTCATTTACAACAGATTTTTGTTTTAATATTTCTTTTTTTATGAATTCTATTGTTTTATTGAAATCAGGCTTTCCCTTTTCATCTAAAATTTTAATATAAAGTGAATAAAAATCATAGATTTAAAAGAATTCTTAAGTTAATTTATTTACCTGTGACAATGGAGATATCACTCCAAGACGACGACATGATAACAATATAAGTATTATAAATATGGTAAAGTTTAATCAATTATTATTAACTAAATAATTTCATGATGTAGAATTTTTCAGAGATAAAAAGATCTTGTATTATTATTTTTCGTAATTTTTATTCCTATTTATCGGAATACGTATTCGATGGCTCAACTGCCATCTTAAAACTGCAATTACAATGCTGACTGCTATTACCGCTACATTTGAATGTGTTGAGCTTATTTGTTCGGTTATAAATAGAATAAGCCAAGAAAATAAATGAAATTTGATAAATAAATTAATTTTAACTGACTCACTGCATGCATATAAAGAAAAAATTTTACGGAAAAGTGTATTTTAGCTATGGTCATAATATTCATTGTAATTTGCCAAAGTTATAAATATGAAATTTCAATCTTTCAATCTCAATTTTTCAAAATTATCTTACTTTTATCATACTTATACATCAATATTAAAGATTCTTTAAATAATTGTTTTTAATTATTGAGTATCATTGATATTGATATTATTTTATCAAAATTTAGGGATTAATGTATTTTGTTGTACAATAATAACTTGGATAACCAGTAATTATGATTATTATAATTATGGTTAAATATAATTTATAAAACAGATAAATAAAATAGATGAAAATTTTTTATATTATTTGAGTTTATTTATATTAAAAAGCGATTTAAAAGTCACTGTATGGTTATATATATCAAAAACATTTGCCAATACTAATCAATAATGTATTACAAGTACCTCTTAATGAGAGTTAATCTCTAATGAATTTTTAATGTACGAAGTTTTTCTTTTAATAACTAAATTGACCCGTTCATGTGGCAATATACGTATGTAAACCTATTTCAGCCTTATTTTTTCTTAATTTTTTTTTTTTTTTTTTTTTTTTTTTTTAACTAACAATTCAAATAATTTTTATAAATGATTACTTTTCAAATATCATCGAGTGTTTATTAGTTATTTTTTAAAAGTGTTTCTTAAAATTTTATATACTTAATGGCATTTATAATGTTTATCTATAATCCTTATACCAAAAGTTTATTTTCATCAATAACTGTATGGATGAAGATAGATAAGAATATTTCTTTTGAAATCTAATATACATTTTTACTTTAAGAATAAATTAGATATAATTCAAGCATTGGTTAAAATAATATTCATTTTAAAAAATTTATATAATTGTTTTCTATTTTACATAATACTATAAGTTATAATATAAATTAATATTTTTATTTTGCCATTGAAAACTTATCTACATGAAGATGTGAATCACTTGATAAATATTGAAAAATGAAAAATAACATTCTAAAATTATATAAAATATATGTTTAGTTGATAAATAATCAATTTTCTGGTTTCTTTGGCACAAGTTTTTGCTTCTCAACTTCTTCTTTTAACTTGAATTTCTGTACTTTTCCACTTGCTGTCTTTGGGAAATCATTACGAAATTGTATATAGCGTGGAATTTTAAAATGAGCTATTTTGCCTGTTGCGTAATTAATAATATCTTCATTAGTTAGCTTCGCACCAGCGCGCAATCTAATGAAAGCGCAAATCTCTTCTCCATAAATTTCGTCATAAACACCAATAACTTGTACCTCACATATTGCAGGATGTGATTCATAAAATGATTCAATTTCCTAATAAGAATATATTATGTAATTTAATTGTTTATCTCTACAGTTTAATTCTTTAACCATTTATTTATTATTTCATAATCATATTTTAATCGAATGAACGTTAATATGCGTTCATTTATTCATTTATCAATATTTTTTAAATTGCCTCCAATATAATAATGTTAAAAATATTATTACACGTTACGCATTAACTTTACTTTTTTTTCTAGTATTAATTTATCATCGATACTTACCACGGGAAAAATATTTTCTCCTCCTCTAATTATCATATCTTTTATCCTTCCGATTACACATCCATATCCATTCTTATAAAGTATAAATTGATCTCCAGTTTTCAACCATTTATCTTCTGATAGTACTTTATTCGTATTTTCTTCATCATTCCAATACCCTATCATCGTACTATAACCTCTTACACAAAGTTCACCAGAAGATCCAAATGGGACAATATTATCATTTTTATCAACGACCTGGAAATTATTTTAGCAACAAATTATAAATTTAACTATAAATTGCTAAATTCATGTTTTCAATTTTTACTGTATATACGTGATTTTAAAATAACCTTATGTTCCTGTAATATAGGCTTTTATATTATCATAATTTTAAAAACTTACTTTCACTTCTAAGTGATCGGAAACATGCCCTACAGTTGTATCGGTAAGCTCCGTTGGTTCATTTTCGTAAGATTGACATATAATTCCTGTAGCCTCGGTTAAGCCATATATCGACTAAGAATAAAAATAAATTGTACATTAATTAAAAATGCTTCATTCAATTTTAAAAAATCCGCTTAAAATCAACACTATTAATATTTGTTTTCTAAAGTAAATATTAGCCGTCTATGATTTTTCTGTAAGTCTTTCGTATCAAATATAATTCTTAAGTGTAATGTAATATGCAATGTAAAAATACTGTTTAGAATAGAGAAAATAAATGAATTATAGACTTTTCTTAGATGTTTTTATTCAATTATTTCCATTTGTTTCATCAACAAGCGCAGTAAATATATTTTTGAAAGGGACCCTCATAAAATTGCAAATAGAATACAATCAACCTTTTTTGTGGATCGTTCATTACGAGTAAAGTAGAGTATATCCCAGTAAAGATATGTGCATAGATAAACGATGAATCAGTGTCAGTGACCTCTAACCTACCTAAACACTTTCAGTCGATAATGTTCACAAGAAGAGATTTTTAAAGAAAAATATTTGCCAAAAGTATTATTATTTTAGTGTATTAATTGTTGTACTAAATGTATATTGTCTCTATTATCTGAAGCTAAAGAATTTGTTATGCATTAATGATATATTCCAATTAATACATTTAAAATTTTTATTTGTATATTCATAACTTTATGTATTCAATCAAAATTAATTTTTATGTCAAAATCCAAAATTGTAAACCTTTAATAATCTTTGTTGTTGAAATCGATTTAGTACTGTGAATTTTTATTAAAATAAAAAAATTACCCGTTATAGCTTCTCATAAAAATATCATAAGTCAGATATGATTTCTCAAGATATTTATAAATGTTAATTTAATAAATCTTTACTTTCATAAAAAATATCATTGACCAATTGAATGTAAAGAATCACTATAATTTTTAACTGCATATATAATGCATATTTAACACTAATAAATTATAGAAGTTTTAAGTTGCTAAGAGCGTACTGGATAAATTGTACGTGATATTTTATACGTGAACATGTTAACTTAGAGTATGTTTTTAATATAATTTTCTTACTTGTATTTTATCCAAATGTAAGTATTTTCGTATTCTTTTATACAGATTCGGAGAAACAGGAGCTCCTCCAATTAATCCATTATATAAAGAAGCAATTTTTAGACCCAATTTATTTTGTACGTCAATCATATTTATCTACATTTGCAGTAAAAATACAGAAATTAATGCAAAGCAATATCACTGCGACAATCGGAATGTAAAAGAAACTTACCCACATTGTTGGGGTGGCATAAGCTACGTCACATTTTTCTTGTATTATTGTATTCACGGATGTCATAGGATTAAAAGTGAAATTTTCTAATACAATAATACTTCCCGTGTGCATAGGAGCTGTGACACCCGAAACCATACCAAAAGCATGGAAAAGGGGAACATTAAGACAAATTTTACGATTGTTCAAGTCAATTCTTAATGATACCTATAATTACAAATTATAACTCTAATAAATTGCAAAAAGTCTTTTATCAGTATAAAAACGTTGATACAATTAAAAATTTTAATTTTAATTTAAAAATATTCAATTCATTAATATATATATATATATATATATAAGTAATAATAAAAATATTTTCATTATTATATAAAAGTATTTCATAAGATTTATTCCTTTATTATGTTTTTGATAATAAATTATGGAGATAAAGTGGAAATGAATGTATAATGAATGCTTTTAAAATAAGGAGAGAATTTTGAAAATCTTTTCTCAATAACTGTAATAGAAATAATATTGAGCGGACATTACCCTCGGAATTATGATATATGATGATAAGCTACAATTTTAATTGAATATGGATATTACCTGCTTTGCATTATTCACAAGCGATCTGTGTGACAGGACAACTGCCTTTGACTTTCCCGTTGTTCCCGATGTAAATTGAATGTTAACTCCGCTGTTCATCGAGATCGCGGATTGCTCCTTTTTGATCGCTTCGATCTCTCTTTTGTTCGCTAGTTCCTCGATGTCGCGTAATCGCCTTGTGCCTCTTTAACAAACAGACGGCGCAAGGTCCGATTTAAAAACACACGTCCGACACGTGGAATTATTGTAATTAATGGAGGTCAACACGTTTGATATATAAGATGCAAGCACTGCTTTTAGCTTAATTGGCCATTTCTTGCAAAATCTCGGTATGAAAAAGGTGCAGCTATACACTGCCTGATTTTTAACTAAGTCATTTCCTAACTATAATTGAACAATAATATCCGAGTTCTCTTTTCATTTATTCGAAGTTTCACGGATGGAAGTAGCAAAGATGAAAGAATGCCCTGGAAGCCTTTGTCCGACTTTGCAGTTAAAAGAAATTCGACGTAGGAGAATATTGAAGTTAAACGTTGGTTAAGGTTGTAATATACGCAATCAGTTCATAATGAATTGCAGAGCTGACTTTTGTTAAGAATCATTGAGGGTTTAATCAAATTGATGCATTACGAAAAAGATAGACATTTAAAAAATGAAAGAAAATGATAAATCACATTTCTTTGATGTCTGTATTTCAGCAATATAAAAATTATAGCTTTCCAGTTTTATAATCTAGTTTATATTCGTTTTAGTATTTTATTTTCATTCTTCGAATCGTATAGAAATAAATTAAAACGTTCTATCGAAAAATAAATTTGTACTTTTGGAATAAATAAAATCTATTTTTTAAGAAATTAGTTGATCGTTATTGAAATTCTTACATTAATTAACGTACATGAATAAATTATATAATACAGTTCTGATATTCTCAGTAAGTAATAGCAATAATTTTTTTTTTTAATAGAATTCGATATTTTTATATTCAATTTTTTAAATGTGCTTATTATTAATACGTCAAACGATGAATTATTTTGCCGAGTGTTAGACCTACATTCATTTTAATGAAATTATGATTTTAATGTGATATTGCTGTTTACTGGGCATAAGCATTATTTAATCAATATTAAAAGAACGAGACAATCTTGTAACAGCAATAAGAAATTTTAAAAGACCAAAAATCAATGAACCCGCGCATAAAAGAGAATCAAACGAGAACTAAAACAAACTTAAACAAATCGAGTTCTTCGAACTCTTGGCGATGCCTTTTATCGGCGACAGATTATTCAAAAAATGCCGACCATGCCGGTAGAATGGAATATTCATTTAACCTAGTTTCACTTGAAGGAATAATCAAAATAATGGCGCCGTGGCCCTCATCACGCGTCACTTCGCAATCGCGCACGCGATATTCATGAATCTCGTGGTACCGTCTTCGAGGGAGAGTTATTACGCCACCTGAAGCCAAAGCGGGTCGACGAGAAGGTGTAGGTTATTGGGGGATGGAAGGGGGACACGTCAGTACACGCATTACATGCGATATCGTACATCTAAGGATGATTGAGTTCGTTCCCGATTTTCGCGTCACCAATTACGACAATAAACAGCCGAAGTATAAACCAAATCGCGCCCGAGATTAGACTCTTTACGACATGGTTTATTGAAATAAAATGGTTGCTTATTTAGCACGATTATATGCTGATATTACGGACAGTGCTTTCGACTTTGTAACTTTTGTAAATGAAACATTATACTTATATATTGTTTTAGTGTAAACGCATAAATAATTTATTAAAAGCTTTATTACTGTTTGGAACTACAACAAGTTCACCTCATAAACGAATTAATCTAATGATCGTCACTATAAATTAAATAACGCAAGATATTTTATTTTATAGACATTTTTAATTTGTTTGAACATACGATATTTTTGTGTAATCGATTAAAAATACCATAAAAACAAAAAATTACTTTTCTTTTAATTATTTATATATTTGTAGTTGTATAAAATTCATACTTTGCTAGTAATAATGTAAATCATAATTATATTTAATTATCTGTAATTATTTCTCGTTATTAAGTAGATTAGTCAAACTCGAATTAAATTTCTTAAAATTGTCAATTTAACAAATTTATTGTTAAAAAAAAAACAAATGAAAACTGAGCGTAATTGTATGATAGTAAATTTTATATTTTACTTGTATTTCAAATGAACTAAAACAGCGATCCGTATCTCATCTATAACATCATACAATGCTATTTCCCGTAAATCAAAGCACGCGACAACATTACAGAGTCAACAAACATGGAACTTACGTTACGTGGTCATCATCAAATGTGATGATGTGCTCGAGGAACGGACAGTGCTTCTTTACCGTCAGCATTATATCCGCATACTTTTTATTCCGATGGGACGCGGGAGCGAAAATGGCCTTCATTCCAATTTTCTCCACGCAGAATTGAAACTCGCTCTCATAGAACATAGGATTAATACCGGCAATGACCAAACCCGCTCTTGCCCCTGCCATGTATGAGAGAATCCATTGGTAATAGTTTGGACTCCAAATGCCAATGTGATCGCCTCGGCGTAAACCGATTTTTATAAGTCCCGCAGCCAGTCGGTCCGCTCGCATTAGTACCTCTGAGAAACTCAGTCGTACGTTCTGGTGTAGAGAAATCACGAAATCCCGGTTGGGCCATTGTTCCGCCGCCCTTTCCAGCAGACAGCCGACCGTCATGTTCTCCAGTGGCATCTGCCCCGGTTGTTGTATATACGCAAGCTCTGCTACCGACCTTTGTTCGAAAATGTTTTGGACGGTGCTGCTTGCATATCTACAGTCTTGTAAGAGAAAAGTAGAAATGTCTAAACATAATTTTCTTGAGACGTTCAGAGGCGATTGGCGCTTAAATTTCATTTGATTTAAAATTCAGCATGTGAAAACTGAAATTGATTCTTAATATTTTTATCAATACTTTAATAAAATCAAAATAATACCATTTTAGACATTGAGATGCAAATAGTTAAGCATATATCCACCAACACATACATTCATACATGCATACATACACGGATCATAAAACTATCACGCAATGAAAATTCACTTTACATCTTTTCTAGAAAAAACTACTATCAAATGTTAAATAATAAGTATGATATGATAATTGACTTGTTTTTATTAATAAATAATAATAATTGTTAATTAAATAATAATAATTAATTAAATAATTAAACAATAATATTAAGTAATAGCTTACTAAAAATAAAAACCTTAATATTATTCTTAACAAACTCTAATATTATTATATTCCTATTATTCCTATTAATTTCCTATTAACTTTATGTTATTAAAAAATTATGCATTAGCAAAACCAGGATAAAATTCTTCATAGAAAAATTAATAAAATAATTAGAAAAATATATTTTTTTTATTTATATAAAGTATGTTGTTCTAAATATTTATCGTATTATTATCATTAATAAAAATTGAAATTATACTGCAAACAGTATAATACAATTAAAGTTAGTACGTAGATAATTTTTAATAATAATTTATAGTTTATTTAGAATATTCTAAGCTTTTTTATATATAGCCATTATTTTTTCTATAGTTTAATTTAATAATAAATGTTTATATCTTTAATTATGTCTGATGTACCAAGCGTTGATGAGTACAGGCACTTTTTAGTGATGTAATATTTATCTTAATGCTGTTAACAAAAATAAATAAACATTGAATATACACATTAACAATTAATCTATAACGATAAATTAAATTTCATCAATTGGATAATATTACACTATTAGAAACAATGATAAAATATATCGATAGCACTATTTCGACTATTAAATAATCAACCTATTAATAATTGTAATATTTTATTATTATTGAATGTATGTTTTTTATTTATACTTTTACACACACATATACATAGATATGTATTATCGATATATTAAATAATAATTTTATTGTATTAGTTTAGTCAATATGAATTTATTAAAGGCTTAAATTAACTAAATTAATTGTAATCTATGATGTTTAATTAAATTTAATTAATTTTTTTTCAATTTTTAGATAATATATATTTTTTTAAATTATTGATAGTTACTCTTTTTCTTATTATAATTTATTAATGATTTATCTCGTCGATATTTTTGTTTAGATATTATATAAGTTAGAATTATCTGCTATTAAATAATTATTATTACCATAATTATATACCGAAATATGTCAAATTGCATGTGTATACAAATTACTATTTGTAAATTTCTAGAAATATTATTTCTTATTTAAATCTATATTTCGATTACGATACTTTTCTTATTTTTTAATTTTATTCTCTATTATGTTTCATAAGCATATAAAATTTCACAATAAATAAATTAAACCTTTTTAAAATATATAGATTTTAAATGAAAGCTTTTTCCTTTATCTAGGATTAACTTGTTAAAATGTAATTGATGTGTCGAAAAGACAGGTTATTTTTACCACGGCATTTTTAATAATATTTAAGTAGAATTTGAGGTTTGCTAATTATCAAAATACTATTATATAATTTAATTAATAAAAAAAGAAATGTTCATAAATCGAAGGTATAATTAATTATTGTCAAATTATTTTCTTGTGGTAAAACGATTGGTGTAAATAATTAATTGTTAATTATTTATTTTTTGTTTTTAAAATATAAATTTGTTATGTGAAAACTTAATATATAAAAATATTTAATACGTGTAAAAAGGATTATTATTGCTAAAAAATTGTATTTAATAAAATTAAATATACAAAATTAACATGAATACAAATATGCATCGAAAGTTTTTTATTTATAATAATTTTATTAAAAAATAATTAATTTATTAATATATATTAAATAAACGAAATTGTATTTTATATGATCTTCAAAAATGTTGTAATTTCAAAATTTAAGTAGAAATAAAATTAATCGTCTTCTTTTAAATTTTATGTAAAAATTGATATAGGTAATTAATAGAAGGCAATTCAAACTATTTTTTTACTTACCCATTTGAGGAATAATTCGCGCTTTTACTAGTCGATTCAGCATTCCGTAAATAATTGAGATGACAGATGTTAAATGCTACTGCCAATGATTAATATTAAAAAAAGATTTTAGGTTAATAGCTTTATTAACATAATTTATGTGACAATCAAACGATGAAAAATAATATATTATTACTCGAAAATTATTCTAAATATTTTATAAACATACAATCTAATGAACTTGCTTTTAAAATAATTATTACAAAGCTTAAAATCACAATGAAATATTAATACGCGTATCTTTGCTTAAATTTGCATTAATTATCATTATTATTTGCTGTATGACAATTATAAATGCTTATAGTTTTATATACAGTTGAAGCTATATATATCTAAGTATAGAAATCGTACCAATTATGAATGTAAAGAATAGAAAATATCAAAAAAATTAAATAAATAGATAAATAATAAATAAATTTAATCAATAAAATCACTTGCTAAATGAGTTAATAGAAATCGAATAAGATTTTATAAATATCAAATATAATACGCAAAATCGAACGTTCAATCGATAATTAAGAGAATATGAATGATGAATATTTAATCATTTAATAACATATTTATTTAATGATATGATTAATATATAAGTGAAATATATAAATCCAATTTAAAATTAATATTCATTTTAAATATAAGATAATACTATACAAAAATTTTAACAAAATTAATTATGTATTGTAGTAGAACTTACTATTGATGCAAACAGTTTCACCGACAAATTCTATTATAAGAATAATAGGATTTTGTTTGCTGTAGATTAATTTATCGACATGATATACTTAGTTGAAACAATGAAGGAAGAAGTAAATAAGTATAAAGAAGTCAATTAAATAGTAAATATATTTGCGTATTCGATACTATTTATTTCCTAAATAAGGTAATAAACTTACAACGTCGTGTGATACAGGAATTATTATTTTATATGCGAATTTAATCGAGAATCGCAATTTAATATTTAATTTTTTGGGTCGAGTCATACGATATGATAAAATGATATTTTGATTTTAATGAAAACAAACTTTAGATTCGAATTAAAGTGAACTTAGGCAGATAATTAATTAGCTTATCTTTCTTATTCCTGATTTTTTTAGTTTGTGCATGAGTCAGATTTCGAGTCTGACCTTAATAGATTCTGTTTAAGACCTTCAGTTTTGATTCTCATTAGTCACGACTTCTCAAATTTTTAATAAAAAATACTTCTATAATTCTATTCAATAATAAAGGAAAGCATATTTTATAACGTATTTAATTATGCATTTGTATAATGATAATAATAATAACTTTTTAATAATTTTACAATAATCGTGTTACATAAAAAAAAATAAATATGAATTTTTTAATTTAATAGAAATTTAAGGTATAAACATTCTTAAATTTCTTTTAACAAAACGTCATTAAATTTATGAAAAACAATAATTTTTATAGCTACAGATGTAACGATTCTATTATTTCAATCTATTAACATCTTTTTGTATAAAATTTTAACCTTAATAATGGCAGTTGAAAATAGAGTAATAACGTGGAATGCTTATTAACTAATTTTAAGAAATTTTATATTTGAATGGTTTAATAAAATATGGTACAAACAGTACATATCGAGATTAAATTGCGTACATGAATTAGAATAAACGTTTATACGTCAATTTATTGAAATGTAAAGCATATTACAAATATAGCTTCATTAAGTTTGAATATGGCAACAATTTTTTTTTACTGTATTACTGAAGTATTAATATTTTAAAATGAAAAATATTACTTTTTACCAAGTATTTTAATGAAATTCGAGTATTAAATCTTTTATTTAATCATCAGAAATTAAGTATATCACATTCATTAGATAAAATCATTTAAATAATTGTGTTAACTGTTTACATTTTAAACATTTATTATAACAAATAAGAGAAATAATATTATACTAATATTGTAATCAAAATATGTAAAAGTAAAATAAACGACAAGCATTTGATTATTTATAATTATTAAGTTCATGATAGCTTATGCAAATAGATGAATAGCGTACTCACGTTAGTGGGAAGAATGTATGTGAGTAATGTCACGTCGGCAAATCGGATTCATACGTTTATGATTATAAAGTACGAACAAGAAAAAAGAACAGGGAATGATTTATCTGTCTCGTAAATGACCCGTTGCGGCAACTAGAATATAACATCATAATGGTGTATAATAAGATAGTAAATAAAAATGGTGTTATCAGAATTCGTCTCCATTTCAAAAGTAAAATTGGATTCTCAATTATTATGAATTAAGAATCCGTGCTTGCATGTGTATATCAATGTTCAATCGAATATTCATAAGACTAGGAAGGGAAGAGATTGAAAAGAGCAAGGGAACGAGTACAAATTAGGAATTAAAGAGTATAAATTAGGAATTTAATTTTCTCCACGTTGCATAGCGAATAAAAACAATCATTATTTCAAAATTATGAAAGTACCCTTGAATTTAAATAAATAACATGTAATAAAATAATGTGAGATAAAGTATGTAAGGTAAAGATTGGTAGATACAGTAATTACATTTTTGTTTTTTTTTTTATTGAACATTATAGAATTGCTATACGCAATAGAGCATTGAATAAAATTTTAGTAAAATTCATAGATATGTACATTATTCATTTAATAATACGGTATAATTGATAATAGATTGTATTATTTGTTTTGTTTGTTTTATTGTATTATTAGTTTAATATAAATTATTTTTTATTTTTACACTCATCATTTTGCTTAAATGTTTGAGTTAATGTAATAAATAATCGAATTAATGTTATGTCAATAATTACTTAATAATTAATTATTAATTATATTATTAATTAATTTTATTATATTATATTTATAATTAATATTATAAATATAAGTTTACTTATATATTATTTACTAGAAATTCAACTTCATATAATATAAAGAATATTTTTTTTACTTTCGATATAAAAAACGTTAAGCTATCAATTATTATTTGTTTTATATATTTATATCATAATTATAAACATTTTTTTTAAATAGATATTTTTATCATATAAAGTTAGAATAAATTTAATATTTTTTACTTAAACCTGCTAGATATTTTAGATTTTTCAATGTTATATTTAGTTAAAATAAATGTAAAAATAAATTTATAAAAACTGTATGTATTTATGAATATTAAAATTTCTTTGAATAGATTTTTTGTATATTTAATGTATCCACTAATTTTCTGATATTTATGAAAAGGTTCGATTATATTGAGAAATATAAGAATTATATTTTTCTTATCCAAATATGTTTTACATAATTTATTATATTTTATAATCTTACAATATATTTGATATTATTTGAACTATTTAGAGAATATTTATTTTTATAATTACATATTATATATTATTTATATTTATCATTATTTTTATTGAACGCTAATGTTGTAATAGAATAGATAAAATATATACTGCATTATAATAGTTCCCATTTAAAAATGATACAATATAATTAATGTGTTTATATTGCGATGTACAATTATCTTTTATATTACGTACTTATTATTATTATTATTACATCTTATTTGGCATTATTTTGCATTATTAGGTGGCCACATTGTGTGCTAGTAATTCTTTTCCGTTCGAGTTTCGCGCGCTTTTTCAATTTAATGTATATTGCTAATAAAATTAAGAATTTTATCAATCATGAAATATTCAAAAACACTTTTAATTACTTAAGCATTATTAAAGCGCTTTAAATAAAAAATTTTAAGCAAAGAAAATATAACGTATGTAAAATATGTAAAATAAAATTTTTCATTATTATTTTAAAAATTGCAGAAAGTTTGTTTTAAATTTTGTATATTATTTAAACAAAAATAACAAGTATTATTATACATAATGGTGTTAAAATCATAAATGAAAAATAATATTGAACATATTTATTACTTATTCAAATTATTTAAACTATTTAAAAATTATTATAAGAATTGTTTAATAATTTTTATTTGTTATATTTGTTAACCTACAAGATCTTAAAAACGATCATTATCAATTAATATTAATTATTAATAACGATTAATTATCAATTAAATATCATGAATCTTTGCTTCTTTTGCTTCGATTGCATATATTTTTATAGATAATTAATCATCTGAAAATATTACAGTTCTAAATCGTCCATGCAAATTATACTTAAACATAATAGTTTTTGAACCGCTAGCACGAAAATGTTAACAAAATCAATACTTGAAACTCCTGTCCAGATTTTGGGAAAAAATGAGAATTAGGAAGAGAAAAACATTTATTTTTATTTAGATAAATTACAGGAACATTTTCATAACTAAATGTTACTTACAAGAATTCATTAAAATACTTTATTCAATAATTAACGAAAATAAAGTAGTTGTAAATGGTTTTTTAAATTTAACAATTTTTCATTAATAGTTATATTGGAAGGAGCAAAAATTCATTTTTATATAGACATTCTATTAAATAATATATATTAAATATAAGTTATAGAAACATTTTTTGAAATTGTTCAACATTTTATAATAATGATTATAATGATAATAATAATTTGGCATCAAATAACAATCATAATTTACGAGTATACATACGCGTATGCACACATTCACACACACACACACACACACACACACACACAGAGAGAGAGAGAGAGATAGACACACACACACACACACGCACGAACAAACAAACAAACAAACAACAAACAAACAAACAAACAACAAACAAACAAACAAACAAACAAACAGATTATATATGAAAAGTTTGAATAGTATTTAATGTATAACAATGTTGCTCAACAATCCGGATTTACCGATAGCATTCTAAGCAAGGAAAACAAGGAAAGCGCTCCCGTGTATGAAATTCTTGGCTGTAATGATTCTTGGCTCCGCTCGAAATCGAAAAATCGCTGGGAGCATCATCAAAGCATGTGTTAAAACACATACCGGGATAGATAAGTTTACGATGGTAGAAGTTGCTCATAAAGCGCGAAATCTTCTCTTTTTCCTCCTTCGTGCTTTGTCCTTCGACCTCGGCGCTCGATAAGGTAGTAAGGATTCAGTAGGCAGGACAGCTGCAACGAAAATTGCGTGGTCGACGATCAGACGGCAAAGCTCGTTAAATCGGGCCGAGGAGTTGCGATCCTCCCGGGGGCGGAAGTCGCGTGTCGGCGGTAGGTTGCGTTGTTGAACCCCTCCCCGGAGTAGGTAGGTGCGACAAGACGATTGGTCGGCGACGGCGTCTGCGTCGGTCTTGGCGTCGGCGGCGGCGTCAACGTCGGCGGTCCGCTGGGCGCCCGTGTCCAAACGTTGCTTCGATCATCAGAGCTAGCGCGGAAGTCTCGGCGTATCATTCGGGCGCCTTCGCAGCTCCGTGTCGATGAGCCGAATCAGGGCATGGCAAGGATGGTTACCCACGAATCATGAGCAGTGGGAAGAAGGGCCCCGGGGGCCCGAAAGAGGAACGGCCGAAGCCAGCCTCGAAAGAAGAGAGCCCCGCAGGTTCGGGGACCAGGGATGAAGGCCAAGGTTCGTCCGGGCCCCCGAGCAATGGTGTCCCCAGCGCCGAACCGTCCCAGCCGAGCAGCAAACCAGGCTCGGCCGGGGCGACCGCGCGAGAGGCTGCCCAGCGACTCATGGGGGTGGCGACTCGGGGCGAGTGGGCAGCCGCCGACCAGCTACTCAAGACCCTTGAGAAGGTCTCACAAAATCAACAGGAGGATGTGACGTTCGCGCCTCTCGCCGGACTCATTGACGCGGTTAGCTCTGATTATTAAGATTAGCCATGGGTGATAAAGAGGACCGGCGACTCGGGAATGGGCGGTAGTTTCGAGAAGATGAGCATGGTTCACGACTCGCCGGTTATATTTACTTGTGCCAGGAAACCAATGGAGTACAGCATTTTTTATGAGTACGGCAAATACAAAATACTCACGAAAGACGAACTACGAGAGAAATTTGAATGATGTTTGCAAAATTTGAATTCTTCAAATATTTTCTGATTAAAGTGCATCGTGAAATTGTTAAGTAAATTTTACAAATTTCTTAAAACCCGTAATTGTAAGCAAAAGCAGTTCTATCACATCTGTTATGTGCTTTAATAAGTTTAAACGATTTATTTATAGCATAGATAAGTAAAATGTTTTCTAAAAACCTGGATGCATTTATAATATTATTCGATAACATGGAACAGCTTGAGCGTTTTCCGAGTATACATATAATCTATAAAGAATAATAATATTTTTAAAAATTTTATATTATTTTATTTAGAAATTGGTAGTTTAACATTAATTTTAATCATGACTATTTATCAGTATATGTAAGATACATTTATTTGAAAATTATTACTAGAATCTATACGGTAGCTAATCTTTCAAAGATTAATAAACCAAATATACGTGTATTTAATGGCTCACTTATCATGTATGTTAGAAGAAATATTTTAACATTGTTTTTTGTTTTATTTATTTATTGTTTTTTACAGTATTTTAACATGCGGTATAATTTTCCTGATAAAAAGAACTTTAACATAAATTTTGTTGTATACTTTAAAAGCATCATTTAACTACTTTTTCTTTTAATAATTTTAGATCTTTGTATGAATCTTTAATAAATATTTTTTTTTATTGTTGATATCTTAAAAATATGTATAAACAATGCTAAATTTCTGTTAAATAACTATATAGAATTACACTTCACTAATTAATTCTGTTCCGTATAAAGATCTTCAATTTACTTATAATATTCGAAAAATAGATTATAATCTTACAGATTGATGTGGTCGAAGTTGATCAACAAAGTTGATTTCGTTAGATGTAAATTACATAATCCGCATTTATATTTCTCTTCCTTAAAACGACAGTAAGTTTTATGATTTTTATTATTAGTAAGCGAAGAAAGTTGAATTATATTAATTAGAAGAAATTATATTAATTTGCACAACGAAACATTAAATCACGATTTAATTAAAAAGTTTTTTTTTAAATTTAATGATACATGCATTATTATTTATTCTATTAAATAATAATACTTACTAAATTTATATATTTATTATTATTTACTTTTATATACAATACTTAGATAGACGTTAAAGAAAAAATTTCTTGCAGAATCAAGTAAAATAAAATGGTAATAATATTGTATATTTCATTATATATTGAGCAATAATGTAACGAAGTTTATATATTGTTTCGATACGCGTGAAGTTCTCACGTATTTCTATCCAATATTATAAGCATTTTATTCTATTCAATTTGTGAAAAAAGCATTTACTTGCTCCGCAAAAACACGATATAGCGAAATCAAAGATAATTGATAATATTAATAATTATTAGTACAATTACAACGTGTTTTTTCACAGCAAACGGGCATGACACCACTTATGTATGCAGTAAAGGATAACCGTACTGCATTTCTCGATCGAATGATCGAACTTGGCGCGGACATCGGAGCACGTAACAATGTAAGTTAGCAAAATTATGCATAAAAGCAGATAATCATCATTCGTTATAATAAGGACTATAAGTGTTTATTATAAATATTCCTGATATCGATGAACAATAGATTATCGTTAATAAGACAAGACCATTAGTAACCGGATCGCCTTTACCGTTAAAATTTTCCGAAGTCGCTACAATAATCATCTCCAACTAATACATATAATAAATTGAAAAATCGCGAATCTCGACAAGTATGAGTCAACTACTGGTTGATTTGCCAATTATGCACACTGAAGCCCAACGTCGATTGAAATTGAATGTTAGATAAAAGCAAAGCTCGCGAGGACGGTAGGAGACGAAGGGCCAAGGCCAAGGAGGAAAATGAGAATAAAAACGTAAGTGTGCGTTATGAGTTAAGTAGGCCAGTCACCGGGACGAAAAACTGGCTCGCGATCAACAAATCGCGATAACCCACGAGACCCTACGCGTGACCTCGCGCCACAGCCCTCTTTTCTTCCTCGCTTTCTCCTTTTCTCGACCTCATTGTTACCGTCTTATCCTTTCATGGCGTTTTCCTCGCTATGCGACCAAAACCCCTTCCCCCAGGCGTACCCTCCAGCCGAGCAGACTTTCTTCACGCAATCACTGACTCTGCGCTCCCTTCGTGCTGCTTAAACTAACAAATTCACTTCGTTACTGTACAAGGAAATTATACATTATGCTCGAGGGTTAATTAGAATTAGAAAAAGCCATACTTGGGGAGGAGGGAGTACTACTTAATGAAAATGTCTATACGACAAAATTTGTGCCTCGACAATTTACGACTTTTATGATCCAATGGCAATAATGGGCCAAGGAATTTGGTATATTGAATTTGATTTTATTTACATAGTGATTAGAGTTCATTAACCCGAATTGAATTTTGATCTATTTCTTACAATTATAATAAACCGTTATACTTTATTATTAGAATTATTGTCTATAATGTTTATAATAGAATAATAGAATTGATATTCTGCAACAGTGCAGCTTATTATTATTTTTTTTTATTAAAATCAATGCTATGTATCGAAACAATTAATATTTTCTTACTGTTTCTCTTCGTGTGATAAATAAATTCTTTTTGACAGCCATTTATTAACATTTATCACATGTCCAATAACTAATAATCAAAATTCAATTTGAAAATATATTCTGGAAACTAATTATATGAAGCAAAGGCTTTAAGTAATAAAAAAAAAAGAATGGAAAAAAATTCATCTCGGAAAGTTAATTTAGTCAAAAAGTATAAACATGAACAATGCATAAGCATATCAATATTTATTATATTGCGTGTATATTACAATAATGCACTTTAGATATTTTTTTTTCGTTTCTTTAACGATATTCTCATTCATATACGGTTTCATTCTTATTTGATAATAATTTAACATGTGAACATTTTTCTTCTTTTTTTTCTTTTGTTTTAATTTAAAATAATGGATGTTTTTAATTGAGAAAACTGCAATACTTTTATATAAAAAATGATATAACTTATGATTCGATTTTGGATATATTGAATAATCTTGATTTATTGGTAATAACAAATTTTTATAAAAACTATAATACTATAAAGAAATTTATGGTACCCAAATATTTATTATTTATAAGAACTTTTTTAATATTACTAGTTTTGTCATTTATCATTAGACATGTAATAAATTTCTGCATTCATTTAAAATAAAAATCAATAATTTTAATTTTTCAGTGTACTTATTAAACATATTTTTGTTTTAACATTTAATTATTTTTATAAAAGTAATTAGATTTTAAAATCAATAAAACGAGAAATCGTGTACAAATTATGTATTGAGATTCTACATTCAAAATGAATACAATGTATGCATTAATTGTTTATATTCAAAAATTGAATATATTTTATAAAAATACTATGTAAAAAATTAATGTTTTAATTAATTTTCAATTAGGTAGCATTCAGTTGAATAATAAAAAAAATTTCTAGTTCACATGTCATAATAGACTGAATGAAATCAAAACGATAGTCATATGAAAATAATTAAAATATGGAATAATTTATCGAATAATTATTTTGCGATATAAGGGATATATGTATAAACAAAAAATATAGGAAGTGCGAATGCACGATGATTGTGCAATTTGGAAAACTAATTGCGACCGACGTTATTGACTGAACTTTCAGCGGCGCTCCTTTATGGCCCCGATTATGATTTTCAGTTTACGTGCTAATGAAGCTTGATTGGAAATGTAGGTAAAAAAAGAGAAGAGAAACTAAGCACAAGAGAAAGCGAGAACGAACATGCTTCTCATCCGTGAGGTGCGGCCAACCAACATGTAATTGCAAAAGTTGTAGTGGCTCATTGTTCATTCGTTATAAATGTATCTACGATGATCGATCGTTCATCCGAGTTTTTTTTTTACCTTACTTTAAGATTTATGTTATTCGTCCTTTATAAAAACTTACCCTATCATTTAAATGAATTCGAACTTACTTACATGTGTATTTCGCTTTTGTTTTACCCAGGATAATTACAATGCCCTGCACATCTCGGCGATGTTCTCGAGAGAGGACGTCGTTAAACTTCTGCTTTCTAAGAGGGGCGTCGATCCTTACGCGCCCGGAGGAGTAAGCATCCTTTGTATCTTTTTTTATACGTGATAATTGAGGTTGTAAACGTTGTATTAGTAATTAATCCGAGGTTTCGATTATTACTCAAGTATTTTGTTACGATAGTACCAAATAATAAGATAACATATTAAAATTCGAAATTTGCATTTCATAAAATAATAAGTAAAAAACTTAGTATATACGTAGTTACAATTAATTAAATATAAAAGAGGTTACTAATTAATTGTGTCAATAATTTTATCGAATTTGTAAAGTAAAAATATTGTAATAGTACAAACTTAACATTTATTGAACTATATAACGATTTCATTGTAAAATGTTGTGTTAATTACGGATATAGTATCATTAGAACGCAATGTGGTTGTTAAACACATTCGTAAAATATAATATTCTTTTATACTGATATATTTTTAATAAATACCAATTCTTAATTAGTGTTATAATTATTTAAATGATGAAAAACTGTTCACAGGTTACAAACTTTACATATTTTCTAATTCTTTTATTGTATGTATGATCGCATAAAGTTTATACGAGCTACTTTTATATTGATTTTGTATATACAGCATTAAATTACCTTTATTATTGCATAATTTTTATGTATCGTTAGAAATTATTTTTATTATAATCTTATTTTTATGTAGATATTAGATGTCGATACTAGAAAGATATTATGATTAATATTGAATTGACACTGGGCATGCTAATTTAATAAAGAATATCGCTCTTGTAAATTTATTGTACAGTTGGCTGCTAAATATTAATCTATAATTTATTCATTTTGTATAATATTTTTATTTTAATATCTGAATAGCCCAGACAACAGACTGCAGTTCACCTCGTGGCATCAAGACAGACGGGAACTGCAACGTCTATTCTTCGAGTCCTTCTGGCTGCGGCAGGACGGGACATCCGTCTGAAAGCAGATGGTGTAAGTTTTTAAAATCTTTTACATTAATTCATAATAATAGGTCAATTAATTGATAATTTCTGTTGTACAATATACTGTATATATATAATATACTGTCATATATACCAAATATAAAATAAACGAAATGTAAACCAACTGTAAAATAAACCAAATATACTATCTATATATAATATATGTATAATAGATAAATAAAGAAGATAATAAAAGAATATAATAAATAAATAATGAAAGTTAATTTTTAAGTAATAGATGTAAAAAATGAATACAACATATATAACGAGATATTGCACGCTAGAGAATAAAGACTACAATTGTCAAAATGATCTTCTATTAAAATCGATTCCTCATATTACTCACAGCTTTTACTTTAAAATTGGGTTACCCATTCAATTCCGTAATGATGACTAACCTAATTTTTTCGTCCATTGTCAAACACGTAGTTTAAATGCTTCCATTATTGTACAATTTCATTATGAAAAAATTGATCGGTTATTTTATAATATCCATATTATAAATTCATACAATGAAATGAAATATTATCTATGTTCTTATAGTGGTGTTTCATGTATAAAAATTTATAATTATATTTATAGTTAATATATATTAATAAGAATAAAATTAGTAAGCGTTGGTTGAGATTTTTATTTTCATAAATCAACACACGTTGATTTTCAATGTTTAATCAACAAGCAACCATTGAATATGAATATATTCTTGATAAGTAATAAAAGTAATGCTAATATATTAACTTATAATAAAATGTTAGTTAAAAATTGTTACATCTCGCGAATAATAAATACCCTGTTTATGTCTTTTTCATTCGCTTGCGCATGTGAAAATCTACAATTTCTAATATATTTATTTAGTCGTTCTAGGAAAATAATTAACACTAACATTGATAGGGCTCAATACATAATGTGAAATAATTATAAAAGTGGAAACTCATTAATAAGAATGGTCCCATTTAGAAGGAAGATACAAAAGGCTGATGCATCAGTTAAAACTTTGATAGTCTTGTATCATACTGTCTAGTTTGTTATTAAACTTATCACTTTCAAAAGATGTCGACGATTAGGAAAAACTTGATCAAGAATAAAAATAATTAGCAGACAATTGCAGGCGAGTAGTGCAATTCTACAAACGTTCGTTAATTTCATCGAAGACACGGGCTTATCACAGGCGTAGCACGATTGCACCCGTGACTATAATTAAAGCCGATTGGTATAGTTCAGAGGCGTGGGCGATCGGTTCGCGTGGTTGGAGGCCATCGTCCAGGTGCAGTAGTGCGACGAAGACCTGGACTTTAAAAACCGGGTGGGTCGCGTGACGCGGTCGGTAGCGGCGTCGCGAACTGGTACCGCGAGTTGCCAACCGGGAGCCGCTGTCTCGCAGCATCGATTATCCGAGGTGCCGGGTAAGGCCAAGGAAGAGACAGACCGCCAATTGGTTTCTATCAAAACTTTGGGAATGATGCGCCAGTCGCGACGCGCACTCAGTCGCGTTGCTTGGGGTTTCTAGGATCCACGAGGACCTACGTCCTTCTCCATCGATGCCTGTGTGGTCACGACCGCAGGTGCTCTCAAGCCCCGACCACGCAGCTTTTCCCAAGAACTTTGTCTTTAAGAAAAGGAAGACGACTGGAGCCGCCAAGTATTGGAAAAACGCAGTCAAGAATGTCCTGGCCGAAGTGCGCGTAGGTTTGCAATTTGCTCGCAAGGCGCGACATTCTTTATAATGGCTTTCATTGCTGATTTTTCCTTCTCTAACACTCCATTTGATTGGTCTCGCCCGGACTTTGGCAATCCCTCCAGCTTAATACCATCGGATTTAATTATTTAAAATGAAGCTAATTGACTCTTGCCTACAAGCATGATTGTCATTTGAGCACAAAGACTATCTATTTCTTGGTTGCTCCAGGAACTTGGCCTCAAGCGAATTAAAGTAGATTAGATGTTGACTTTAAGATTTGAGCGATTGGATGTTATTTATAGGTAATAAGTACACCTTAGCAAGGTTTATTGCGACGTGCCTTATTATTCGTAATGACCTATCATTATCGAATTAACTTATCGATCGTAAATTCATTTTACACGTCTGTCACATTAATTCCATTGCTTCTGCCGAGCGCAAATATAAATCAGATAAATTACCATACGCTATTCATCTCTGTCTCCTCTACATTACGCGTGTATTTGTATAAAATTCGTAGTCATGTGATTAATCGAAAATTTTTAGATTTAAATTTTAATTTAATTTAAATTAAAATTAGATCTAAAGAATATTTTTAGTTTCTAAAATAGCGATTTACTTTTCTGCAAAAACTTTTCTAAACTTTTGTAAAATTGTGTCATTCCGAATACGACTTCGGCATATTAATTTTATCTCTTACGTCATTAAGATAAATAAAAAATTAAGATGTAATTAGTATTTCAGGGAACAATGAAACATATCCGTTTTAAAGTAACATAATTATAATCACTAGATATAATCGTATGTATGTAGAAATCGTTCGATAGATTAAATCAAGTCGTTCAACTACTCAAGCTAGTGAGCAAAGTTGGTGTAACAATACGTCTACTTGGTTGTTTCAGAAAGGTAAAATCCCGCTTCTTTTGGCCGTGGAAGCGGGCAACCAGTCGATGTGCCGGGAATTGTTGTCCCAACAAGCTCCTGACCAATTAAAGGCGACGACGCCATCCGGCGACACGGCATTACACCTGGCTGCTCGTCGCCGAGACGTCGATATGGTCAGGATACTCGTCGACTATGGGGCCTCGGTCGACATGCAAAACGTGAGTTATATATCCTCTTATTAATACGGGAAATTTTACGAAAAAACGAGCTCAACATTTGCAATTATAGACCCGCGCAAAATTATTTCACATTCGGGTATTTTGCATAATCGAAGTGCTTACGATGCGAGAACGAGGAATTCCCCCCCCCCAATTGATAAAAGTGCAACCAAACTTTATTTTCAAAATATAAGAATGAGCTTTTAATTACTTTAACAGCTATGAAAAAAGCCATTTTCTTCTTTTTGTACTCAGTATCACAATGAAATAGTGTCCCTGTATGTAGGTTTAGAATTTCATTGAATTATAAATGTTATATGCTTCAGTATGTTGTGTACAATTATATAAAATTATGAAATTTAGGATAATAATAAAATAATAGTCTTAGAGCCAAGGCTGAATTATACAAAGGCACTAAATTTTCGTAAAATTAAAGGGGTTAAAGATTCTCGTAAAACGAATAATTCATTATTCGTCTAAATTGAACATTGCCTTATTCGTGATAATAGTATTGTAAAAAGGGGAGAGTTTAAGATAAATAATTTAAAAAATCAACTAAAAGCGCAACTATGTAAAGGGCACCGGACAAACGGCATTGCACATCGCAAGTGCCGAAGGCGACGAGACTCTCGTTAAATACTTTTACGGGGTGCGAGCCTCGGCCGCCATAACCGATGACCTGGACCGGACGCCAATGCACTTGGCAGCCGAGAATGGACACGCGTCCATAATTGAGCTGCTCGCCGACAAATTCAAGGCCAGCATTTTCGAGAGGACGAAGGACGGCTCTACGTTGATGCACATAGCGTCGCTCAACGGACACTCGGAATGCGCGACAATGCTTTTCAAAAAGGGCGTTTATCTTCACATGCCAAATAAAAAGGGAGCCAGGTCGATCCACACTGCCGCCAAATATGGCCACGTGGGCATTATCAGTACACTATTACAGCGGGGAGAAAAGGTGAGTAGCAGGACTAGTTTATCGGCAAGTGCCGTGTCTTTGAATGCAGCTCTTTATCCCTTAATTAACGTGGAGGAACTACTTTTTTGGACTTGGACGATCTACATCGATTACACCCGTGATATATAAATAAGCGATTTATTAAAGAATTCTCTCTGGTCATTCTCTAGCTCATTGACTTTGCAATTGGTTCGGCTTCATTGTTCAGTAGATCCGTATTGCGTACTCCCCGTAGAATCGTGTCTTTAGCACATCGAGAGAGAGAGAGAGAGAGAGAGAGAGAGAGAGAGGGAGAAAAGTGCAATAAACAAAGATTTGTGCAATATCGAAATTAAGGTCGATGCCACAACGAACGACAATTACACGGCTCTGCACATCGCCGTGGAGAGCGCGAAACCTGCCGTTGTCGAGACTCTTCTGGGTTACGGTGCGGAGGTGCACGTGCGGGGCGGCAAGCTCCGCGAGACACCGCTTCACATAGCTGCCAGGGTTCCGGATGGCGACAGGTGCGCGCTTATGCTGCTCAAGTCTGGCGCGGGTCCAAACCTCGCGACCGACGATGGCCAGACGCCCGTCCACGTGGCTGCGAGCCACGGCAACCTCGCAGCTCTTAAACTCCTTCTGGAGGATGGCGGTGACCCCATGTTCAAGTCGAAGGTAAGCTCAGAAAGAGCTTTTTAGCGTGGAAATCCGATTCACAAAACTTATTGATGTCTCTTGCATCGTGGCTGCGTCTTTATTATTATTCTTTCGGTTTAAAGTCTGTTATTAGCCGCTTCCGTAACGAGAGTCAAACATTCAAAGTCGAAATTTTTCATTGCATACTAGGATAAAATTGTCCTTTCTTTTTACTGGGAATTTATATTGGCATGTAAAAATGGAATTAAAATATATTCTTGATATTTGTTTCCTTTCTGTCGTTAACAAATCATAAAGCTTTATTTGAATTATTTAAATACGTTGAAATGCCACTATTATATTTGTATTACAATTGAGTAATTAAACAGTTATTTTTGGTTGAAAGTTTTAATAGTTTTTAAAGATAAATATTTAATGGATTGATTGTATAAAGCTTATTTCAAAGACGCATGAGACAATTGTAATAGATTTGTTTTATGTATTGTGTATATAAATATAAATATTTGTCAAAACACAAATTCTTGCTTAATAAGTAATGAATGATGTTCACATAGTTTGTAATTATGATTATGTTTATATAATATATAAACAATCGTATGATTTACTTGTTAAGCAACCGTTGTATATTAATACTCTGTAAATATCACAATCTATGTCACATTAATATACTTACATCTATTTTCTGATCACACTAGACAACGAATTTAGGGTAAACTTACCATTAACAACACTATGTATTATTTAGTTATTTAGAGTGATTAGTTTTTAACATAAACTTATGTTTGATACACTTTGAAGAGCACAACAAAGGTATGTCTACAAATGACGATATAACTTTCTAAATGTGAGCATCTTGGAATGCGTCAGTTATTATTTTCATAGAATTCAATCGAAAGATTTACCGTACTAGGCTTTGCATGTTCATTAAAAATTTTAAATAAAATATTCCTATTTATTGTTTTTATAAGCATTTATACTCATAGGATAAATTTTTAATTATTTCATTAATAATATTGTCGAATATTCACAAAATTAAAGCTTTAATTTGTGAATGATCGACTATTACAAGATATTCATAATATTTCGAAATAATTTATGTTTATAATCAACTAATACCTACATCATTTAAATCGAGCTAAAACAGTTATATTCCAATCATATTTCATTTATAATCTTCTTTCATGTAACATCAAAATAAAAGCCCAAATATTCCAATATGTTGATATATTTTTGTTGCAAATTCTTCAGCACCATTGTATAAAATATTTATGCTCGCTACAATGTTTATTCCCTTTGTGTTATATATATATATATATCGTACGCCTTATAAAACTATAACAATAATAATAATAACAATATTAGTAGAAGCAACAGCAGTAGCAATAGTATTATTAGTAGTGGTAATAGTAGTAGTAGTAGTAGTAGTAGTAGCGGTAGCAGTAGTAGTAGCAGTAGCGGTAGCAGTAGTAGTAGTAGTCGTAGTAGTAGTAGTAGTATTAGTAGTAGTATTAGTAGTAGTTGTAGTAGTAGTAGTAATCGTAGTTGTAGGTGTAGTAGTCATAGTAGTATTAATAGTAGTAGTAGTAGTAGTAGTAGTAGTAGTAGTAGTAGTAGTAGTTGTAGTTGTAGTAGTAGTAGTAGTAGCAGTAGTAAAATAATAGCAGCGGTAAAATAAGAAGAAAACCTTGTATAAACTCCCATAAGTATTTTGAAATAGTTGATCTACTGTAGTTGTAGTTTCTTGCACATAGCTTATTTTAAACATATACTTTAATAAAGCCATTGCAATTGAATCGTAAGTTGAGTAAATAACGTAAAGAGCTATGTCAAATTGTAGAAAATTAATTTATGAGCACCCGTCAATTATAACTGCAAGTTCGTATAAAACACCGCACATTTTTCGCAAAGCCATGACCTTGACATCCAAAAGTTCGGGATTCAAGGCAAGGCAATAACGCATGGCACCTATGCAAACCGCCAAAACTCAGCACCGCATGCAACGACACCGGTAAAAGCCAAGAGAAACGCTAGAGCGACAATGCGCTATTCGTAGAACGGCGAAACGCCGCTTCATCTGGCCTGTCGAGGCTGCCGAGCGGAGGTGGTGCCCCATCTTATCGAGTTCGTGAGGGAAAAGAAGGGCGCAGATGTGGCAACGAACTATGTGAATAGTTTGACGTTCGAGGGTGCGAGCGCCCTTCACTACGCAGCTCAAATCGAACCTACGGAAGTGCTGACCCTGGGTGACGACCGAGCCATCATTCGGGCGCTGCTCGAGGGTGGCGCCGACGTCTCTATGCAGACGAAGCAGGCCCAGGAGTCGGCCTTTCACCACTGCGCCCTTGCCGGCAACAACGAGGTCCTCTCGGAAATGATCAGCCACATGTCCGCGACCGAAGTGCAAAAGGCTCTCAATCGTCAGAGCGCCGTGGGCTGGACGCCGCTGCTCATCGCAGCTCATAGGGGCCACATGGACATCGTCAACAATCTCCTGGAGAACCACGCGAGGGTCGATGTTTTCGATCTTGAAGGCAGATCAGCCCTTCACCTTGCCGCTGAACACGGTTACTTGGAGGTCGGTATGACCGTGGAAATCGGGCGATGCTTATCCGGTCTATTGTTTAAGACCTCATGGGCACTCGTTTGAGCTTGCCCGAATTCTTAAGTTTGAGCTCCATTTTCCCTTGATGCCGTGAAATCTTGTGGATCTTGGCCGCGAACCGCACGTGTTAGATCTATTTGTCTTTTTCGTCCTTTTAAAAGACGGAGTGATTTGTTTGCAATTAAGTAGACAGCGAAAGCAGATAAAACGAGCTTTTATACTCGACGTGCCTTGCCTTTTATACCGCTAAATGAAAGCTATCGTAAGCGCTGGCTACGTCTTTAATTCGATTCAAATCTGTGTCTAAAGGTGGATCGATGTCCATTAGCATAATCTTTCGTGACCGGAAGAATAAAATAATTTCAATGAAATTAATCAATCCGCGTGCTGCATTTGTGAAAAAAATGTCTTTATACATTAACAATACGATCGCTTGACGTAATTGATATCTAAGAATAGCTCTTCTAAATACGATATCATTATGCCAGCCGATAATAGAATAATAAAAATTCGGTCATTAGAGGCTAATATGATGAAATGGATAATAGATAAATGTGAAAAAGTCCAAATGAAATTGTGGTCCGTGTCGGCAGGTCTGCGATGCGCTTTTGGCCAACAAAGCTTTCATCAACTCCAAGTCACGAGTGGGACGCACGGCCCTCCACTTGGCCGCGATGAACGGCAACACACACCTCGTGCGTTTTCTCGTCCAGGACCACGGCGCGGCTATCGACGTCCTTACGCTCCGAAAACAAACCCCCCTTCATCTGGCAGCCGGGGCCGGTCAACTACTAGTCTGCAAGCTCCTGCTCGAGCTTGGTGCGAGCATCGATGCGACGGATGACCAGGGCCAGAAGCCCATTCACGCTGCAGCGATGAACAATTACGCGGAGGTCGCCCAGCTTTTTCTACAACGACATCCCAGTCTCGTAATGGCTTGCACGAAGGATGGCAACACGTGCGCCCATATCGCCGCGATGCAAGGTTTGGATCATTGTTCATGCGCTTTCTTACGTAATGTCGATCCAGCATTCTGACGACACTTCCATACAATCATATTTTTAGTATTTACCCTGTAATTAAAAGCAAAGCTCGAGCGTCGATTGAAGATTTTGAAGTTCGGCTAGGAAATGCAGGTTTTATGAAATAATAAGAGCAAAGGTATGAAAGTAAAAGAGTATAAGCCGATAAGAATCAATGTCATTTTAATCACACGACTATTAATATCTTAAATACATTGGTCGCATTTTATTTTGCTCTCCATTCATTATAAATGTAAAATCTAATGTCAGTATAGATAAGGATAAAACGTATTTTCTACGGATGCAAAATTTTAATAATAATCGAATAGTTATGATACTACTTAAAAGCCGCTAATTGTGTAGTATTTTGATATCATTGCATTATTCAAACTTACATATATTCATGAAAATTCACTTATCATTTGCTCAATATTAGCGCATAATTTTTTAAAGGTTTCCGATGTAATTGTAAATAATATTAAGGATCGTGTTGTGTAATGTGAATTATGCAAGTAGTAAAGAAAATGGTGTTTTGGTGTAGCAAAAACATGTATTTTAGCTAGAAAGGTTTAAGTTACAAAAATTACAATTTCCTTTAAGATCGTTTTTATATTCTTGAATACTAATTTGAATACGCTATTTTCAAAATAAATAACTGCTGCTTTTTTGTACATTATTTTAGTAGTCTGGAATAACTTAATTTTCAGAATTAATGTATCACTAATTTTTAGCATTTATTCTTATTTTGATGAAAATTTTTATTTCCAACTTGTCATACAAACTAAGTAGTCTCCGAACATTTTCCTAATTTTTAACAGCTCAGTACTAAATTTTATAAAATTAATCTACTTCTATGGTAATATTTAAAAAAAATAATAACAATTTTTTAATTGAATCAATTGTTTTGATCTTACAGATAAACATTTTAATTTGATTAGTTAATTTGTTGATAATTTGTTAACAACGATTAAAGTTTTAAATAAATATATGTTCAATAATATAACTTGTATACAAATTAATTCGATAATTTAAAAATTGTATATATAATTATAAAGTCGATATATAATCATATATCGAAAGAGATTCTTTTAAACGAATATTCGTTTTATCTTCAATTATTGAATATGAAAATAAATAAAAATATTAAAAGTAATTAAAAAGCAATAGAAATCCATCCAAATCATTTTATATTATTTATATTGATATAATAAATGTACATTATTTTCTAAATATATTTCAAATTTAAAGCATTAAATAATAAACAGGAGATATTTTGACAATACATTTCGTAAAGAAATACATTTTTATCGATGCATAATTATTTAATTTAATTTATTAAAAATAGATAATAATAAAGTAGATATTATTATAGCTTCCATCACTATTAACTTCCATCGTTTAAAATTATTTTTTCATGCATTTGCTTCAATTTATTTTAGCTTTAAGCCATCTAATGTTCCTGTTGCATACATTTAATAAGTAGCTCAACGATATTATAATAATATTTTGAGTGTATATTTTTATTTAATTCATTAAAGCAAAGTCAAACCAATCGATTATAGTCGAACAATGCTTCTAGCTCTAAAAATTCTAATTCTTGTGTAAAAAGAAATTTATGTATGCCTGCTATGGCAGAGCTCATGTAAATAGTTAACAGGTTGTTTTTTTATAAAATATAATCCCCTGAAGTAAAAAATAAAATAAACAATGAAATAAAAATAATACAATGTCCACATTAAGTAGCATTGCGTTGTGCGATAAAGTAATAAATATGCAAGAGTTATGTAATATAAAGAAGAGGGTATCTTATTTTCAGAATAAATCCATTCCACTGAATGCTCGTAAAACATATTTTATATAATTAATTATAGATTATTTATAGAACATGACATTTATAGAATTAATTTATAGAATATTTATAGAACATATTTTATATATTAATTATAATTATTTATAGAACATGACAAATTATTTACCACGCGATATTTAAATACTAATACACTTATATTTGAATTATGTACATGAAGTTTTTGAATCCATTACGTGCAAAATAAAAAGAACAATTAAAAATTACATATGGATATTATTTATTGAAAAAGTCCAAAAATATTAATTGAACTTTCCCAGCTATTGAGCAACTAAGAATTATCAATACGTGTATTAAATTGTAAATTGTGTACGAAGATATGCAGAGATTGTCGTTGCACGTCAACAGGCTCGGTACGGGTGATCGAGGAGCTCATGAAGTTCGACCGCCAAGGCGTAATCTCCGCGCGAAACAAACTGACGGAGGCGACGCCTCTGCAACTCGCAGCCGAGGGTGGACACGCGGAGGTCGTTCGGGCGCTGGTGCGGGCCGGAGCTTCGTGTGCCGATGAGAACAGGGCCGGCTTCACGGCGGTCCACCTCGCGGCGCAGCATGGCCACGGCCAGGTCCTTGAGGTCATGAGGTCGTCACAGAGTCTCAGGATATCTAGCAAGAAGCTTGGAGTCACCGCGCTGCACGTGGCCGCCTACTTCGGCCAAGCCGGTGAACCTCGATAATTTTCTAATTTTCCTATTTAATCATGTTATTTTATGCTTTATCAACTAGTGATATTGCCTTTTTTATCTATTCCTTTGACTAGTTCCTAGATTTCATTCTGCTTTCTTGAAAAGGGATTTTTTTTCTTTAATTTAAAAATTAAAACACTTTGGTATTTTTAGCAGTGTTTATTTGGAAATTAAAATTTTAAGGCTCGAAAGAAAATGATACCCTAGAAATAATACTTTTTATAATAATATGTAATAATACTTTCTTTACGTAAATCAACTTCATAGGTAATTTTCTTTACGTAAATTAACTTCATGTTATTATTATCATTATTAAATCTATAATTAGATAATGTAAAATAATTATGGATGTTAATCATTAATTATATATTTGATATATTTTATTAGGTTGCGTTGAAAAAAATTAATCGGACTTTTCAAAATAAAATTAATTACAAATAAATGTAGAATGAAAACCTATTAGGTTCGTCACCTTATTTTATTATTTTAACTAAACCATGAAATTTGGAAAAAAATTCTTTAACATTAATAAAAATTCCTTGTTAAAATAAGTTTGTTCGATAACAATTTATTAAATATATGATGGTTAAATTATCTAAAGTCACGTCGAGGAAAATATTACAATAACTAATAAAATAATAATTCAATAAAGATCGTTATAATCTGCTATATATATGTGTGTGTGTGTGTGTGTGTGTGTGTGTGTGTGTGTGTAAAATTATATGAATTTATTATATAGGAAATAATTTCTGGACAATATTCTTCTGAAATATTTAAATACTGGTACATAAATCTTATTACTTAAAATCCATTTTTTTAAAATCTTTTATTACATACGAAACCCTTACCTTACATACGAAAATGTATGTCAACAATTTGTAAAACAAATATATGTACACGATAATTCTTGATTATCCTTATAATAGTTTATACTTCGGATTTCCTTTATTTAGAAAGAGTTGAATATTCAAATACATATACCTGCAAATGAAAATATGCAATGAAAATATACCTGCAAAATGTAAAAAAATTAAAAACGAAGCAATTAAATATAATAGCTGGTTAATGAGCAATTTTGCGTTCTTTTAAAGATAAGCAGTAGGAAAAGGCACCATCAAAATATCAATTATCGACAAATCTCGGAAACAATACTCGGAAACAAATTTCGGATATAATTTTTCAATACATGGAACATTGATTGACATACTTGTATGCAGCAATGCCTGAGTTAATGTACTAAACTTAACATGATTAGTACACGTACTCATGAAGATTAAAATTGTGCATGGCTTTGGAGACTTCGATTATCAGGCATCACTGTACTTACATGATTTTCTAGTTGCGCAAAACTCTAATTCTCACAACACGCGATAATCCTATTTCCACCCTCACACTTGAGTTTTAGAATTTATACCCCTAATACAAGCATGGCATCTAATCTTATTCATTCTTACTCTCTATTTAAATTTTACTACAGGTGTACTAAAAAATCTGTGATTTTTGACAATTTCTCGGTTTTTCTATTTATTTTTATTTCAAATTATAAAATCAGAGAAATGCAGAATTATGGTAAATTTATAGCAATAAATATGCAATACTATATTTCGATTATAATTAAATACGATTAAAATAAGATAACATTTTTATAATCAAATGTATAATTAATTAATTAAATCGAAGTCATTTTATTTACATTTTTAAAAAAGGATTTAACTATTAATGTATATATTCTTCCATTTTATAATTGTTGAATGCTAAAAATCATTAAGATTTTATTTATTTATTAAAATATTAAGATCTTATTTATAATAATAAACATTGTAATTGGAATTTAATGGTTTAGATACATGATTACGATTGATTCTTTAATCCTCAAATTGATATATCTTATATAGAAATAGCCATTATTTATAAATAAGCTAATATATCTTTATGTAAGCTTAGTATAAATATAAACGAATTTTTAATTTCAAGTAAAAAGCGTTAAAACCAAAACAATGATAAAATGAGGAAAGTGTTGATAAAGCGTACGATTACCAGACCTTGCGACAAGGTCTCGAATTTTATATGTAAACATGTTCTTACACAGAAAAAAAGAATGTATACTAAAGTTTTATTGTACATATGCGTGCAACAAATCATATAATGAACGTCGTAGCTTACAGCACGCACAGCAAAATAAAAGTTGTGATTTATAATACAAATCTTCTTCTCTACATATCCCGTAAAAAATACCATTCGTACGAAACAAAAAATTGATCTACTTTTATGGAACCATTATTACATTTAAGTTCGACTCTAATTTTCGCAAAGCCAATAGTTTTCAAAGACTTTAAAACTAAGATAAATATGAAGTCGGATATAAATTGCACTGTAAAAAGAGAAAATTAGTTTCGCAGTAAATAATACAATAATAGTCACCGTTTAATTTTATTGAAATGAATTGAAAAAACTTAATTATTTTCAAATTTATGTTGTTTATTTATTTTAGTTTGTGTTTTAGAAGAGTCGTGCCTTTTATTTATTTATCTCAACGTAATATTTATAATTTTGTATATAATTAATTATCCAATTTTTAATCCGTTGTTTTAATTACATTCAGAAAATCGGTTCACCACCATGACTAACAATGTTGTTCACATCCATATAAGTAATCTAATCTTTTAACAATTAATTCGCATTAAGATATTTTTCACTAAATTGATTGGATACTTCTACTTCGTGTAAATCACCAATGTAATAAAATAAAGATAACAAGGTTTTCGCATATTAGCGCACATTTGTTTGACTTAAATTTTCCGGTCTCATTTTGCAGCATGAATTCTATTATTTTATTTTAATGCAGTACCTATTTTCATATGTTTACTATAAAATGCCGCAGATTAATCGTTAAAGTCGTGTAAGCATAAGAAGGTACACGCGACATGCTCCATTTAGGTGAACTTACGATGTTGAGATTCATTTATCCGCCACCTCCGGTGTAACAACGAACTCGACGTTTCTATGCCACACCAAGTTAAAGCAAGTAAATATAAAGAAACAAAACCAAATGTTTCATTACCCTTTTTTTTAAATTATTAAAATTAATATAACTTTGTGCATTTAATAAATGTCAATCTAATAAATCAAAATATTAACAATATAATATTATACTTTAGGTATTTTTCACTATAAATTTATTCTTCTTATTTAATCATGTACTGGATAAATTATGATAATGCATCAAATAAATGATTTGAATACATGTAAAACAAATTTGTATGGACTATGAATTATGTATGATTAAATATCAAAATTAGTATTTAATATCGAAAACTCTGAATTTTTACGAGAAAAAAAATGTATATTCAAAGCAATTAAATAATATCGATAAATTCATAAAGTTAATAAAAATAATATTTACTGGACTATTTGTTATGTTTTCTTGTATTGCAACAATGGATAATAATTTACAAACTTTATGGCTCTCTCTCTCTCTCTCTCTCTCTCTCTGTTTTTTAAATATATTATCAAAGCTACTTTCTTGATTTTATGTTAAAAAGTTGCAACAAATTAAATACAAATAATGTATTGAAAAATTCATTTATAATTACTTGATATATAGTGATGATTATAGTTGTGATTAATCGAATTACAAATTTTTATTTAATATTTTTGCATTTCTATAAATTGTTAAGAATAAGTTATTATTTATATTAATAACTATTGCTTATAGAGAGTCTAAATATATTTAAGGTAGCGGGAGATATAAATTTGAGTTGTGGCGTAAAGGGAAAACGGCTGATTTTCTATACTCGGCGGTTCACGTGCTTAATATAGGTTCCAGGATGTGCCGACTGGCACGACAATAATATTTCCTGTACCAACCTCTGTTACCCTAAATTGAATACAAGTCGTTACTCAAATATTAATTTTCAATAAAAAAAATGTATTCAATAAACAGGAAATGTATTAACGAATTTTAATTATTACAATTATTGTGTTTATTATTATTATTTACAGCGTATATTATATTATTATATAATATAATATTATATAATAGTATATTATAATATTATTATACTTGAGATAGAGATTATAAAAATTATAGTCTATAATTTTTTGTAGACGATAATTTTATTTCATAATTTAGTAGAAGAATGTATTATCCCATCTATTAGTATATTAGTATAAATATTTATATTGTATTTAAACCTTGCGTAAAACAATGTGATTATAAGCACTAAAATTTTGCACAATATTGTCCCTTTTTGTAAAATATATGTTGAACAATTAATGTCTTCATGCATATTTAATAAAAATATTTTTTCTAAATCTCTTATAAGATTTTAGGCAATCATAGAGATGAAAACCATTCAAGCCCTTCATAGATTTAAAATTTAATAAATTTTTGTTTCTACTGCACAATGTAAATGTACATTCAATGTAAATTAAATCTAATTAACAATAATTCAAAATTGATTATTAGAACTATGAAACAGCTGAAGCAAGCTAATCAATTACTGACTAATAGCAGATTATCATTAGCAATTTACATTTTAATATTACTGAAAGTTAAAGCTGAAGACCACACGAAAGGAATATCAGTCACGGTCTATCAACTCCAATGCACCTTTCCTCATATTAAGTCTTATGAAATAATGAAATAATGCACCGAAGAAGTCGTAAATTTACAAAGTGGTGAAAGAAGAAAAAAAGTAAAAATAATATTAGACTGTAAAACTACTGGCTAGCTGACAGAATGATTAATTTGCGCGAATCAGTTTAAAAGGGGGTCGATCAACCAACGTGTTGGACGTGTTTCAGACACGGTTCGGGAATTATTGACCCACGTCCCCGGCACCGTTAAGTCCGATCCACCAACCGGAGGTTCCTTGGTTGGGGAACTTGGAAGCGAGTCGGGCATGACGCCCCTGCATCTCGCCGCTTACTCCGGCAACGAAAACGTCGTCAGACTGCTTTTGAACTCCGCCGGTGTCCAGGTAAAGTCGCTCATGCATTCCGGTTGCTTTACCAGATACTTTGTTTGCATGTTACTCTGGTAAGCTAACTTGGCTCTTATCCAATTCATTATCTGGCTCACTTAACTCTGTCCGTTTAAAGCCATTACCATTACCAAGCAAGTTTTAAATGTTTTTATGAAAATGAATCGTAGCCTGCTAACAATGGTATTGCTGGTACTCGAAACGAGCTACCGTTGGTAAACCGAAAATCAACTCGCCCATTACTTTGTTTGATCTTTTCTAATTGAAGGCGATATATGAAATACGAACTTCTGCACCTCCTTCAATTTATTAAATTCCAAGCCTTCGTTTGACATCTCACTTTGAACCATCATTCACATTTTACAATTAGTCCCCACCAGAGTTTCGTACTTTATCAATCTCAAAGCACTGATTTTCCACACAACAAAAATACACACGAATACCAAACAGGTGGAAGCTGCGACAACGGAGAATGGTTTCAACCCACTACACCTCGCCTGTTTCGGTGGGCACATAACGGTCGTCGGGCTCCTCCTTAGCAGATCCGCGGAGCTCCTCCACAGCGCCGACCGCTACGGTAAAACGGGCCTGCATATTGCAGCGACCCACGGTCACTACCAGATGGTCGAGGTACTGCTGGGCCAGGGCGCTGAGATCAACGCAACGGACAAGAATGGCTGGACGCCGTTGCATTGTGCCGCACGTGCCGGACACCTCGACGTAGTTCAGCTGCTTGTCCAGAGCGGTGCTTCACCCAAAAGCGAGACGAACCTCGGCAGCGCGCCCATTTGGTTCGCTGCCTCAGAGGGTCACAACGATGTCCTTAAATACCTCATGGAGAAGGAGCACGACACTTACGCTCTCATGGAGGACAGGCGGGTAAGTCCTAAAAACATTTATCGCCGCTTTGCAAGAACGTTCAACCCGCCATATTACGAAAGCTATCATCGATACTTCGCGTGCCCGCCTTCGACCCATACATATTTATAAGCTAATTTTGATTTTGGCTTAGCGAACTCTGCCTGCGGTCGCTAAAACGAGCGAGCAGGACTCGCTTGTGTAAACAAATCTGGGTTAAAGATAAATATTATGTATATCGATTTGAAGTTACGCTCGAACGCTGAGCTAGAAATGGGAGAAAATCGGCTGGAAGTTTAAATTTGATATCGGACAGAATAATAATAAAATAAATTGCGAATGTTAACGCTTAATTCGAAAAGTCCTTAAACTTTTTGAAAGAAATCTTCGAATTTTCAATGGTTACATTTTCAAATTAATACAGTTTGCTTATTCTTATCAGTGTTTATCTTTCTAATAAATGCACCTATATGCTCAATTGTTTATTCTTTTTTAAAATGATTAAACATTAAATCGTGATATTTTTTATTCTTTTAGAAAACACATTTAATTCTGTTTCCGTATGATGAGCTATTACGAATAAACTTAGTCAAACTGCACCAATCAATTTCGTTATCTCACAAGTATCGTAGAAAATAAAAAATACAACGTTACAGTTGTATTCTTAGACATTTTTCCACTAACTTATCTATTCTTATATTTATTAATGTTATTATTTCAATATATGCCGTATATCACCTATATAAAATTATCTAAAAGATCTATGAACAAAGTTAAACTATTTTAATAGATGAATTGATAGTTATGAATTTTCATTCATAAATATTATTGAATACTTAGTTTGCTCGGTCACTTATAAATCCTATATATCTTCAATCGTTTTATGCATTTGTGAATATATTTACATCTTTTAAACTTAGAATAAATAATTATCAAAATTTCTGGTAATTCCTTCCTCTATGATTAGACAGCAGAACGGTACTTGTGTAAAAACCAAAAACAAAATCTAGCATTACTAGAGAAAAGTTGCACACTTTACAAGTTAATACATGAATTGGAAAAAAAGCGTGACTTCGGCTAGAAAATACGAGTAAAAGAAGCAAATGCGTTTGCGAAAGGCGCATCAGTACCGCAGCTCTAGCTAATCTCGGGGAGCGTTAGACCGAACGAATAAATTCTCCAGCTAACGTTCCTGGATCACGCGAACACCGTCGAGCATATATATCACGTGGCCCTTTCTAGCATCTACAAAGACGTGCAGAGTCACGCGCACTTCACGTTCGGTCCCGCATTGCGCTCCCTGATATCCCTCGCAATAAAGCACTTGACCTGTGCACACCTGCTTCAATCCATTTTCAATCTCTTTTCCATTCTCTCTCTCTCTCTCTCTCTCTCTCTCTCTCTCTCTCTGTCTGTCCTTTTCACTTTCGCCCTTGCAGTTCGTCTACAATATGATGGTGTGCAGTAAGAGCCATAACAATAAACCGATCGAGGAGTTCGTCCTGGTTTCTCCGGCACCTGTCGATACAGCCGCCAAATTGTCCAATATTTATATGAAGCTCTCGGAAAAGGAAAAGGAACGAGCTAAGGACTTGATTGCCGCTGGTAAATCATATATATGTTAATTCAGAAAGAGCCCATTGTTATGCGTAAAGGCAGACCCTCCTTTCTGAATATATTGTAGAGAGTTTGTGCTACGGAGCATGTAGTAGGATGTTCGCAGGCCCTTTGCATTTAGCTACTTAAATATATAAAGACAAAAACAAAACAAAAAATTAGAAAATGGACTTAAACTTGTGAATATCAGTACTAAATTTATATAATTATTCTTACTTTAATTACCTTACCAAGTATGAGCATACTAATTTTTATTTCACATTTTTTTACATTTTATTATTTTACTGTTTTTCTTAATTTTTTTTGCGATTGTACATTACAAATTGTCTTTCTAAATGCAAATTTAACGTAGCGAGAGCCATGCTTAATGTGTCGTGTATTATGTATTTTATTAAATTTGAACTTAATATTGCAACATTAAAATTTAATTTATAATATGGCTTAATAATAGCTATGCTGTCCTATATAGTTTAAAATAATACAAAGAAAGTTCGAATCAATGGCGATGCTTATACAGGCAAGCAGTGTGAATCGATGGCTACGGAGCTTTTAGCCCTGGCAGCGGGAGCAGACTCGGCTGGGCGAATTCTTACATCTATGGATAGACGTAACGTGGAATTTCTCGATGTGCTCATTGAAAACGAACAAAAGGAAGTGATTGCGCACACGGTGGTGCAACGCTACCTCCAGGAACTCTGGCGCGGTAGCCTCAACTGGAACGCCTTTCGCACAATTCTCCTCTTCATAGTCTTTGTCATCTGTCCTCCCGTCTGGGTCGTTTTTGCCCTGCCTCTAGGACATAAGTACAACAACGTGCCCATCATCAAATTTATGTCCTATTTGACCTCCCACATATATCTTATGGTCTTTCTTGCGCTTGTTGGCATCATTCCGGTATACACGGTAAATCATAATGTGCATTGTATTCGAGATAACAGATTATATGGATTAACATAAATTTTTATAAATAGAAGAAACTAAAACTAATAGATTTATTTTTGAGTAATCAATGAAACGACAATAAATTTTTTCTTATGAATTTGTGCATTTTACTTTGAGCATCAGTGGTTGGTACATGATACACTTACTGATACATGATACATGAAACACTACTCTTCTACACTTCATGCATTAATGCTAAACTATAATTATTAATTATAAATGATATCATCTTTTATCTTTCAAAGTATTACATGTTTATAAAAAAATAGCTATACAATGATATGAGGCTTAAGACAAAAAAATCTTGACATTACAGATTACAATTTAAGTTTTGTTACACTTTTATTTCTGTATTATGCTTTTCCTTTACAATCATCATTAAGTCAAAGTCAAATCATCGTTAAGTTGATTAATCATCATTAATTAATCATAAAGTTAAAATATGTGTTTTAATATTTGTACAAATGATTGTTTTTAAATAATCAGCACTATCAGGAAATCCAGATTGAAATAAATTCACACGCGATATAAGATGATAAAACTACAGCAAGACGAACTGCTTTACCTTAAATAATTTTATTAACAGTATGAATTTAAATAGACAGTAATAATAGAACGATTTTATATTATTTATAATATATTGTAAAGAATGATAAATAATAAATTATTTATTTTTTTATATCGTTAAATTATTGCCATTAAGCTCTGTAATGAAAAGTTCAGAAACTCGAATCAACTCTTCTATAAAACAAGCTTTGCTATAATTTAAAACTTTTTAACTTTTTAACTTTAAATATTGATATATTAAAAAGATTTGACGAATAAGGGATGAAATATCAGTATTACTGTATACCCATTCTTCGGTCGATAATTTATCGCTATTTCATACCCAAATAGCGTGTCAGTTTTAGTAGAAAACCCGAAGTAGCTAAGTAAGCTTCGGTACCACATGAATGTGATCAATCATGCAGGTGAACCGGAATCCGTTAATTCCATATTGGTACGAGTGGTGTCTATTGGTGATGCTGTCGGGTCTACTACTATTCGAGCTAACGAATCCGAGCGATAAGAGTGGCCTCGGCTGGATCAAGTTGGCGGTGCTGTTGTTCGGCATCTTCGGCGTGGCCTTTCATCTTCTCGGCTACTTCAATATCGTCAGTGTCGACAACTACGGGACCCTTCTTTACCTAAGGAACCAACTTTTCGCCCTGAGTTTCCTACTGGCTTGTGTTCAAATTCTCGACTTCCTTTCGTTTCATCATCTATTTGGACCATGGGCCATTATTATCGGCAATCTCATGAAGGACTTGGCAAGATTCCTCGCTGTATTGGCGATATTCGTTTTTGGCTTCTCCATGCACTTTGTCGCCCTTAATCAGGCGTTTAAAGAGAAGTCGAATAGAGATACGAATAAGCAAAATAAGCCCGCTTTCTCCGATGGTGAGTATGTCGCATTGGTTTTCTATTAATTCTGTTTTAAAATTTATAACACATTGGTATTATGTTATTTCTTTTTCGTTTATATTGTCTTTAGGTTGTACTTTATTAACAAGTAATTATGTGCGTATATATATATATATATATATATATATATATATATATATATACATACATACATGTATGTATTTCACATTTATTTATTTATTTATTTATTTAAAGGGAGAAGGATTATTTTATCAATTTACTGTCATTATTTTTTATTTATATCAATTATCTTATGAAAGTAAATATATATTCAATTCAATAAACTAACTAAAATATTAATGTAATCTAAACCCATTCTCTTGAAATATATGTTAATAAATAGTTCCACGATCTTATATTAAAAGATACTGTTAAACTGGAAAGACTAAAGTACGTGGCGGGTGGTTGAAAACTTCGTTTTTATTTAATAGTATTTTTCATTTTTATGTTTTAATCGCCAAAATTTATCGTTTTTATATTTTTAAGTCTAAATTACATTTTCAAGAAATTTTATATTTTCTTAAAATGAGCGCCGATCTATTTGTAATTCTTCGCTGTTTCAATCTGTTAATATAGACAACTGAAATTTTTTGTTTTTCCGTTCTCTTTTTTATTTTTATGAATCATTTTATAATATTTTAAATACTTTTTTTAACATGCTTTTGTGTTTTGATAAAAGGCTATAATCCCAAGAAGCCGAAGCGTCCAGGTAACTACAAATATAAGCCATTAAGTTAGGAGATAAGAATGACTTTCAACCACCCTATATAGTTTAGTTTTAGCAATAGTTTCATCCAAAAAAATAGCTATGTGCGACAGCATACCTTAGTATCGCATAATTATAAAATAATGATTGAGAACGAGCAATGTAGATGCATAAGACATAATTGTAAATATATTACTCGGTAAATAACCCCTTAGCAGCTCGACTTTATCGAGATGTAAATGAAAATTAGCTTACTATATTCAATAATATGAAAGTAAGAGTTTGGTAATTGATCAATATTAGAAATGGTGGCGCAAAATTTAACCGAGTGGGAATTGATTGACGTGAATATTCCACCGCCGCCGATGCCACATCGCCGCTTTGGACGCTACAAGAAAAAGAACGAATGTTGCGACGAAAGCACACGAGATTGTAAGTCTTGTTTCCGGTCGGAAAGCCGGGAACTTTATAACCCTATTGTTATACCTGCAGTGTTGAAAATAAGACAGAAACGGTGTTACGCCGCCAACACATTGGATGAAACGATTTTCGCTTTCAAGCTCATCGATGTCATTGTGTCCTGTCCCGCATAAGTGTACAATGCATTTTAGCCGATAATGTGGAGTCCGCCCGTCCTTATGACTTATATTATCTGTGTGTGTACTGTGCGCCACGTAATTATTTCATACTGCCTGCATAAATTTTCATGTGAACCAGGAGATCAAGAAGAATCGAATAAAGCCAACTGTTATTATAGTTTTTATACGAAATTGCTACAATTTCTTTTACAAGCTCGCCTAGTTAATCAAAGCGGAAAAATGAAATTCTAAAGGCTGTTTCCTTATTTATAAATAAAGCTTCTAATTCGCCTAGTATTGTAACTTTTTGATAAATAATATTATTTTTTCAAAGGAAGTTTGTCATTTAATAATATAAGAATATCGATCGTTTTGCGGCTAGGATATTATTTTTCAAGTGTAAAATTAAACATAATTTTCACTGTTTAATCAAGAAGAAAATTAATTTTATGAATTTTTACATTTTTACTAGTAGTACATACTAGTAATAACTATTGGTGTATATAGGATTATATTATGCATATATTCACCTTCGATATCTTAATATTTATTTATTTTTAACATTATCATTTGTAGTTTATTTTTCATCTCGCGTCTACGATTTTATAAAATTTTGTTTAACTGAAATCGCAGACAAAAGGGGTAAATTACATGGGGTACGAAATAAATACGCCCATCAGACAAAATGAAGCGTAATGTTTTCAGATATTTTTGTTAGAAAGAACATTTTTGCCTTTATAAGTACGCCTTGAATTACTCAAACAAAATTATAAAGTTCATTATTACTACTCATCGTCAAAGCTACAAGCAATAAAAGAGAGCCCTTTCGAATTTCTATTTCCAAAAACTGCACGATATTAAGATCGCGCAGACCTCGATTTTGGTGCTTTCAGTAGCTGCGTGCAAAACTTACAGTACGCCCACCAGCAGCTAAAAAAGTGCGACTAACGTTCCATCGCCGCTTTTCCGTGCAGAGATGGGTTGTTTGCCAATGCATGCAGTTATTTTGTATGAAGGTCACGTTTGCGTGGCCAATTATTGCGCCCCGTGTTGTTGGAACGTTTCCTAGATGAGAAGAGCGGAGGTACAACCAGAAGCTTCGCCTGTAATGCACAGCAATATGCGCGTGTGCCATTAAAGCAAGATATATGCCGATTATTTATGTTCACCATCGAAGCACGAAAGCTCACTAGAAACAAATCGCTCATCATAAATTCGCGAAATGGAACCGCGCGAGGACGAAAGATGCCCATAAGCCAAGGAGAAAGAGTGATTCGCGCAAGGACCGCTGGTCGATCTAGATGCAGCAAGTGCAACAATAGTTAATGAAACAACAAGCAACAAAAGCCCAAGCATGTCCACCACACTCGTTCGTCTATAGCATGAGCATGGCAAGTAATGACTGTTGACATGTGCAACTGATCACCGCGTAGTAAAATTGCCTCTTAGATAAATCCTAATTAGTGCCACAGCCTCTTGCCAGCTTAGCGCGAAACGCCTGCCAACAGCATAGGATGAGAGAGAGAGAGAGAGAGAGAGAGAGAGAGAGAGAGAGAGAGAGAGAGAGAGAGAGAGAGAGAGAGAGTGTGTGTGCGTGTGTGCGCGTGTGTGTGTGTGTGTGTGCGCGTGCGTGTGCGTGTGCGTGTGTGTGCACGCGTATGCGTGGGCCTATGGCAATGAAGCTATGAGATATCGATAAAAGAAACGCGGCCATGCTTTGAGAATGAAAAACAAAATAGGGAGATGTTGCCTGGCACGTTACAGTGAAAATGAATCCCGTGCTCGCTTTCGAGTACCTCTTCTTCGCCGTTTTCGGACAGACAACCCACAGCGAGCTCAAAGTCGAGCAGAACCAACCCGAGTGGACCTCGAGCCTCTTTAAGCTCGCTTTTGGCATCTACATGCTGGTGTCGGTCGTTGTATTGATCAATCTCCTCATCGCCATGATGAGTGATACCTATCAGAGGATTCAAGCTCAGTCGGACATTGAATGGAAGTATGGGCTTAGTAAACTTATACGTAATATGCACAGGTAAGAGGGACTTGCATTTAATAGTTAATAGCTACGAACGCAAATCAACGCTATTGTATTTCCCAGTCAGTGGTTATTAATTCGAGCTATTTCCCTTTACCTTTTATGTTTCTTTGTTTATTGGATTTTTAGTTTGTTTATTATTTCTTTTTTTTCTAAATGAATACTTACAGACGCAGGTTTCGCATTTTAATCAATATGAACGCTTGATCGAGTGACGATACTTTTAAAAATCCTAAATACAAATGTAAGGTAGCTGAGGATAATCCATTAACTACGGCGACGGCATTGTTTTATAATAATACATCCATATTACTGGTACAGTTTTGATATTTTTCTTTACAAGATAATAATGTCATTAGTTTTTCAAACAAAATTAGGTTCATTTTTCTCCAAAAAGAACGTAGTTTATTTCAACTCACATTGTACTCATTTAGATATGTGTGTGTGTGTGTGTGTATGTGTGTGTGTATTTTTTAAAAATATAAATTCATAATTATTATAAATATTTAATAGCTAATAATTCAGAATTTTTCAAAAGGTATGAGTATTTATTTTCACTATTATTGAGAATATGATCAATTAGAATTTCAACGATATTTTTCAAATAAAAATAGCAATAGAATTTATCAACTCCAAGATAGATAGATAGATATATAGATAGATAGATAGATAGATAGATAGATAGTATATAGTATAGATAAATTAGTTTAGTTAAATAATTCAACGCTTATCCTACCCTACTAATACAAAATCCTTTAACTACAGACAAAAATACATACAATGCTTATATAGCCACATTATTCTTTATTATATTAAAAACAAAATTAATTTCCAAATGAAAAAAATTCATGCCAATTTCCATCCTATTAAATGCACATGGAAATTACGCACAATTTCATTATTGTCGTAACATAAGAAAAGGGGATCAGACTTAAAGTTTAAATAATGCCTATATATTTATGGAAAATAAAGAAAAAATATATAAGCAATCTGTAATTTTCATTGTGAATCAAGTAATGCAAACTCTACTTGGTATTTTCTTAAAGTGAGCAATATTCTTAATCGTCTTGATAATTGTAAGTTTAAATTTTCCATTAAGTCCGAGGCGAGAACGCTAAAAAGTATATCTAAATATGCTGTGCTTCAATAAAAGACTTACGTCTTGGAAGGCTTTCCTTTTGACGAAGCTATTAAAGTCGAATCGCGCACCTGCGTACTTGGACGATCGCCAATCGCACAAACGACCAATGACAGTTGCCGATAAAAATCACACTTCCCACATGATATCCGTGCTTGTCTCGATCCTACCAGCGCACAACTCTCGCTTAGCAAAGGCGCGAACCTCGAATGAAGCGCGCGCCTGCCCTAATCGCCTGGCCCCGACAAACCATTGGCAATGGGCGCTTCTCCGTTTTCCAGAACGACCACGGCCCCCTCGCCCCTCAACCTCATCACTACATGGATCGTATACTTCCTCAAGCAGTGTAAGCAGCGCACCGCGAGCAAAAAGCGACCCTCCCTGGTGCACATGATGGGACTTCAGAGAGCGGGTCGCATGTCGCCACGCTCGAAAATGGGTGCCAAGTGGCTATCGAAAGTGAAGAAAGTCCAGGTGAGGCCGAACAAGGACAGCATTACACTATCGATCGTCCACCTCAGTCCTCTCGGTAGCCAGCTCTCATTCAACAGCGCCACGAGAATCGAGAGCGTTGTCGACTGGGACGCTATAAGAAAGAAGTATCTAGCGCTCACCGGTAACGAGCCGGAGAAAGAGCCCGAGAAGGAGGAAAAGGATAACGAGGAGGAGCAGGAGGGCCACCACCGTGCCTCAACTGGCAATGCGTTTGCCGTCAGTCCGGGCGGGGCCCAGTCCTCGATACCGCCCGTCTAGTTACTCCTTAGAGCCCAGCTAATCCAACTTATTAGCGCGCGCGTAGTTACATAGGCACCGAGCACAACGATCGTCCACGTAGGTTAAGTGTCGAGGAAAATGTCGAGCTGAGATCGACCGATGCGCCAGGCTTAATGCAATGCGACTTTATGAGAAGCGAGATGAACCCTTGTGTACAAAGATGAGAGGAGAGCGACGAACTGCACAACACACGCCTACCACGGTTCGGGGTTTTTAAATTAGAGAGTAAGTAAGTTTTTGACTGAAGGCCGGCTTGCCGTCGCACAGAGAGACATTTAGATCGAGAAGCCTGCGCACTTACAAGATAATCTCTTAATATATGAATGCCAACAATTTTTAAACTCAACATTATCATCGCTCAAGCTCATCCGAAAGCATTTTCTGCTTTGGCTTGCGCTCTTCGATCGTACATCATCGTATGTTTCACACCATCAAATCATATACATCACAGCGATGCTTTCTCGCTAATTTATTTGTTATTAGTGGGGAATACGCCGTAGGAATATACATTACTTTTAAAAATAGGTCCCAAATAGCTCAATAAATTCGTATAATTTTTATGGCAAGTTAGTAATCTGCTATTACTGTTTCATGTTATGTGCGCATTTAGAAAGCATACTGTTTGCAAAATTGACTGTCCTCTCTATTGTCATTAGAGGACTTCAGAACTCGGCGCAATAGAAAAATACTATATTAAAGTATTCACGAATTTTATATTGAACTTTTATTGCTACATTATAACAACATATTAATATCTTACTTGGAACAATAATTTACAATTTTTTTTTGTCTTATTTATAATATTAAAATATTATTATTTTATTTTGTCGACTTTTAGACAGTTGTTATTAATTAACGAAAACATGTTATTTCTATACAACGAAATATTATTCGCTTTAAATCAATGCACAACAAATTTATTTCCACTCCTTTAAATTGTGCATTTTTATTATACATAACGATATTTATTTTCAATTTCTCAAGGAGCCATGAAAATGTCAATATACTACAATAGTCGGTTATCTATTGAAATTTATGTAAATAACAAATTTACAAGACATTTGAGTCGAATTGATTTATTTATTATAAAATTATAGTTAAAACATATTTGCAAATATTATCAATTCATTGGTTAAATATAGAAAAGATTTGGCACTAAAATAAAATATTAAAGAAGTTGTATTTATTATTTCAATGTTAAGAATACGTGTATGTGATGTATTAGAATTCTATAGAATTCAAGGGAATTTACATAAAAGAATGTACATTCGACTTATGTAGAACATTTAATTAAGATTATTATTTCGTAATGAAATAGCAAGGCTTTTAATTAAATTTTAACCTTTAACATTTTATTTTAAATCATGGATACTAAGGTAAAACTCTTTCATTCGAGACACTATTTCTCTTAAAGTTATGTAAGCTGTCTTGAACGAATCAGTGAAAACTATGACTATTGACGTTAATTGGATGAAAATTATATTAAATAACCCAAATTATAATCACGTGCATGCATGAATATGCCGATTTTGCAAGTTTCACGTTTTACAATAGTCAACATTAACAAAGTGTTAAAATAGAATATAAGCGGAAAAAAGTACATTTTCCATTGCATCGAAATATTATGCCAAATAGATCATAGATATTAGAGCAATTTTACATATTTATTCATAAAATTGTCTTCGACTGCGTAGGTTCTTAGACTCGCTTACTACCAAGCGATTCCAGCATGATATTACCTACATTGCCAAGGAAATAGACAAAACCTTTTTAAAGCATATTTTTCTTTCTCCATTATTTTAATCCTTACATAAATTCACATTATTAATGTACGTGAAGATTTTTACCAGAACCGCAGCATCATAGACACCGGTTCTGGATGTTATTTTGATAATTTTTTTTAGATCTGTTTAGGACGAGGCACATATGCTTTGAAACAAATAATTGGCTAGTGAAATTTTGAGGCGTTGTCGAAGGCATGCGAGAAAAGTTTTTACGCCGTCGACGATCGCAGCAAGAGAAGCTCATTTTCTTCACGAGAGAACTATGTGGTGCGTTAATATTGCAGTTGTAATGTGGCCGCACCAAGCGATCGAGCTCCTCTTCTTCGCGATCTTCGGCCAGACAACCCACGAGAATTTCAAGATTGTGCCACGTGACAAGCAGGAACCCTGGACCACCGCCTTCTTCAAGCTTGCCTTCGGTATCTACATGCTCGTATCAGTGGTCGTACTCATTAACCTTCTCATCGCCATGATGAGCGATACTTACCAGAGGATTCAGGCGCAGTCGGACATCGAGTGGAAATATGGTTTGAGCAAGCTCATCCGGAATATGCACAGGTGCGAATGCTTAGAATTTATCAATACAATTATACCCTATCCTCCATCATAAATAGATTACCTGCCGGCAATACTAAGTTGTTAAAAGCGATGATGGAAGATAAGCTACTTCCCCTCCCCCTTCGGAAGACAGTGATTCAGAATCGATGCCAATAGATTTTAGAATAAAGTAGCTTGTCTATTTAGTAACTGAACTACAATCTTTCTTTACGCGACTGGGTAATTTTTTACATTACCTGATATATTTTCTTCAATTTCCATAAAATCTTCTATACTTGTTCATCCATTTTTAAACACATAGAGTTGCTTGTTTTGTTTTAAATTAGCTCTTACCACCTATCACTTAATCTTCTAAAAATTGCACACGTTAATAACTATAAACTATACTGTATACTATAAACTCGATAAGAACGTTCTATTTTATATTTTAAAAATTAACACATTAGCATATATTTATAAATCGATATATTCGTTAAAGTAATAACTCATTACAATTAATTAAACATTTAAAAAAATAATAATTTAAAAATTATTGTATAATATTAGCGGAATTAATATTCGTAATGAGATATCATTTTTTAAGCCATATTATACATATGAAGTATCATCGATTATTAACTCTTAATATAGCAAGCACATTTCTCCATTCCCGATAAACTTTTACTAGCACATGACATGCAGTTAGTTACGAATCCGTATGCAATGATTACTTACAAGCGTCGCTCACACTAAAAACCGCATCACACAAAACAACTTGGACCAATCGAACTAACTGATCTCTAAAATGTTTAAATGTAGAACTACGACGGCTCCATCGCCCCTGAACCTGATGACCTCTTGGCTCACGTATCTATACAAACTCTGCAAGAAACGCAAGCGAAATAAGGAACGCCCATCACTTGTGAATATGATGGGTCTGCGTCGTAGTGGTCAACTCTCAGCCCGGTCGAAAATGGGCGCCAAATGGTTGTCGAAAGTGAAGAAAACATCGCAGGTTGCCCATAAGGACAGCGTCACCCTCTCGGTTATGCACCTGAGCCCGTTGGGCAGCCAATTGTCATTCGGAAACGTGACAAGGATCGAGCGCGTCGTCGATTGGGACGTGGTGAGACGCAAGTTCCGCGAGCTCCACGGCGAACCCTCGGAAAAGCTAACGATTGAAAGCAAGGACGACGGGGAAACGGATTCGCAGCTTTTGCCCATTGAGGAAGCTACGAGTCTCGTCGGCAGTCAGGCCACTCTTATAGCTTCTGCATCTTAATTGAGATGCTCGCAGAGGGGAAACGAGATGCCGCTGTGCAAGAGCGATGGTCGGAGAGTGCATGATAGAAGAAACCAATGAGAATTGAAGAAGAGGGAGAGAGAGAAAATTTGTGTGAAAGGGGAGCAGAGACAGAGTGATGGAGTGAGCGAGAGAGAGAGAGAGAGAGAGAGAGAGTGAGTGAGTGAGAGTGAGAGAGAGAGAGGAAGAGAAGAGGAAAGAATGCCAACAATGGTTGTCCTCGACTTCATTTATATTAAAACAACGATTTCAACGGGGATGAGTCTCTCTCGACGTAGCCAAATATTATACATTCAATATTGTGACGGAGGCTAACTTTCGAGTCGCTTGCACTCACGCGACACGGTTAGTCCTCATAAATTATTAATTGGTATTTATTGTGTAGACTGAGGCGTCAGTATGGTTGTACGTACGTAATGATGTGCTATAAAACTCACTGTAGATAGTGGCGTTGTTGATTACATTTTGTTTATTGTATACGTACTACTAAATTTTTGCGTAGACGTTAGTATCTAGCATGTTGACGCTTGATTATTGTTTTATGTGCAGAAGCGCGTTCCTCTTAGAGGGATGTAAGGGCGTTTTTCACAATTACGTGACTTCATAACTTCATTATCATATTGTTTTTCAGGAGTATAAATTTTACTCATCACGTTGTGCATACATTGTTATGTATATGTTTTTTGTATAAGTAGGACTGCTGGAATATTGTATTGCAAGAAACTTAAATCAGTTGTAGACCGAAAATCCACCGTAAGATAGCAGAATTTCACATGTGTAGATTGTCTATAGTGCTGTCTTGCCTTCACACATTTTGTAGAAATAAATTTCTTTACATATTTTTTTCAGTGAACGTGAATATTATTACCATTACGGAAAATCTGTTTTTCGCAATTTTCGGTCAAAAGGACACCGACGACTTCACGATATCACTGCGAGATAATACACAACCAAACTGGACTTTATTTTTATTCAAGGTTAAATATGATATATGTAGAAACTAATTTTATTTTATTTCAACACCTAACGATAGGTAATGGTAAAAACAATTTTCTAAAATTTGTTTCCAGATATCCTTTTCAGTTTATATGCTCGTCACCGTAATTGTACTGATAAATCTCCTTATTGCTATGATGAGTGATACTTATCAAAATATTCAGTCGCAAAGTGATATTGAATGGAAATATGGTTTGAGTAAACTTATTCGAAATATGCAAAAGTAAATATTTTATAAAATATAGTAAATATAATATAAATTAATATACATTAATATGTATTTGAATATTATTGCGATATTTTTTAGAACCACAATGGCACCATCTCCGTTGAATTTAGTGACATCCTGGGCTAATCATTTTCATAAAACATACAAATCTAGACGTAAAACCATGAAAGGAATGAGTATAATGAATGGACTTATAGGTCGAAGATTACTACAGAGTCCTTTCTTTCAAGTTAGTGAAACATTAAATTCTATGCTTTATATGTTGGTGATACACTCTAACACTATTGTTGAAAATAAAATATATAGGATGTCTTGGAACGAGGGTTAGCTAAGAAACTTATGAAATATTAAACTTTTTAAAAAGATACATATACTCTAATGATACAACAATTAGAAATTTTTAACATTATTAAACTAAATATTTACATAAAAATTATAAAATTTATTTTCATTTTAGAAACACTTTTTAGAATTAAAAAGCCAAGTTAAAAAATTTTACTCTATTATAACGTATGGAACTAAATAATTATAGTTTCGAAATACATATGTTTTAAAGTTTAATACCTTTTTCAATTTGATACATTCATAAACATAAATACCATTGGATATTAAAGAAAAATGCTTTCATTTAGCTTAGAATTCGTTATTAATATCTGTAATGAGAAAGACTTTCTTAATGTGATATATTTAGGATTATATCTGAAATATATTTGCTTCTTAGGACAATAAAATGCATCCACTAAATTCAGCAAGAAATAATTGGGGCATTTCATTATTGCAACCGAGTCCATTTGGTAGTCAACTATCATTTCGCAATGTTCCCAACATCAACAGCGTGGTAGACTGGGATATCGTGCGTCGGAAATACAGAATTCGATTTGGCGGCGAGATCGAAAAACCTAAAAGTTCTTCACTGATACTTGGTGAAATATAAGAAGAAAAGCTTTCGTTTTTGGTGCGAGTAACGCATATTCTATTTCTACTGACAATATAAAACAAAAGGAACTACGTAATTGATAGTTAACACATATTAAATTAAATTTCTACCTAATCTTCTTTTTGATGGCATTGATTTAGAGAAGATAGCACAAAATCCTGCGATATGATTTGATTAGATTTTTAATTTTCTATCGCTGTTTCAAATAGTACGCTGCGTAAGCTTCATGTTATGAATATATGTACATAATGAAATTTCGAAGTTAATATTAGGTGAAACTTATTTCATAAATACATTAAAAATATAAATGCAGAAGTAATTTTATTTTGTTCTTATTGGTTTGAAAAGAAATATCTTTACTATTACAATTCGCTTCGTCCATAAGGGGATTCTACATTTGTTTCGAGAAAATAAATGCCTCTGGTATTCATTTCCAATTTTTCTCCCATATAAATTATTTGATTTTTATTCTTATCGCATTTACCAGATTTGAACTCCATCCATCCATTACATTCAAGGGCAGGAAAACCTGCAGGATTGATTATGGATTCTCCCATATATTGATGAGATCTCGCATGACTACAATATTCTACAATACACATAACAATATTTAATAATATTTATGTAACGAGTAAATTAATGTAACAATTTATAAAATAAATCACTGAACAATTCATAACAAATATGATTATATAATAATAGAATTTGAAAAAATTATAACGAATTGAAATTTATTTATTTGTGATTAAAAGTAATTGAATTAATTTTTTAAATAAAAGAAAAGTTGAAATAAAATTATCATTTTTTTCATTAATTTAATTTTTGAGTTTTCATGAATTCTTCGTTTCTTCTTCATTTTGCTTTAATTTTACTAAATCGTAATTATGAAAAAATCAATTACGAGTTAATAGTACAGGGCATCCAGGTTGTCGAAAGCTTCCGCCATTCGGATAAAAATCAACGTGACCAATTGGTCGGATGAATCCAGCTGTTCCAGCACATGTATGAATGACATCGACAAATTTTGCATCGGTTAGATCTAAGCGATCATTCAAGTCTTTTAATACAGGTGCTTCAAAATCTGGCCTTGCCGGATCCATGCCAGTAATCCGAGCCATTTTCCCTGATAAATTCCTACCTATCGCACCTGCAATATGTGCTCCGAGACTATGACCTAATACATGAATATTGTCTAAAGATAAAACACCTTCCATCAGGAGGAATCCCATGAATTGAGAAACATAGTCACCAACCTTTATTATTAGATAATAAAATAACCATCATTATATTAACATTCGTTATCGCTCAAGCTTATGCTCAATTGTATATTATTATGTCTATACATATATATAATATAAATTAATAGACATTTATCTGTGCATGCATACGCATATGTGGCTGTATATGCAATATATTTCATTATATTTTCATGACATAAACATATTACGTAATATAATTTGTATAAATTTCTAATTGAATTAATTATATAACATCTTTATACATATCTATTTAAGCTATAAATAAATTTTACTATTAATATTAATTTTATAAATATATATTATTTACCATGCACTGTTTTTAATATTTAAATTTAAATTATATAGATTAAGTAAAAATTAGTTTCCCTAACTTATGCGATTAAAATAAATTATACAACTATTTATCAATTTTTCTACAAAAATGGCAACATTTATGAAAAACATTAGTTTTAAAAAATTCAAACATATGTAACAGACATATTGTTATTAGAATAAATTTTTATAAATCATCTTATTATAAATATTTAATAATATAATAAATTTAATTCGTAAATTAGTTAAAATCAAAAAATTTATTGTAAGTTATGTAGCAAAATTAAAATTTATTATTGATTATTCTAAGTATTATTATTTTTAAATAATAATATGATATTTGATATATTCAATGTCAAAAGTTGAATACATTTAATGACAAAGTATTATAAAATTCTGAAATATTATACTAACAGCATAAAAAATTGTAATATGCTAAAACATTACTTCATGCAAAAAATAATTATATAAGCCAAAATTAGAATAATATTATTTTAATTTGAAAATGTTAAACAAAACATATGAATTATTAGAAAATTATAATGTAATAGATAAATTTATTGTGATTTTATTTTATTTTATTTTTGATACTTTTATATTTCGTCCCGATATATGAAATACAGTATATGATATATAGATATATAGATGAAATATAGCATTAAGCTTCAATATTATAAGAAAATAAGATAAATATTATATGAATATATAGAATAGTAAGCAAAATAAACGTATGTATGTTTTTACTTAACTGTTATTATAAAAACTTAAAGTGTTTATATATGTACATGCAACGGCGAATTAAATAATTATAAAATGTTAATGTAATTGAAGCAAATTATCAAAAGTTATTAAAATTTTTAAATAAAATATGTGGATTCTATTTTATTAATAGTCAATATATAATAGTAAAATAATTATTTTAATTTGTTCAACATTTTTGAAAATGTTCTAATACTAACTTGTTTTGTTAAGCTTGCAGAAACTAAATATTCTTTTAAAGATCCTGCTGACCAATCGACAACAATAATATTATAATTTCCCATTAATAAATAATTTCGACGGATATCTTGTATCCAAGAACTATTTCCATTATCGGTCCAGCCATGAATGATTATTTTTGTTATACCAAGAGTGATAAAATTTGAATTTCTTAAGCTTATAATGTCGTCGAGTTTAAGCATTAGAGGCTCGCTTGGATTTTTTCTAGTGAATAAAGAAAAACTGATATCTCGTTCAGGTACCATAATAGGATCTAATACATTTGTCAAGAATAAAAAATCTTCTGGGAGTGTTGACAATGAATTAATGTAACTATCCAGTATAACTTCTTCCAAGAGAAAGTCTGGCAAATTTTCAAATTGCTGTCGAGTTGGTACATCAGCAGTAATATTACTAGCTTTATTAAAACAAAATACAAAACAAGAAAAATTATATTTATTATATTGTTCATAAATTATGCATTCATTCATTCATTAATTCTACAGCACTTTTAATTAGTGTTTATTTAAGCATTATTATTATTAATTTTTAGTATTTCTGCAAAATTAAATTTGATGCTCTTATAAGAAACGCACTGTAAGACTAAATAGTTAATTTTAATATTACTTGCAATTATAAATAAGAAGAAATGTACGATGAGCGAAATCATTTTGTTTTGATTTTTTTCTGATACTAATCCTAGAAATAGGAGTAGATTTCTTTTATACACGCAACTTATCTAACCTAATGAAACTAAATACAATCATTATTATCGTTATATAACTGCGTTTAAATTTATATATTCTTGATAGAAAAGTTTGTTTTTTGCATCGCCAGTATGCCATTACCTACAATAATTTATGCAAATTCATTAATAAATATTGTAACATTAAATTTGAACAAATTTTAAAACAATTTATAAATATAATTTCTAAATCAATATTAATTAAATTAATATTAATCATCACATCTATATTAATATACTCAAATGTATTATTTTTAATTTTTAAATTTTAATAAAATAAAAAATGACTATGAAAAAACAAAGCAAGGATGAGTATGTTTATTCTAAAAATGTATTAGTTATAATTATTATTTAACAATTAATTAGATATAACGATAAGTATTAATTATTGAATGTTAAGTATTAAAGAAATATTAATTAATAATAATAATTACAAAACATATATCTAAAATATTTTCTTTTTAATGTTGACTATTTTATTTATGATTTTGTTTTAACATCAATAATTGATTAAGTATCAAATATTTCTTTAATATATTGTATATATATTATTTATCAATTATAAATTTTATATATTGATATATGGAAATTAAAAACTATAATGTAAAAAGTAATTACAAATTTTTTTATACTCAATATATAAATTTAAATATATATCACATGTAAATAAAACTGATTTTAATAAAAATAAAGTATTTGTGACTTTCTCTAAATAATAGTTTTTTTATGTAAGGTCAAATACTTTAACATGAAATTTTACTAGCTTACTGATAAATAAATTACAAGAAGCAGCTACTCCGTAAGTGCATTTCAGATCTTTAGTAGAAAATCTATAAGCACCTGAAATTTTAATATACTGGCTTTAAGAATAGACTTGCATATTTACTTAATAATTATTTCTAATACGTTATTTTCATTTTTGTTAACAAGATTCAAAGTTTTTTGTATAAAACTGACTGATTATAAATACTAACTATATATCATTTGCAAATCTTCAATCTTTAATATTATTTATAGTTATAAATTGTATGGTTGAATTATGTAGTTATAAATGAATTAAATAGTTTAAATTTTTATAAATTATTTTACCTTTTAAATGTCTTTATAAATATTTCATTTTGGTATGTAATATGAAGTCTTTTGGTAAAAAGTTTATGCCTTTACCATATTCACTTAATTCTGTTAAAACTTTACTTTATCTATGCATATTTAATGCCTATTAAATGCCTATTACGCTTTAATGTCTATTATATATTTTTCAAGAAATAAATTTAAAATAGAACACATATTTTGTAAATATGCTTTTCATTTTTTTGTAGGCTAATTGTGATTCACTGATTTTATTATAACAGACCATTACATTTATAAGTATTCTAGATAATAATTTATTCATTGTCTATTTTTATTCATTATTTTCCAACCATTTAAATATTTTAAGTAATATACACCTCTATTTATCTTTAAAAAATTTATTGATATTTAATGATATTATACACATATAACATTAATTTTTATTAAAAATAATAAAAGATATTCTCTTATACCTCGCTTATACCTTTATTTTATTCACATTAAAAATATCCTTAGCTGTAATTGTTAAATAATTATTTTGATGAACTTAAATCATTATATATAAGAACTATTATCTAATTCTCATTTTAAATAGAACTTTAGAATTTGGTTGAATACATGGGAAACCATCAAAATATCCATATTTGATTGATTATAAATTATAGATGTGTCAAATCTTTTTATACTAATAATATTAATTTTAGGTCCTTGTGTAATTCATCGCTTAGCGAACAGACATTTGTTTAGTATAGTGAAAAAATATTAAATTGAAAGACTCGCATGAAGTTCAAGAATAACTTTTGTCTCTGAAGGAATTACTTCTCCAGTACCATGAATTTTTATTAGTTTGTAAATCTGAAATTAATATTAAAAATATTTTTATTATTGTTTTCCTTAATGTATGTCGAAATTCTAATATTATTACATAAATTTAAAAATGAGTGTTTTAGCTTAAAATAAAATCTGAAATAAAATAATTAAAATAAAAAATAAGTAAACTCTATAATGAAATTCTATTAATCCAGTCAAAAAATCAATGAAAATACAGGTGATTATCTGAAAAACTTAAATAAAATATCAGTTTTTGATTTTAATAAATATCGTGTGTATAATAGACAATTTACCAATTATTGTTAGATATTTATTAAGTTTATAATTTAATATTAATTACCACTAGTACTATCATAAGATGTAGAAATAAGTTGCATTTAATTTACAATATGTCCTTTTTCTTATATACTAGTCATCTGTAGTACAATGGTGTCAAATAATATTTGACAACTGGTATGTTTTCATATATATTATTATCATTATTTTCTGTTTTACCCTTTAAATGTTTTATTTGTAGTATTTCAACATTATTCGACTAAATATTTTTATAATATTTATTATTCTTTTCTTTATCTACTACATATATAAAGTTATTGGTATCCAAAGTAAAGCCATTGCTGCTTAATATGAATTAATTAACCTATGGATTACTTAATATTAACTAATAATTATTTAATATTAATATAAATTGTAATTATTTCAAATAAACATTAAATTAAAATCTAAAATAATATATAACGTAAGAACCAAATATAAATAATAAAAAGGGCAAATTTCTAAAATGTAAATTTAAAAAGTTATATAGTATACGATACATGCATTTTAAAAATGATATTGCATTTCAAATCTATTAATATTAAACTACTAAAAATAATAATAGGTATAAATAATAATTTAATAAGTCTTCTACATTAAATGAAGTATTACTAATATTAAAAAATGTTTCAATAGTAAACTACATCGAAGTTCCAAAAACGAGTACCACAAATAATCAACTATTTCTCATCATAATATCATTAATATATTATTTATATATTTCTTTTTCATTTTTAAGTAATTTTTGTCTATTTAATAATAATAGTAGGTATTAATTACTTGACTTATTTTATTGATATTCATATAATGAATATATCAATCTATATATTTATTACATACATAATATATACAATAATACAATAAGAATCCAAGATGAATTGAAGATATATATAGTAATTAAAAATGAATTTAGTTAGCAAATTACGACATATATTACTTTTCAAAAAATATTTAAAATATTCGTTCAATTTCAGAGTACAACCATCGCCAACATTTATATTATTGTTTTCATAGTTACTAATCAGTTGTATTTATTATTATGTACTATTAATTAAAAACATTATAGACTTGCAATAATGATTTAGTCAATTGTTCAAATATTTTATATACTCAAATTTTTTACTCAAAGATATCTTTTTACAATAAATATATATAACTCGAATTGGACCTAATATAACCTAACCATAGAGTTTGTGAGTATTTTACAATTTAACGATACAGCTGAATCGTCGGTCAAGTAATAACGAAAAGAGAATACTGAGAAAAAAAAACTAATACTGTAATAATATACATTATTGATTTTTTAAATTTTATTACATTTTAAGGTTAAAAATATTTCTTATTGCATACAACATAATTAACAAAGTTAATTTTTAATAAATAATATTTATATGTAAATTATAGAAAAAATTATTTTTATTTGGTGGTTGTAATTATAATTGATAATATTAAAAATAATTTATTAATAACTTGAACAACACAATTAATATAATGAATACTTCTGTTTATTTCATTATAGGTTTATATTGAGTAATAAATTTCTGTTAACATGAAACTTGATATTGATGAGAATGCTGTTAATAAAAACTTGCAAATAGTATCAGTAAGTTATACGTTGATATACTTGAATTAATTACTTCTATTATTAACAATGTTAGATTAATATGTAATTGAAAATCATAATTTTTAGCAGGAAATTCAAGACCAACCACTATCTTGGTTACAAGAAAACATGAGAAAAAACTACTCAGAACCATGCCAATCTTATAAAACTGTTATTCCGTTACCTGGTAAAACTATTTTTTTATTGTCAAATTAAATTTTTCAATTCATGATTATATATATATATATATATATATATATATATATATATATATTTATTTTATGGTTTACTTCTTCTTAATTTAATCTGATTTAATATATTTCAATTTTTTTACAACTCTAGGTGCATGTATCAAAACTTGGACAAACACTGGTGATAAACTTTTTGTTAATGTTTGCCATTCAACAGAAATATGTGCCCCAAAAGACATATGCGATATGGAACTTTTACAGGAGATGGCTAAAGAAGAAATTACTTTCCTTATTCCAATGGCAATAGGATTTGAGAGAATGTCTAAGGATAAAGGTTTATATCATAATCTCAAAAATTTCACATTAATATTAGATATTTTAATATATTTATAAATATATACCTATTGTTAGATGGTATTGATAGATCGACATTTGATATCTTAATAAACACAAGGTTTTTTGAAAAATGTATGGGAAGACCATGTTTTTGGAAATTTACTGTTCTAGTACTTCTTAATGCGATTAAGGAGAAATATGGAAAACTTATAGATCCCTCAAAATATGTTGTTTTGAAAAACTGCAAGGTTTAACGTCCTTAAAGAACAGGAATTACTGATCAAACCTTTTTTATTTTTATTAATAAATGGTTTTATTAAACAATAGGTAATGGGAGCTCTGGATAAATTTAATATAGCAGATCGAGAGGCAAGAATGCCTTCAAATAAAAAACCTTTGTTAAAAAAACCTTTGATCGAAGTACTTGATGAGCATATAACTGATAATATTGAATATAAACAAAAACCAATTAAGACAAAAAATATAAAGGAGCAAAACTATGTTATTGTTAAATCAGATAATAGAAAAAATTTAATTGGTTTCTTTTATTTGCCTTCGTCAAATATTGAAGATATTATAATAGATCTTGGAGAGAATCGTATAATAATTGAAAATCAAAAGAATAATACTTTGATTGATATATTCATACCATACCATATTGATAATGAATGTAGTATTGCAAACTATGATAGCAATTTAAATGTAAGATACTATTTTGCAATTAATATAAATTATTGCATTTTTATAAATAAAATTTTTTTATTATTACAGATTCTTAAACTGATATTAATTTTAAAAAGTGTATAAATTAAAAATTATTTTTTGCATAACTAAGTTAATACGTAAAGTATTTTGTAATAATATATAAATAGATTTAAAGTATAATTCATTGGTCCACAAAATTTATTATAATACAATCCTTTCAGAATAAAAATTCATAAGTAAATATTTTTATGAAAATAATGTTAAAAACAATTTTTATTGTATTGAACATATATATTGAAATAAAAAATTGCTATATATGATAAAATACAAATTATGATTGTATGAACATAAGTTTTAACAATTATCTTATTTATATTTAACATTTATTAAGTAATGTTTACTTATTATTCTGTGTAGAAAGTTGGGCGTTCTATACCTATCATGGCAAAGATATTCGGTAGTAAATAAACAATATTGAAACCTATCATAAAACAAGTAATATATTTGTAAACCAAATCGACTAGTATTTTCTTTTTATTCTTTAAGGAATCTTTGCTTTGCATTAATTCCTTTGAGTTAACTTGCAATATAGCACACATTGTATTATAAGTAAGAGTTTTACAAATCACTTTGGTGCCTAATACACAACAAAAGCCAAAAATTGTTCTTAAAGTTGTTATGCCAAGTATTAAATAAGATGGCCATATGATTTCATAAGGTGGAGGCTGAATTGGCATTACAAATGCTCCAGTCTTATAGTTTAGCCAAGCACCAACATGAACACCAGCAGTTACGGAAATAACAAGAGTAGTATCTCCTCTATAATAATAATATGTTATGATTTTGAATAAGAAATTTAAAAAATTATTTATTTATAAATTTGTCTACGTAAGAAAATATAAATTCATATTTTTTTAAAAAATATCAACAATTTGAGAAAATGAACTATACCTTGTTGGTGTCCATTTATCACTGCGTGGATAATAAATTATTATTAATATACTAATGATTACAAATGCTAAGAGGGTCCAACCATTAGTAAGAAAATAGTAATCCAATATATTTACCAATGGAACAAATAGGATCATCAATAAAATGGATAAAATTAATCCAACAAGTACATCTAATACAGTATGCATGCCCAAATATATTCTGCTTACACAAATTAACGAACACCTGTAAATAGTTAATATTTTTAATTATATAAGCTCTAGTATATGAATATACATGAAAAAAACTGTTTCAAAATAATCATTATTTTTTATTAAGTTTATCAAATTCAAAATTAATTTTATTATTAGCATAAAATATCTTGCCATAAAATTGCAGCAATACAGCCAGCAACTATAGAATAGTTATATTTATTCATTGTGAAAAGAATAACACTGAAAGGAATGGAAACTCCAATCATGGCATGTGTCGATGGCATTCCATATTCTAATGACCATTTTTTTTGTAATCTTGCTACTGGTGGAGACGAAGGTCTAGGCCAACAAATAATATCTTTTAAAGCTTGTCCAATTGACATTATTGTTGCCCAAACAAGCACAATTTTACGCCCAGCAGATCCGTCAATATTCCAAAACCAAAATGGAATAAATGTTAAATAAAATACTTCATCACCTAATTCCGTTCCAAAAAGAAATAAATAATACCAAAAGTAATTTTTTATCTTATAACTTATTTTATCTTCGACATGAATAGCGGATGCATTATCACTATTTAAACGAGATTCATTTTGATGATTATTATTTGTTCTTTCGATCTCATGGTTTACATGTCCATTCTTCGATAAATGCGAATTAGCATTTGCTGGGCTATTTTTTTCATTTTTTGCTGTCCAATCATTAATTGTATTTATTGCTTTGTTTTTACTATGTTCATTGTAATGAATTTGAACACCAAAAAATTCTTGAATTCTGGAGACTAAATATGGATCCCTATAGTGTTGAAAAAATTTGGACCACATTTTCCATGAATTCAAGGAAAAGTTTGCCTAAAAGTAAATACAAAATTATTGGTTATGTTAATTAAATCATGGTTAAAAAATAATATGGTTTAAATGATTTTTCATCTTGTGGTATTCACAAATTAAAAAATTGGATAACATATAAATTCTATGGCTCAATTAAACTGTAACGATATTTACAACGGTCGTCTTGAACATAGTCTTTATTTAAAAAGAAAAAAATATACGAAAGTGTCCTTGCACAATAGTAAATCAATTTTTTTTTCATTTGCAAAAGGTAGGCCAAAAAGTCATAGAAAGCAATAATAATAATAGGTAATCTATATGGCCCGACGTATTACCGACGTCAATAGGCGACCATCCGATTATTGAGATTATTCAGCAAAATGTAGTCACGCGACAGATAAATTTCACAAAGCAATCGGTGTTAACCAAGCTAAATAGGATTTTATCATTAAACTATCAATTGTAAAGGTAACTTACTATATATCGTTTTTAATTTAACATATTCCGTTATGATCCTCGCTATTGAAAAAGCCTCATCCTTTGGCCTTTAATTCACAAGTCAGTGAATGCGTATATCGTCTGCTCTTTCTCCGGCTCGCCGAAGCAAGAACATCAGCAACAGTATTATATAGGCTTTCTCCCTTCAAATAAAAGCCAAAAGAACACGCACTTTGGCTTTTTCGCCGGAGATTGCGCAAAGTCCTACCAATGGACACACTCGTACTCGTGTATTCGAGGATGGTCGGTTTGTCGCCGCCTAGCGTAATGATTCTCGAGGATCGTTTTCTATATGATCTACGTATGACCACATCCATGCGCAACACACACTGTAATGTTGACTCAAGTTTTTTCCTCTAATGGCCGATTGTACGTACGATAACGATAGGAGAATGCGTTGAAGCACATACTGATTGCTTTTGATTGGGAATTCGGTTTTTTTTTTGTGACGTAATAAAGCACGTGACACCTTCTCGACAATGATACCTCTTCAGTGGCATCGAGCAAGTATTTACTTCTTAACAGCAGAGCGCATTTCGCGGGAATTTAATCAATATCCCTCCCCTACATCTCATCTCAAACTCATTTAACCAAAGTTCCAAGCATACGGGCATTACGCTACTATATAATAAGTGACTTGATAATCGCAACCGGCTTTCTACCCCAGTCCTTCATTAAACCCTTATTACCCAACGGGTAGCCATCGTGGTAATCATCGTGGCCATTATTACTATAATTGACTAGAATATTAATGCGAGCACATCGATCGATCTCATTCGACGAGCACGTCTAACTGACACGACTAGCGCTACCAAATTGGCGAAAAAGCTTTGTAAAAGCGCGATTATCAATAAGGGGAGGGTTGAATCGCGCTGCAGATGTAGATACGTTGCAAGCGGCCGAGATGCGGGAGGCAATGCGCATGCGAGGAATTATATTAAAGGTGCCGGATATTCGCGCGCCGGGCACCGACGGATAAAGTAGCTTCCTACTATTGGGGCAGCGGTTTTCCTGGCCTCGCAGTCAAGTTCATCATTGTCGTCGGCCGCGCGCGGCGATAAACGGTCGAACGCCTCCTCCGTGTGCTCCCTACATTCCCGGGCCGAGTTCCGAGGACGGAGAGTCTCGGAGATCTCGAACCAGATGCCGCCAGTGTGTAAAGCCTGAATCGCCGACGGGGAGCCCCCGTCTCTTCCGCAGCTCACGATTGCCTGACAGCTCGAGCTGTCAGTGGTGAGTGTTACGCTGGTTATTTGTCTGGAGGTAAGGGTCGAGGGGGTCGATACAGACCGCGGCTCCGTAGCTCCTCGAGACGCGCATCCCCGGGGCCGAGGCAGATCGGCTGACCCGCGAGCAGGGCTGTGCAGGTGAGCGGGGAAGTCCGGGGCCACCGGTGGGTGGGCACGTAAGAGGGAACGGCTCGCCGGTAGTGCTAGCTAGTAACGCGACTCGGCTCGCGCTGGAAGATTCCATTGCCGTGCTCGTCGTCCCGTAGGGGCTCCTCCTCGACTCCTAGCGCCTCTCCTTTGTCTCCCGGGGGGCCCCGCTAGTCGGTACCGAGTCGCCGTGAGTAGCAGCGCCGTTCGCTTTAATCGCGGAACGCGGCGAGTGCTGGCGCCCGTGATTACGTTTGTTCGCGCGCGTGTGCGTGTGCGTGTGCGTGTGCGTGCACCCGCGTTCGTGGACAAGGGGGGACGCGCGGTGCGGTGTCACGGCAGGCCACCGCTTACCGTTATCGACGACGGCACCGCACGCACACCTGGGAGAGTGGAATCTGGCGCACAATCGTCGTCGTCTTTCAGCTGGACCCTCTCAGCTGATGGGCTCAGAGCCCCGCCACGACAAGCAGTACCCAGTCCCGCACGTACTTTCGTACAGCGAGTCGCGGCGACCCTTCGCTCGTCCTCGCTCGATTTCGCGCCCGCGTCGCCTGCCCGTATTATCCCGTCGCTACGGCTCGTATAGATTGATCCTCCTCTTGTGATTTGTCTTCGTCTGGCACCTGCACCGAGATATGGCAAGATCCTGCGCGAGCAGTCGAGCGATCGTGACGATTGTTAACTCGGGCTCTCCGCGTGAAAGTTTTGTTCGTGAACAATCTTACTGTTACGTTCTTCACGTACCAAGATATACGAGCTCGTCAGGTACCATCAGTGCTTTTTGTTGTTGCTTCTATTTTATTATATTCTATTTGTTTTTGTTTTGTTTTGTTTTGATTGTGTTTTTGTGTTTTTCATTGTTTTTGATTTTGCTGCCCCGGCGGTTTATTATTCTTTCGTTCTTGTTTCGGTACAGTATGATTGGAGGAAATTTCGGTCGCTCGATGTGTCATATGCGAAATTCTCTTATTTTTACGGCTTTATACCGCTCGCTCACTCGTCATTTGCTCTTTCATTCGTCCGTTCGTTCATTCGTTTGTTCGTAAGTTCGATCACTCGATCATTCGTTCGTTCGTTCGTTCGTTCGTTCGTTCGTTCGTTCGTTCGTTCGCTCGCTTATTCCTTCGTTTGCTCGCTCGTTCGCTTGCTCGTTCGTTCGCTCGTACGTTCGCTCGTTCATATCGTACATCCGTATGTATGCTAGAATGTAAGATTTTATATGTGCATACATGCATTTGCGCATGTGTGCATGTACGTAATTCCGTGCGCTGTAATTAGCAATAATAGAAAAAAAGAATGGCATTGTGCGAGATTGAATAAAAATTGTAAAACGCACAAAAGAAGTTACGGAGGCTGGCGAAACTTTATATTTCCAGGAATTCTATAATCAATATGGGCAAAATCGTGGTGTACATAGTTTTACAGCTGAGCTCTCAGCTGATGGCAACGTCGCCGCCGCCGACGGCGGCATACACGTAAAATGATCTCGAGAATATGCCTGCATCGTACAACAATCTTGTTCAAACCCGTTCGTCATCGCTCCCAAACTACATAACGGATTTTTCGGCAATTTTTTGACACCTCTCGTCAGTCCCTCGCCACCTCCCCCCTCCTTCGCGGTAGTGCTCACGGGCAGCTTTACTATTTTTCGAACAGTGCGCTATGTTAACTGTAATCTCACTATTGTGAGGACAAACGAAGAGAAAAAATTAAATTCTATGAAGACAATGGACGTTTGTGTCGGGCGTTTGAAATTTAGTTGGCGCGGTTAAACTCGTCTCCTAGAAAATTGGCGAATAAAGATTTTAGTCCAAGCGCTTAGACTCGCTTGAAAAGATATTTAGGCCTATAAGAGAAAGAAAACGTTGACGAGGTATTTTATGCGCTTACAGTGCAACCACAGCATTCAAAAGTAGTAGGTCGACACGCAGCTCGTTCTTTATTATTTACAAAACTACACAACCAACAAACCGTCGTGTGCCCAAAGGAAAGCGAGTGACTAACATTATCATTATCATTATCATTATCATTATCATTATCGAGCGTAGCAATTTTCTTTAAAAAATAACCATTTTGCTCGTTCGTTAGTCGTTAGAGGGGCGGGGAGGGGGGAATATAGGCTAACATTCGATAGCCTTTAAAGATATACTTAATTTATTCAAAAGAAAGAAAATCAGAACAAATCTTTAAAAGCGGTGCTTTTGTTTTTTCCTACGTAGAATAATTACAGCGGAGAGAAACAAAGAAGGGGACGGACACGGCATAATTCTTCCAATGAATCATTCGAGCTAAAAAATCGAGTATAACCGCTTGGTGCTGGAGCGAGGTATCAGCAGCCGAGACCAGGAGAGAAAGAGACAGAGAGAGAGAGAGAAAGAGAGCCGACACAAAGAAGGAGTGAGGGAGCGAGAGGACAAGAAAAGAGGACGAGAACAAGCGCTGAAGAATGTACGAGGATACGAGCAGCGCCGGCTCTTCTGCCTCGAGGAAGGGTGACCAAGTGGAGCTCGTAACCAAGTTCCTGGCGCCACTGTGCGCGCGCGATGAGGCAGCCCGAAATGTTGCCCTGGCCGCCGTGCGTACCACCGTCGAGAGCTGGCTTGGAGGCGTTGGCAGTCCCAACAATAACCACTGGGACGCGGACTCGCAAAATCTTCTAAATGGGAACCTCGGATGCCGGTCGCAGCCGCGAGACAGTGAAGGCTTTTATTCGCGCAGCGTTGGCGCGGCTACGATATTCGCACGGAAACCGAGCCCGGACAGCGTTGACTGCGTCGATGGCAAACCCAACGAGCCCGAGTGTAATTGCACGCCGAGCCATAGGCTCCGGGAGTTCGAGGGACGTTTGGGCTCGAGCAGCGACAGCGAACGCCGACTGTTCGCCTCCTGCGAGGGTCTGAACGAGGAGCGCGGCCCTAGACATCAGATCAGAATCAAAAGCGGTCGCCAGAAGCTCTTCGACGAGGACGATGAGCTTGATGCGGATACGCGCGTGTACGGCAAGAGCCCCAAGTTTGATGATGACTTTGGTAACGTTGAGCTGCGCAGTCGGAAGTTTCGCGAGAGTAGCGAGGACCTGCTATACGGGACGTCCCTGGATGCGGAAAGGGTCGTATTTAATACCCTCGACGGCTTTCTTAACGAGGAGGCTGCCGGCGGCGAGAAAAGACCGCCTGGTAGCAGCGGACAGGCCAAGAGATTCATGTCGAAAAACGAGGACGTGCCCTGGAAGAGTGCCGAGGGAGGACTTCTTGACAGCCCAACTGAGGTCGTAACGCCCGGGGACGTCGGCAGAATGCTGAATCTGGGAAACGCACTGGATGGACCGCGTCAGGCCCAGGCTAATAAGTACCTTAGCCTGGTCAGTCTACATTTGCCAGTGATACTTAGGCTGAGCGTCAACTGTCCCTTCCAGAACGTCAGGATCAAGTGTACGGAAATCATGCAGATGATCAAGGTAATTTCAGTGTGGAGGTGCCGAGGCTAGACAATATGAATTTGACCTCTTTCATAACGAGCCAATTATTTTTTTTTAAATACATTCGCTTGACCTACGCTTTACGCGCTTATCCCCGTGACCGGCATCGCTGCCTCGTCTTGACAGATTGAAGAATCAAAAAATTATAAGAATTAATTTCTAGTTTGGCATAATAATTCGAGTCGCAAAAAGTCGTTTATTCCTAACCATAATTACTACCCATAATCTTAGGATACAGTGCAAACTGTAATAATTATATTTATTTTTTAAAAGATCGTACGAATTTATTGAGGATAAAAATAAGCGTGTAAAAATTGTCTGTACATTTAAAGTTGCTCCAATGGAATGTCACTTTTCACTTCATGCTAAAGTGGTTTAAAAATACAATTAAATTCGAATGATGCGTTCGAGGCGCTCGAGGAGCTTATCGTTATATAATTTAAACGAACGAAGGTCGCGGAAGTAGTTTAAACAAATATCGATGTATCAGTATAATTTAAATGTAATTGAAGCATTTTTATGCTATCATATACTTTTAAAATTATAATTAAATAAGCTGAAATTGTATTTCTTAAATAAATGTAAACCATCCTGTTTAATACGTTAAAAAAAAAAAGATAATTTGATTATCTTTTAAATATTTGATTATGTGCGAATATATTTTTCATTTGATCTATGCGTTGTTAAAATTTTAATTTCATTACATAAATTGTATTTTTAAAGATTACTTTCTCTTTAAATCTTTTTCTGCATATAATGTTACAATATTATTATGCGTTATTAAATTATTATTACATTTTATTGTCAGAATTCGTGTTTTATCATTGGAATAGATAAAAATTGAATAAATTAATTCATTAATTCATATATACTGTTATCTACAGATAAAAGCTACTTACAATAAGTCAATTATGTATAATTGCATTATTGATACTATCTCATGATGCAACATAATACTTAAATAAATAAATATACAAACAAATATTATAATAATAATCATAATAGAAATTAGAAAACAAAAGTAAAACAAAAAATGAATATATATAAATTCAATGTTATTAAATAAGCATTTAAAAAATTAGTTCCAACAAAATGTAAAATATGGAATATTTTAATGAGTTATTGTACCAAGTTTTTAAATTAATATTTATATTTGATTGTTAATTTGAGTTTTTTTTTATTTTGGCTGGTTTGAAAATATTAAAAGCGTATAAATAATAATGGAAGAACCCTCAACTTTTATAATTATCGATGCCAGGAAAATCGTTTCACACTATCTTAAATGATTAGGATGACTCAATGGCATTGTTACAAGAAAATATTCCAGGTATACTTCAATTCTTACTTTACAAAGAAGAATATTTGCATTAATTATAACGTAAAAAATATTCCTCTAACAACTTATGACTTCACCCATAATATGAATTTATCAGATGATCTAATAATTAAGATTCGAAATATTTTTTACTGAATTCGTACAAATTATGAAAATACTATCACTAAAGGCATTGCACTCAAATTTTTTATTGAACTTGCTTAAAATTTTTAATTTATATTCTAAATATAGTTATGTAATTGTATGAATTTTATATATTTAAACAATATTTTATCATTAATTTTTAATTAATATAATGTAATATAATATAATATAAAATATATTAAAATGAATGGAAACCATTTGGCTGATTTATGGGTTGTCTACTTTACCGACGCTCTAGTTTTTATAAGCTAATCTTAATCGATAGAATTATTTGAAAACGCATATCTATAATATTTTAGCATTTGAAATAAATTTAAAATTAATTTGTTAGTTTAGAAAATTGAAATTACATTTAATAGTCGTAATTATTTCGAAATTTCACTTAAACAATATTTGTTACAAAAAAAGAAAATGTATTAGATCTTGACATTATCGACCATGATAGGCAATCGATCCACTTCAATTGCATTTTGCAGAATTTTCAAAAATTATGTATTATAAATTACCAATTGTTTATACTAATTAATTATCAACCTCTTGATTATGTACTATTTTTAAACTTAATATCTGTCATGCTAATATCAAAAACAATTGCATTCAAATTTACATATTGACAATATATAAATATTGCTGTATTATCAAGCACTATCAAATATTTATTAGTAAATGACTACTTTAAATTAATATAGTTCTTCCGACATTATACAATATTATTTGATCAAATAGGTTTTGACATAATATTAATCGAGACTTTCGATAGTTCCTCAATAATTACTGGTATAATAATATATATAATTAATACATTTTTAATGAAAAAAGATTTATTATTAAAACAAAACATATTAAAACATAAAATAAAGTGATAATACAGGTATCTTTTAACAATTGATACATTATAATGAAAATAAAATCAACAAAATGTCGCGTAATCATTTTAATCTTAACGATTTTGAAAGAAATTTTAATTGAAATAAATTTCGAATTAATTAAATTGCATGTAAAGTAAAAAATAATGTTGAACGCGGTTGGGGGAAGGGGGGCTGAGGCTCGAACTTACGGCCCCGACATTTAAAGTCTCGTATTAAAGTCTCGTACTCTACCGACTGAGCTAGTCGAGCAATTGTAGACGTTTTCTCCTATATCCCTGAAATTTCAAGCCATTAGGCTTTGATTTACGATTTTGTAGTTTCTTCGGCACATCAGATTTGGCGCAAAGGGACAGAATACACGTATTACGAGCTATAGTTAAAACACGAATAACGATAGTAGAGTTACATTTATAGGACTGTTATAAATAAGTAGAGTAGTATATCGCTTTTCGGCTTTAATCCTGTCGTTACAAAGTGGGAAAGTCTACAAGATATACTTTATAAATTCTAATATTTTTATTTTTTCCTTTTCAACTTGAAAATAACGATAGACATTGAATTCACTTTTATACAGGAACGCACATTGCGTATGATGATTTTTAGTAGAAATTATTTCAAATATTTTAATTGTAATCTTTGATTAAAGAACTCGATAAAATTATTCATTAATACTTTTTCATTTGTATTCATACTTTAAATAATATTAATATAGAATTTAATATTATCATTTAAATATAAGCTAATGAATTAAATATAATAAGCTAATTATATCAAAATTCGTATAATTTTGTTTCACTGACATATTAAAATTTCGTCGCAATAATTATTTAAATTTTTTAATTTAATTTCTCTGCGATATTTATTAATTTTCAATTCACCATGAAAACTAAATATTGACTTTATATTGAAAACTTTGAATTTTGTTAAAAGGTCAAAGTTATCGAATAGCTAAATTATAAGATAAATTTTTGTACAATAAAATTATAAGCTTATAAATAAGACAATAAATATTTTGTACGATAGACTTACTGTACTTTCTATACAATGAATATTTATATATCTTAAGTGATGCAAAATATTTACATACCCTAATATTCACCGTACATGCGTTTGTCTGCATATGTATCACTTTTACATATTCAAAATTAAAAAAATTTTATTTCTCAAAAGAATAAGATGTTATTGCAAAAAGTGTTGTCATCGTTAAATATTCCAATATATTCTAATAGAATAAAGTGCGTAATATTAAAAAAACTTTCAAAATGAATTTTCATATTTTTACAAGCTTATATAATTTATTTAACAAATTATTTCAAAAATAAAATTATTATTTTTATTGTTACAAATTTAGAAGAGTACATGTAGTTCATATTTCATAGCAGAGGCAACAATTTATTCATATTAAATGCAATAAAGAATTTATTTTTAAGATTTTTTATTAAAAAATGAAAAAATCTATACGAATTACTAATTTAAATTTTGAGAGTGTGTAAATTAAAAACTTTAGAAAAAAAATGAAAATGTATTCATTTTTTTAAAAACTTTCACATAATTAGTTACTCTTTACTAATATTAAAAATTAGCTTAAATAAGTTCGGAATATATATGAAATTATTATTTTATCTCTATTATCGTCGTTATTTACAGGACCGAGGACTACCAGTACCCGAGCCTGCATTCGATGGACCTAGTGCTTTCGTACCAGTTTCCGAAGTAAGTAATATTTTAATTTGAATTAAAAATTTTTGGTATTTTATTTGCGAGGTAATTTGAAATGCATACTATATACAAAACTCAATTTTAATCTTTTGAATCTAAAATTGTAAGGTCAGTCACTTTAAAATCAAAAGTAATCTAGCTATTGATGCGAGTAAAAATTTTGCTCGTTAAAAGTAGGTTATTACTCTATTGAAGTAGAATAGTCGTAATAACGAAGAATGAGAAGCTAAACATAACCTTACTTTTGTACTGTAACTTTCTTTTTTTAGATTAAATTTAGATTAAAATTTTTTGATCAAATGAAAATATCAGTTAGTAACATGGAATCGTTGATGAATATCCTTGACGAGTATACTTATTAATGTTGCAAATTTTAGATATTTGAATTCAATTTTTACTCGTTTAAAACTAGCTGTCAATCAAATAATTAAAACTCAAAATATGTATTTGAAAATTTTGTATTTATAACTAAACCATTTCGTAGATGAATTTAGGCATAAATGAATATAAGCATAAACGTTTTATAATGTAAATTCGTATTTACAATGTTTTTAAGATATGTCTTAAATTAATAATTTAAATAACGAGTAATATCAATTATATTAACGAAATTATTATTAATTCTTACTATTATTAATTAATAGGATTATAAAATAGATATATATTTAGTAATATTTCCAATAAAACTAAAATAATTTTTTATTATTTATAATTGATTAGTCTTCATTCTTCAATTCAGATTTGACTATAATCATTCAGAAAAAGTATTTATTTTTATTCAATTTTTTGTTTAATTCGTGTGATTTAAAAAAAAAAATAAAACAACATAAATGTCGCATAAATAATATGGCATAACTTTAAAATAAATAATAGAAAAATAACTATTTATAGATATTACAAAATTAAGACAAACTAATTGTTTTAATAAATTGAAAATAAAGAAAAAATACTTTATGTATAATATAAAGCATATCATTTACATATTTGCAAGATTTATTTCTTAGTAGTAGGTTGATCAATGACAAATTTTACACAATTCAAAATTTGATATGAATCAACAATAGAACTTTTATATTCGATATATATAATAAAACTAAAAACTAAATAGTTGTTAATGTGCACATATGAAAAAAGTATATATATATATTTTTATTTTTCATACGTGCACATTAACAACTATTTAGTTTTTTAATATTCCGCATATCTTGGTTTTCCTTTGCAATAATAGTATAATTCAATATTTTAGAATTTCAATTATATTTCAATTATATTATATATATGTAAACATTAAAAGCAGTATATCTTCTATAATTATGATGTTAAATACTTGATTATTATTATGATTTGTACTGTGATACTATAATATGCAGATAGCTTAAAAGTTTTTATTATATTTAGACTTTCAAATAAAAAATTTTAGTTGTAAAAAAATAATTATTTAATGATAGATAATTAAAATTAGTAAAATTATTTGTAGGTATTGTAAGAAAAACATTAACTCTAGTTAAAAATCATATTATCCATTATATTTGAACATGTCACTATTTATCTCAAAAAAAGCAAATTTCTAAGTATATTCGGTATTTTAATTTGAGCTATCATTAGAAAATGAATTACCTTTCATTATTTTAAAAGATTGAATATTTTCATTAAAATAATAAATAAATAATAAATAAATAAATGTATATATCATCTGCGTATTAATAGATTTAGATATATTTTTAGAATTTTGAACATCAAATCAACATTAAATTTTAAACTCATAAACATATAAAATCTTCGAATTTATATATAATTCCTAAATAAATATCGTAGACGTAATAGAAGAATTTGAATGATATAAAAAGAAATTATAATTTATGGATTTTACTTTTATGATTATTATTTTCATTTTGAATTATCATAGAACCCGTTAATAAAAATTATAATAATTTTATGTTATAAAAAACATAACTAACACAAATCGACTTTACTTGAACATAATTTTATCCTATTCTTCCGCACAAACAAGGTAGTAGATCTACTCCTTATACTGGCAAATGAATTATGTTGATTACAATGTCAAGACTTTGTATTTTCTATTACATTTCCACTCATAGTACATTCTAATACATGTTTGAAAATCAGATTAAAAGAGCCAAAAATAAATAAAATATTGAATTTTAATACAGTTAATTTGTGTTTTCCACTCAAATGAATTTTTTATTAAAAAATAACGTTCGGTTTGAAACAAAAATATCATTCTATTAATAAATGTAAGATGTTAGTTATTATTAGTAGTAAAACAAATATACTCTGTAGACTGAAAGGGAAATATAAAGTGAAATCTAATGGAGTAAACGATATTTTTTATCTAATTTTGTTTTTGTGATTATAATAAAAGGTAAGTAAATTTATAATTGAACATATATTATATTCATTTTATTTAAGTGTTATTTTATCATACAGTCTTATGATTTGTGTAAATTTTAATAGATTTTAGCTCTTTACGATTGTATATGCAATGCTGATTTCTCCTTAAAATATACATACTAATGTATTGTTTAATTAATTCTTGTTTAAAAATAATCTCTGAATTATTTGGATTACTGAATATACTAAAAGATTAAAAAATGAAAGGAAACTATTCCATGAAACGATGTACATTATAAAATAATGCAGAATACCAATATACCGACTTACGATAATGAATTAACTACAGATTCTGTGTAAAGTTTTTACTCAATATTTAAAAATGAATTACTACATATGAATAAGTAGACTTGATTTTACTAGCTATACGTATTATCGACTATCAATGCAATGAAAATAACTTTCGTATTGTATAATTTGTGTCAGTTGAAATTAGCAATTATATTTCCTAGAATATTTCATATAGAAGGTATTTAATATATTTTTCTACTGTATCATATTACTAAATTGTCTTTCCTTAAGACCTTTTAATACAAAATTTATCACGAAGGAAATAAATTAAGTAAAATATTTAATAATAGATTCTAATAACAAAACACTCGGTTCATTTATTTTTATTTATAATATTATTGTTATATTTACTATATACACCGTATCTGACTTATGTTACATACATTCTCAATATAATTGCTACAAAATTGATTATTATAAATAATTTATTATTACAAATATAAGTAGCACAATCATTGATTCTAATTTTAACTCTACATATTCAAACCACTAATCGTACGAAAAAAATAATTTAACAGAAACTTTTTGTTTAACCACAAACTTGAGGGTAAAATTTGTAAGGACTGTGCTCTATAAATTTATCAAGCTGTCGGATATTTTTTATCGGCTAGTTATATAAAAATATACGGCTTTCGCGAAGCTTATTATGCAGAAACGACAAAATATCAGCAATCGGCATACACATTGGAGCCCACGTCTTTGTGCATCAATTAGGCAGCATCTTGGGCGAGCAGCCTCTTTTCTTCTTGTGAGTGAGTACAAGCGGTCTTAGTTATTGCTGCTAACGGTTATGACCACAAAATTGCAAGCATGCACGTATTACTTAAGCGAGTTTGGAAAGTGGTTTGAAATTTCGTCCGGGCTACCTTAGAAATAGACGCCGCCATCCGGAGAGTTAAGAGGGAGAATGTGTGGTCGCATTCTAAAGGCCATGGGGGAATCTTGGTCGGGTCAATGCAATCCAGCGGTCGAACGGTCCACCCACTAGTGACACCAACTGCTCTTTATGCCTCGATCGTTAAACTCCTTTTGTCTTTAACGATGTTTTCCTCTTTTAATTGCTTCGCCTCATCGTAACCTTCCTTATGCCGTATTCGCATTTTTCTTATAATGTTTTCTTGTTCAAATAAGTTGCACAGCATTTTATGGATGAAATCTACTTCATGTATTTATTTCTCATTAGACCATGTAATTATAATTATCGAATCATATTCTCAAACGATTATTAAATCGTTTTAATAATATATATTTTACATTAAGGATAGATTCATTCAGTCAAATAAACACGAATATAATCAAGTATAAAATTATTAACAGATTACCTTTCATGAAAAAAACTTAATTTTGCAGACACTTATACAAAAAACAGATTTATATAGAGTACATTAACTACTCCATTTAAATGTTTTTTAAATTAAAAACATTTTCTAAAAATGTATAAAAAAAAAATGTATTTCATTTTCAGAAAATAATTTTCTTTTATTCCATTGTATATATGCAAATCTTTCTAAAGAATCATTTTGTCTAAAAAATTAGTATTATATACGGACAAAATTTGTATGAAAAAGTATTATATCATTACACATTTAAAAATATTAGATTTAATCTTTAATAACAAATAATTATTATAAAATTATTTAAATAATAATGAAATTAAATTTGAATCTATTTATCCAGTTCATTGAGACACTTATTTCGTATTCCATGTTGTAAATATACTGAAACTTGAACTTTTTTTAATAGTATTTGAATATTATTCAAAATATAATTGTAAGAGAAAATAAAAATAATATATTCGACAATATTCAAATTTAAAAGACTATTATACTTTTGAAAATATAAAAATAAGATATTTTTATCAAGGTATACATTTTTTTTATTGTAAAATTACAAAAACAAAATTAAAATTGTTAAATACCTTTTAGGCAGTTTATATTAATATTGTAAAAGACTACTTTTTATAGCATTTAAAAACTATTTATTAACTACCTTATATATATATATATATATATATATATATATATATATATCAAAGCTATATATTTGAAGTAGAATTGCTAAAATTAAAAAAATCTAAAATTTACGAGTAGATACTTGAATATCTTAAATAGAATAAAATTGTTAATTTTTTTTAATTTTATATTTTATTATTCATGGAAAACAATAATACTTTATTTTATTTTATTAATTGCGATAAAATATTACATTATTAAAATATTAATTACGTATTTTGAAATATGAAAATAATTTGTTATAGATTTTCAATTTAAAATACTATTATTTATTTTTTT